AAGTAAATAATTATTTGATAATAGAGTCAAGTAATCGAGTATTTGAATCAAATAAATTCTTTTTTTGGCAGTGTAATGACAGAATTTCTATTTTTAAGTGAATTTTAAATATAATTTTTTTTATTTTAAAGAATTCTTAAAACGCCGAATTTTTATTTGTCCGAAATTTTAAATAACAGAACAATCGATTTTGGCGCGATTTTTAAAATTCACCAATCACAAATTATCAAGAAGAAAATCGTGATTGGTGAATTTTAAAAATTGCGCCAAAATCGATTGTTCTGTCATTTGAAATTTCGGACAAATAAAAATTCGTTTATAGAAGAAATTTTGTCAAATTATATAATTTTAAAAATAAAAATTCGTGTAAAAGTTAATTATTTCGAATAAAATTCTTTAAAATGATAATTCTAACTGTAATGATTTTTATATGGGTTTATGACTTTAATTGTAAAGAAAAATTTCTTAAAATATGGTGTTTCTTGAAATGTGTCATGAACATTTTTCCCTTTTTCGCGATTCCCAAGGTGAGAATTGTAAATATAAGGAAAACCAGTACCTTTTGCATATTAACGAAGTAATAATTGGTCAGGGACGTGAACTTTGAGTTTATCTGGAGCAAATTGATATATATTAATTTTATCATATCGGATAAATTGGTTTTTTTTTCCTTTTTTAGGAAAATTACAAAATTAATTAATAAAAGAAATTAATTTTTGATAATATTTTTTTTAATTCGAAACAATATAGAAGAAATTTTTTATATTTGTAATTTAAAATTTTATTATAATAATAAAAAGCCCTTGAGCAAACAAATAATACAAGTTTGCTGGAAATGAAAGTAAAGTAGCTGATTTCGAATGCCAGAAGCCATTGGATTGAGATCAAGTCTCTCTCTCTCTTTCTCTCTCTTTCATTCTCTTTCTCTCTCATTCTTGATTTTATTTCACCTTATTTTACTCTGTCATCTAAGTTATAATTCACATGTTACATTATTTGCACTGAAAAAAAATTTATTTAATTCAAACAATTGACTATTATTATTAAATAAATATTTATAGCAAATAATTTTTGAAACTAATTGAACTTTGAAAAAATAATTGGTATTTGAAACAAATTCTATTTATATAATTGTATCAAATAATTATTTGATACAAATATTTATTTGACACAAATATTTATTTGATAAAAGTTATCAATTATTTGAATCAAATAAATTTTTTTATTCAATGTTCTCTGAATAAATCTACACGGCAAAAAAAATTATTTTTTTTTTGTTGATAATAATCGGTTGACTATTATCAAATAGATATTTATAAATAATTTTTATTTGAATTAAATAAACTGTATTTGAGCCAATAATTTTTGTATTTGAAACAAATACACATTTAATTGACTTAAATAATAATTATTTAATGCAAATATTTGTATTTTATTTTTTAAAAAAATATTTATTTTTTGTCAAGTAATCAATTATTTGAATTTAATAATTTTTTTTTTTAATGTTTATTTAAATGTAGATTTTTCTTCGACTCTCTTTCTCTTTTACTGAGAGATTTTTATTCATTTATTCAATCTAAAGTGAAGTTGCAGATATGTCCTCTTATTCCCATACCTTCTTTTGTATGCTTGGAGAATCTAGACTCTCTATCGAGTAGAATATAGTAAAAGTCGAAAGACACATTCGTCCTTGAACGATAACGCCTTGCATTCCTTCGAGCTAGAGACACAAAAAGGACACCCACGTTTTTCTGAAAATGTCTTTTTTTTAAATATATTTAGGTTCAAGAATGAAAAAATTTTCCGATTGTCTAAAAAAAAAAAAAAAAATTCTCTAGGTACTTTTAGTTTCTCAATTTTTTTTAATCCTGCGACTCTACACCCTGAGAAAAATTATATTTAAACCAAATATATTTTATTTGAGTAAACTTTTTATTTGTTTTAAATAAAAATTTTATTCGACATAAATATATAATTGAACCAAATAAAATTTTATTTAAACCAAATAAAATTTATTTCAAATAAATAAAATGTCTAGTTTGCATTTTTTTCTGGGGTGTAAAGGAACAAAATCTACATGAAATTATTAATTAGAAGGATTCGTTTGTAAAGTTACGCCAATCTTATATCAGTTTTCACTTTTCGGACCTGTTAAACAGACTCTGAATCCTTTAAAACGTGATTTGCGTAATTCTCTATTGTCCCACCTCCCCACTCTCTCTCTCTCTTTCTAGCTGGTGTATTTGCCAATTGTTATTTGAAAAAAGAATAAAACGGTTACTTTTGAAAAAAAAAATTTACCAAATAATTTTTAAAAATCAAATAAAACTATATTTTGATTATTGGGCATTATATTATTATTATTATTTACCAATAATTTCAGTGTTTAAAACAAATATCATCTCAAATAATAATTTTTTGATAATAAATATTTATTTTTGATAATAGTCAAGTAACCGCGATTATTTAAATAAAAAAAGAATTTTTTTTTTTAATTTATATTTTCCGACCAAATATCCGTATTAGGCATTAATTTTGAAAAAAAAAAAAAATTTCTCTGAGTAAATTAATAAATTTTTATTAGCAACCCACTATTATATATACTAACCGGATCGTTCTTAATATGCGGTCTCTATATACACGCATGTGCAGTCATATAGGTTGGAAACTTTTGCCCGAGAAAGTGCAGAGGCGGTGTCACTTAATAAAAGTTGAACGTCTGATAGTACTTATTCAAGTAAAACTAAGAATCTCAACTGCATACATAGTTGAAACAAAAGCTCATATCCATTGTTGGAATTAAAAAGTCTTCTCTTGCCAAAAAAAAAAAAAAATTCCAAAATAAATTTTTTGATAAAATTGCAAAAAAATTAAATATTTATTTGTTTCAAATTAATTGAATTAAATAAAAATTATATTTGCGCTAAATAAAATTTTTTATTCTGATGATAAATAAAATTATATATTTGTGCTAAATATAATTGTATTTGCGCTAAATTAAATTATAAAATTATAATTGTGCTAAATCAAATTTTATTTTGCTAATAAATAAAATTGTATTTGCGCTAAATAGAATTTTATTTTGCTGATAAATAAAATTATATTTGTGCTAAATCAAATTTTATTTGTGATAATTAAAATTTTATCTGTGCTAAATCAAATTTTATTTTGCTTATTAATAAAATTATATTTGTGCTAAATAGAATTTTATTTTGCTGATAAATAAAATTATATATGTGATAATTAAAATTTTATCTGTGCTGAATAGAATTTTATTTTGCTACTTAATAGAATTATATTTGTGCTAAATAAAATTGTATTTGCGCTAAATAGAATTTTTTTTTGCTCATAAATAACATTTTATTTGTGATAATTAAAATTTTATTTGTGTTAAATAAAATTATATTTTGCAAATAAATAAAATTATATTTGTGCTGAATAGAATTTTATTTTGCTGATAAATAAAATTATATTTGTGCTAAATAAAATTTTATTTGTGATAATTAAAATTTTATCTGTGCTATATCAAATTTTATTTTTCTATTTAATAAAATTATATTTGTGCTAAATAGAATTTTATTTTGCTGATAAATAAAATTTTATTTGTGTTAAATAAAATTTTATTTGTGATAATTAAAATTTTATTTGTGTTAAATAAAATTATATTTTGCTAATAAATAAAATTATATTTGTGCTGAATAGAATTTTATTTTGCTGATAAATAAAATTATATTTGTGCTAATTAAAATTTTATTTGTGTTAAATAAATTTTATTTATTTAAAACAATTTTAAAAAAAAGTTATTAAGCTCTGAGAAAAATATATTTTTTTATTTGCTTCAAATAAATTTTATTTGTCTGAAATAAAATAATTTTCTTTGTTTGTAGTTTTTATTTATTTTCTTTTGTTTTTTCTATCATAATTTATTTTCATTGTCAGTTTTGTTGAATATTTAATTCTTATATTATATATATATAGACAATAATATGATTTCCGTGTGTATAGAAATGTCGCAGTTTTAGAAATCTTTGTATAATTAAATACATATATATAAACGATAAAGCACGTTTTGCACACACTAGAAAAGTGGACTGGAAATCGAATAGAGAAAGAAAAAAACTGGAACTCCGATAAGACGATTTTACAAAGGAACTTATAATCGAGTTTCACTCATGTCTCTCTAACCTAGTGACTGAGATCGAGTTAAAACGATTAAAATGTTTTATGTCATTTTGTTTAAAAAAAAAAAAACAATTCTTTTTATTAAAAGGTTTCTAAAAAAATTTTTTTTTTTTATTAAAAAAAATCACTCTGACTTTTGAAATTTAAAGAAAAATAATTTTAATAATTTTAATATTTAATTAAAAAAATAGAAAAATTTGGATATTTTTTTTTTTACACTTTAAAATTGAAAAAAGAATTTAAAAATAAATAAAAATTTAATAATTTGAAAAATAACTTTAATTACTATTTACTTTCATGGAAAATTATAATATAATAATATAGTAATTATATAAACATAATTCCTGTCTATAGAAACTTAAGCTTTTGTTTTCCGATAATTGTCTTTCGAGAGAAATTATTCAAGAAATAAAGAGAGAGAGAGAGAGGTGTTTATGTCTAAAAATAGACAGAGTATCGTTGAATCAAGCATTTCACTTGACTTGCTCATACACAATCACTGTGTTTCGTGATAAGTTCACAAGTCACGAAAGTCTGTGTCTAGGGTCAGGGATCTAATGTATAAACGCGAATCGATTTATAACTTTTCTAACCATAAAGGTTCTTGCCTCATTTATTATTATATCACTATATTATTATTTTTATTATTATTATTATTATTATTATTATTATTATTATTATTATTATTATCATAATGTGTAGAAATTGTTATAGAGAGAAAGAGAGGCGTTACAGAAATTTTTTTTTTATTCTCATTAATTATTATTATTTTCTCAATTATTATTTTTTGATATTAATTGCATTATTTTTTTTTACAGGACCAGTTCGAGAATCTGTCCCTTCACACTCAAAAGGGAATAGAATTTCTAGAACGATATGGACACTTTATTCGTGACCGATGTGCGATAGAGGAAGAATATGCCGCGAAATTGAGGTAAAGTATAATTTTTATTTTTTTTTTTTTACAATCAATTAAATGTGAAAACAATTTTTTAATTTTCATTTTGCAATAAATTTTCAGGGTGGCCGCAAATCAGGAAAATTGTCCCAAGAAAATTAGGGTTTCTTAAAAAAAAAAAAAAAAATTAAGGAATATTTTTTATTTCACAAGAAATTAAAAAATTTTCTTTAGGGAAAAATAAAAACAGGAAATTTTGCGGACACCCTGCGTTTTTTTTTTGTTTGTTTGAAGGGAAATTTATTAAATAATTATATTTCTCTTTGGTAAATTTTAAATTCGATTATTTTTGAAGAATAAAAATTGTTTTCATATTTTTTGGAAATAATTTTTTCTTAATTTTGTAGTTTTTGTTTTTGATCTCTCACAACAAAAATCATTTTGCAATTTTTCGGAAGGATTTTAGAATTATTTTCTATCTTTGTTGTTTTGAATTAAAAAAAAAAGTGTATTTTTTGAAAAAATATACATATAAGAAAAATCGACTTTGTGACCTTTCGAATTATGTCGCCAAAAAGAGAAGTTAGTGTATCTCACGCATCCCGTGTGTGAGTTCAGGGACTTTTAAGCTGCTAATATGTTATTAAAGGTCCCCTTGTTTGTCTCGTGAATGCCCTCCACTGTGGCACGCATTTTTATTTGTTTTCGTTATTATTATTTTTTTTTTTTTTTCAATTTTTTCTTCCTACAGGATATGGATGAAAAAATTATAATTTAAAATTGTCATTTTTATATTAGTTTTTTTTTTGTCCAATAGAAATAGATTTTTCGATCGAATTTCTTTTATTTCTCAGCTGATTCTCTCTATATGTATATATAGTTAATTAATTTGCGTAAGCTCCACAAGTATCATTTCAATTCTCTTTTTCTCTCTTCATGTCCCTCATGTTTTATTCTACAAGACATAAATTAAACGACGTGTGTCTTTCATCTTAATGCGTTGCAATTTTCTTTACGCACGCGCTTCTTTACGTCAAAAATAGATCGAAATATTTTGAAATTCTTGATGAAAAAAAAAAAAAAAAAATTACGTCTCAACTTTGGAGAATTGTTTCTTTACTCATCAATTTTTTTTTAGAATTTAATTTGGAATATTGGAAAAAAGATAAAATTAGTTTTTTGATTTAGTTTTATATTTTACATTTTTTTGTTTTTATATTTTTTGAAAAGTTATTTTTTTTTTTTTTTAAAGGTCTTATTATAATGTTCGAAAGTAAAATGATTTTTTAACGTCTGAAACGTTATAAATTCCTGAAAATTAACGACGACGACGACGACTCTTTGTCATTGACCCTTAGTTTACATACGCGAAAGCTGTACCAGCTGTTTTCTAATTTCTTGTAACGACAACATTTTCACAAGTGTGTTAAAACTATTATCGTCATCTTAAGTACCAAAAGATGTTCTTTTAGAGAGAGAAAAAAAAATGATGAATAATTGAAAAAAATGAAGTTTTGATTTATTTATTGTTTCTATCGTTTTTTTTTCTATTTTCATTATTATTATGGTTTAAACAGTTGAGTTCAATATTAGACGAAACCGCTCCTAAAACTATGTTAAATCTTGCTTACCAAATAAGCACGTCTATGCGCCTACGTGCCGGTTTGTTAAAGCATCGTTCGATGGTGTCATATTTTCTCTAAATGACGCAAATTGTGTGTTTTGTTCCTAGAAAATTGAGAGAGAAAGAGACTATCGTGATTTTAAGAAAAACATGTATTATATTTTATATTTAAAAAAAAAGAAAATAATGAAAATATTCAATTTCAATTAATAGTTCAATTTTGGAAAAATTTGAATTTTCAAAATCTTGATTTCGGACTATAAAAAAAAAATTTGATTTTCTAAAAATAAAATTTCCTATTTTTAAAGATTTCTCAATAATATAAATAAATAATAAATTGACAAATTGTTTGAGTTTCAAAATTTCGTTTCGATTAGAAAAATAATCGAGATTAGTATTTTCTTTTTTTTTCTCAAATACATGGAACATACGCACACATATAAATAAGAAACCAGGTGTCCTGAATTCGTATTACGTAAATATATGATCACTCTACTTTCATCGTTAATTTGTTATGTATTCATGAGCGTGAGCGCAAATATTAAACTTCCTATTTTCCACTTATTCGAAAAACATTTCATATATATTTGTACGTACGTGATTTTTTTTTTTTTTTTTTTTTTTTTATTTGCATTCGAAAATATTGAATCGAATCTCGTAATATTTGTAAACTTGTCCAACTTGAAAATTGTCTTTTTATCAGCTTCCTTATTGATCTGCGGTTTTTTTTTTATTTTAATTTTCATTAAATTAATTTTTATTTTCAGCTTCCGCGATTTAAAAATTATTTTTTTTCGTGAAATTTTTGTTTTTATAAATATTTTTGAATAAATATCAATTTATTCAAATTTATTATTTAAATAATAATTTATTATTTATTATATTAATAAATTATTAATTATCAATATTAGTTAATTCTGATTTATTATACATAAAATTAATATTCTGTTTTTTTCATTTACAGACGCCTAGTGAAAACTTATCAGCCAAAAAAGAAAGAGGAAGAAGATTATCAGTGAGTATTTTTTTTTTTAAATTAATTATTTTAATTTAAAAACTTATTTTTAATTATTCATTTTTATGACATTTTTTTCAATAATTTATTATTAATAATAAATTTATAATATGAAAAAAAAAAAATTATAAAATTTTAAAATGATTTTTGAAAAAGAAAATTTTTTCTTTTTGTTTAGAAAAAAATAAAAAAGTGGACAATATACGTATAAAATATATTAAAGCAGATGCTATTTTTCCTCTAATTGATCTTGTGTATATGATTGAAAACAGAAGCTCAACTCTTTTTAAAGTGCGTAGGAGGTTTCATAAATTCAGTAGCGCACTTGAACATAATATATGAACTCATTAATCAAAATTTTTCGTTGATCTTTAATCTTTGCTTTTAAAAGAGATTTTTTCATCCAAACATTTTTGCGTTTCTAAATCATAAATTTGACTTCAAAATTGGATAAATTCTAAAAATTTTTTTTTTAATTAAAAAAAATATTTGATTTAATTTTTTTTTATTTAATTATAAATTTTTATTTATATATATATATATTTTTTTTTTTAAATAAAAAATCCATTTTAACATGAAATAATTTTTTTCAGATATAGTCCATGTCGAGCGTTTAGAAAAGAATTAAATGAAGTTAATGATCAAGCTGGACAAAGGGAGGTTATTGCTGAGAATTTACAGGAAACAGTATTACGAGAATTGAATATTCTCGTCAAAGAATTCAAGGAGGATAGAAAAAAACATTTGCAGGAAGGCATCAGGCTCCGTGCAAGTTTGGCTGGCCAAATTGGCAATTTGGAGCGAGCTAGAAAAGCCTATGAAAAAGCATTTCGCGAAGCAGAACGAGCCCTTGAAAATTATCAAAGAGCGGACGCTGATTTCAATCTTTCTCGAGCCGAGGTAAAGTTTCCATTCTATTTTATTTTTTTTTTTTAAGAAAAATTTTAATTTCTTTGCGCCGATTTGTTAGAAGTACATTTTTTTTTTTTTATTTATTCAGGTGGAAAAGCAGAGAATGAACATGACATTAAAAACACAACAGAGCGAGGAAGCAAAAACTGAATACGCAAATCAATTGCAGAAGACGAATGAAATGCAAACTTTGCATTATTATACATCGATGCCGGAAGTGTTCCATCATTTACAGGTATATTGTATATTAAAATAATAATGCATTTTTTTTTTAATTTTTTGCAATATTTTTGTTTTTTAAATTTTTATTTAATTATATTAGGAGAAAATTTTTTGTTAAATTATTAAATTCTGTTTTTTGTAGGAACTCGATGAGAAGAGAATAAAAAATATGAGAAATTACATGTTAAAATCGGTGGATATTGAACGTGCGGTTGCTCCAATAATTGCCCAGTGTCTCGATGGTATTGAAAAAGCAGCTAATGAAATCAATGAAAAGACAGATATGCTTTTGGTGATTGAACGTTATAAAAGTGGTTTTCAACCACCTGGCGATTTTCCCTTTGAGGATTTATCAGTGGCAAAAACTTATGATAGTAATAGTCAATTAACACAACCTGTTATGCAGCCTATTCATAATCATTTGACAGTTAAAGGCACTGTTTCGGGTGGCAAAATCAAAAAAAGGGTTGGAATCTTCAATATTTTTAGCAGTAATAAGGTACGAAATTTTTTAATTTATTTTAATTTCTTTTTTTTTAAAACATGCTCCTTTTTTCGCAATTTATTGCATGTTTCTTTTTGGTTAATTTTATTTATAAAATTATTCTGCTTATATTTCTAAATTAATTGGTGAAAGTATTTAGATTAATAATAATTGAAGGTGATCTCCGCCTCTTGCCTTAATGCTTTTTCTAACAAAAACAAAATTTTTTTTTTTTTTTAATGTTTAATTATAATCAAAAATTACATTTTTTTTTGAAAAAGAAAAAATAATCTGAGAAGTTAAATAAAATTTTGCCTAGTTTAAACATTTTTATTTCGATAAAAATTTTTGTGTGTTATTAAATATTGTGTAGTTAACCCCACGTTTTTTTAAAAAAGAATCATTAGAAAAAAAGTTATTTGCTTTTTCTTTAAATAGTAGAAAAAAAAATTTGTTATGAATTTTGTTGGTAAAAAATTGTATTTGAAAATTCTTTTGTCTGCTTTTCTTTTAATTTGATGGATGATTCGAAATCTCTGCCAATGATCTGTCTGTGTATGAAATCAACTATGGGATATGTTAAATTTGGATGCAAATATACATATAGTAAGTACAACATGAACATCCGTTTGTTTGCCTGTTTAGCAATGTTTTTTTTTCTCCACGTGTGAAAAAAAAAAAAAATGAACAAAAACAAACAGAAAACAAAACAAAAAAAATGCACCTGCAAAAAATGCTAATGTCAATTTCTTCTAAAGAATTTTATTTTTATTTGATAACTTTTTATTTTTCAAAAAAAACATCGAGTTTTTCTCTCAGTAAAAAAAAAAAATCCTTTAATTTTTAAAGAAAATTGGGATTTTTTTTTTGTCAAGTATTGAGATTGCATTATTGTTAATGTAAATTTCGTTACTTCCGCTGAATGACACGCTTTTGTGATTTGTTTCATGCGAACGACAGAAGTTGATCGAGGTGTGCATATCTTTAAAGGTCTGTTTCCTCATTTTTAATAATTATTAGATTTTTTTTTTAATTTGTGGTTTTAGAATTTATTTTTTATATTTATATATATTTTTCATATATATATAAATATAGTTATTTTACAATCATTTTACTTACATTATTAAAGGAAATTAACTTCTTTTTTTTTTATTTAAAATTTTTGAAACTATTTTCTGGCAATTAATTTCTAACGCTTTTTTTTTTTTTAATAGAAATAACCGAGACTTTTGCTTTTCTAATGCTTTTAATTATTTGCTTTTGAAGCTTTATTTGGGCAAGTTTTTTTTTTTTTAATTTTAGTTAAGAGAGAAAAAAAAATAATAATTTTTTTTCTTTCACTAGAATAATGTACCTGGTTATGGTGATGGTGCAAAGGAGGATTGCAGTGATTTACCTCCAAATCAAAGGAAAAAAAGATTACAACAAAGGCTCGATGAGATTCATGCGAAAATACAACAAGAAACGGCAGCGAGAGATGGTCTTATGAAAATGAAAGGTGTTTATGAACAAAATCCAGCTCTCGGCGATCCAACAAGTATACAAGGTCAATTGAATGAATCGAGTCAGAAACTTGATAAATTAGGAACAGAACTAATTAAATTTCAAGGTTATTTAGAAGACGCAATGAAAGCCGGTGTTAGTTTGTCCAGGTAAATTATTGAATTGTTTTTTTTTTAAATAAAAATTTACAGTGTTTCACTAATAATTTTATTAATTATATTTAAATATTAAAATTGGAAAAAAATTTTTAGTCCAAGTCAAGTGCAGCGAAAGCCAACGACCAATGGTTCAGCGACACGGCCGTTGAGTTCGAGAAGATCGAGTCATTCCGGCGGTGAGGAAAGTCTGTCGAGGTCAGCGTCAGATTCTAGTGTAAGCAACGCAAATGCCAATCAACCAGTGCATAAAAAAAGCGCTCCTGGAACTCCACAACCAACACATTGGTTAGTGTCACAAATTTTTATCAAAAAAATTTATTTTTATTTAGAATTTTTTAAAATTGTTTTAAATTTTGTAAATGAATTTGAAATTATTTTATTATTTTTTTTTAATGTTTATATTTTGTCTTCTTTTTTTGTAAATCAATTTTTGTTTACAAATTTAAAAGAAAAAAAACGTCAGGTTTTTTTTTTTTGGGAAGATTTTAGACGAAGAAACTTGAATTAACGTCACGGAATGACAATTAGGTTAGATTAGGAATTTTATTTCGAATTTTCCGCTTTACACTACTGATGCACAGTTCCACGAACAGCCCGGAGTCTGGTCTTGGAGCTTCTCGGACGTCCCTGCCAGGAAGTGGCGGTGAAGATTATTACGTCGATGAAGTTGACGCTCAACCGCCTCTTGGAACTTGCCGTGCTCTCTATCCATTTGATGGTAAGTTGCTCAAAAAAAATATTTATTAACTAATTAAAATAAAAAAAAAATCCTCTTATTTTGAGGGGGAATGTAAATCGACGAAAAACGACTTTTTTTTGCGATCCGAGTTTTGTGATTTTTTAAAATTGAATTTGTTTTTTAATTACAAAAATTAAAATAAAATGGAAAAAAGAAATTATTTTTTATTAAGAAAACATTTATTTTTATTATTTAATAATTATTTGAAGAAAATATTGAAAATTGTATGATTTTTCAGCAACTAGTGAAGGATCGATACCAATGTACGATGGTGAGGAACTCTATATGATCGAGGCTGATGCGGGCGATGGTTGGACGAGAGTTCGTCGCATTTCACAGCCAATCGAAGGATTTGTTCCCACATCATACATAGAATGTCATCTCTACAATACTTAGCCATTGGAACTTGGTAACTAGAGGACAAAGAATCGATTCATTAAACAAAAAAAGGAAGTCAAATTTCTTTGGGAAGGAAATTTTTTTTTTTTCCCCAAAAAAAAGAAATCTTCAACAGGGCCTAGGAACAAAAACAAGTAATACTATTCTATTTAAGCCCCTTTAAAAAAAAAAAAAAAAAAATTACCCAGAATAATCATTCTGTGGTTTTCTTTATGTGCCACAAAATTAAAAATTTCACCTCACAATCATGCAATCCAATTTTTTCAAATTGCGTGCAATACTTTTTTCTTTGCAGGTGATAATGCTTTATTTCCGTCGAAAAAAAAAGAAACTTGTTTAGAATGACTCATTCATAAAGCCCTTTTTATCGTTAAATTTTAAGCTTTGTAAATATTGTCGAAAAAGGTTCTTGAAGAAAGAGAGAGAGAGAAAGAAAGTATGAATGTTTTGATCTTAATCGTTGAATCACAAATTACGAGTTTTTCACGAGGATCTTAAAAATTTTCTGTATTTAAAAACTGTTTATTTGTTCGTTTTTTTTGTACTTTTTATTAAGGACTCACTGACGCTTTTAATATTAATTTTAATGTTAAAAATACGTTTTTTTTTGTTCGTTATATTCGCGATTGTTTTGCCAATTAAATTGACTAGTTAGATATATATTTATAAAAAAAAAAAAAAAAAATGCTCGTGCTCAGGATTATGTTTTTTTTTTGTTTTAAATATTTGCGAATTGCTCATTTAAAATTCCGGAGTGGAATGCTAGTCAAAGCTGGTGAGTTAAAAAAAAAAAAAAAGAAAATTACCCTAACTCACCCATCCGGAAAAGAATTTTTTTTGTATAGTTTAGTTTTCGGTGAAGACTCGTAATTTCATGGGGCAATTTCTCATGATCTGATTTTGCATTCTTTATCGGTGCAAATTTAAATAATTTTTTTTTTTTTTTTTTTTACCTAGTTTTTAAGTAGTCATCACCGCCCGTCGCGTCTATTTTAGTCCACGTTAATGTACATATTGCTATAAATAGAATACTTAATTGTTAAAGTAAAAAAAAAAAAACAATTTTTCTTTTTATAACGACGAAGTTAAGTTATAAAAAAAAAAAGAAGCAAATTTTCCTATTTTATCTTAGTAAAAAGAAAAAGAAAAAAAAAACTTTTTTTGCTTCGTCCCAGTTATATTAATAATAGAAAACCTGTATTTTATATACTTCAATTTAGAATAATTCTTAAACTGTGCTTTTTTTAAAGAAAAATTAAAAAAGAGACAATTTCTTTTTTGTCCGCACGCATATTTTTTGAGATTACGATGCGTAATTCACAGATTTATATATAATTTATTGGCGCAGTTATAATTATTGATAAAAAGATACTAAGCACGAGAGAAGTTGATTGCTTTTTTCGTTTTAAATGAAAAACGAGAAAAAATTTAAAAAAAAAAAAAACTGTGACTTAGATTTAAAGAAACAAATTACAAAAAAAAATGTCTATTATTAATAGTAAAGAAAGTGGAAAAAAAAATTTTTTTTAATTATGTTCGTCAAAAAAAAGTTGTAAAAATGAGTTTCCAATTGAACGACAATTTCAAAAATAATTAGGAAATTAATTCCTATGTGAGAAAAATGAAATATTTTCTATAGAATAGAAAATTCTTTTTTTTAAATTTTCATTTCCTTTGTAATGAAAAATAAAGTTTAATTCGAAACTCAATATTTGGAAGAGAAAAAAAAAATAATAATAATAATAATTACCAACGTTGTAATTATTAGCTTTGCTTGAGAAAAAATTCAGTAATCAGAAACTGAATTTTTTTGAGCAATGATAGCATTCTATGTATATGTATATTTTGTGATTTTTTTTTATCTATTGACAAGTATTGTAGATAATTAACTATATGACTCATACATTTAATTATTATTCATTGATATAGAAAAATATAGGTACTAAACCAATATAATTCAATTGTTTTGTTTTTAATATTAGGAAAAATTTTGTCTTATTTGCTAGACAATTTTTTTTTTTTCATTTATATTTTTGATAATTATTTAATAATTATTTAATAATTATCTTAAATTAATATCAATATAAAAATTATGTTAATAATTAAATTAATATTAATTATTAAAATAATTAAAGTTTTATTCTATAATTATGTTTATTTTTCAGAAAATTCAGGGAAATTGGTTGAAAATAGAAAAAAAAGAAACAATTTTCGTATTGTGTATGGTTGTATTGCACGTCCCATGGACAATTGACTAGATCGCAAATACAATATAATTCGCTCGTTAACACGAGCTAAAAATACAAACTTTTTCGCCACATCTTTTTTTTTATATATTATATATTTTTATATATATAATATAGAGAAGAAATTAAATACAAAATTCGAATATAATCGAAAGTTAAAGATTCTAGTTAAAAGTCCGTTTAATCACTTTTTTTCTTTTGTTTAACAAAAAAAAAGAAGGCACCAACGGTTTATTTAACATTGGCAGTACTTTTTCTTTTTCTAATCAATATTAGATTTACATACATATACAATATTTATATTTATATCAAATTTTTTTTTTTTATCTTAAAAAATAGTAAAAGAGAATTCAAACTTACGAGTTACGTTAATAATTAAAAAAAAAAAAAAATAAAATTGTTAGCGTTGACGAGATTTCAGATTGATTCAGATATTTTGAAAAATTTATATTAATATTAAAAATATATTTATTATTTCCTAAATATATTAAAATTATCTTAATATTGTTCTTTTTTTTATACAAATTTGTTTTTTTAATTGATATTTTCTTTTCTTTTTACAGAATTTTTAAAAGTGTAAAATGCAATTTTCACGTGGAGAGAACTGAATCAATTCTTTACTTAATTTTTTAATCACAGCTTAGTGGAGCTTCGATGGAAAATTTGAAATAATTTTTTTTTTTTTACCTTGAGTGACTGAGGTATTTGAAAAAAAAAAAATGAAATAAATAAAAGAAGCTCCGCGCACGACTCGTCATGGAAATTGCGATAGTAATAAAATCAGTCGAAGGTAATTAACCGAAATGTTATAAGTACTTGTTAGTCACAATTATCAGGTTCATCATCATTAAAATTTCACTCTTTCAATCGATCGTAGAAACCAATTTGAAATTTTTTTTATTTATTAAAATTTTTCTCTAGTAAAAAAAATCTTTTCATTTTATATTATGTTTTTATTATTTTATTTATTAAATTTTTAAAAAAAAATTATTTTCAATTCGTGTATTGTCATTTTAAAAAGATTGTTTATAAAAATTCTCGAAAAGAAATATTTAGTGTAAAAAAAAATAATATTCAAATTGGTTTTTTTTTGTCTTACTGTACAAAATTCTGTCTAATCTTTTTTTTTTCTCTCTTTTTTTTTCCTAATACCTTTGCAGAGTCCTGGAGGAAACCAAGAGCAGAGGCAGTAATTTTTGTTTGAAATAAAAGCCTGAAAATCGGCCCTTATTTAAAAAAGAAAAAAAAGAAAGAATGAATTCAAACGCTAAGATCTTCCCAGTCTTCGAGTTGTCGTGGTGAAATTTCAATTTGTATCCTCGCAAAAGCACCAAGTAATTCATGTAATCGGGCGGTTAATGGATTATTTTTTAAATCGACGAATTCCAATGTTGGAGCGAGTTTCAGCCTTTCCACATCGACTTCTGTTTAAAAGAAAATGAAAATCCATAATTGAGTGAGCAAATTCTAATTTTTTTTATTTATATTTATTTTTAATAAAATAAAAAGAAAAAAAATTTGATTTCCAATTTAAAATTTCTATTTGATATTTTTTTTTGTTATTATTCAATAATTAAGAGGAAATTTCTTGTAAGAAAATTTTTAATTTTATTAATTAATTGAATTTTTTAAAAATTATTTTTGCATTTATAAAATTTTTAATTAAATAACAGATAATTTAAAATGGAAATCAATTATTTTTTTTAATAAATTATAATTTATTTTTTTAACATTGAATTTTCAAGATTTTTTTTTTTTTTTGTTTTGTAATATTATAAATGAAAGGACGTGTTTATTTACCAATGATAGAATTATTGTTGGCAAGAAGTCGTTTTAATTGTGACATTCGACAAGCTACAGAAGGCAGAGCAATAAATGTGTTGTGGGAAATGTCGAGTCTTTCCAAAGCTTGCAATTCGGCAAGCTCTTCCGGTAGTTTGCTCATTTGATTGTGGCTCAAATTTAATTCTGAAAATAAATTTTTTTTTTATTTTCATAAACGAAAAATAATAATTACAAAATTTCATCTCTTTTTTTTTACCTGTTATTAACGAAAATTTGACGGCAAATTTTGGTGGAATTTTCGTGATAACATTGCCAGAGAGATCGCATCTTTTTAATTCTGTGTGTCGCATTAGATGATAAACTGCGTCAGGTACTTGCATTAATTGACATTCCGAGAGATCTGAAAGGAAAAAAAAATCTTGAAAATTTAATTTGAAAATTTTACAAAAAATTAAATTTTAAAATTGAATATTTGCTCGCAGAGAAAGAAAGAAATTAAGATCGACATAGAATTTTTTAATTTTTTTTTTAATTGAGAAAATATGTTTTTCATTTGAAATTAAATAAAATTTGATTGCACGAAAGATTAATTTATTGGGTGATAATTATTTTTCCTTGTATATTTGAAAAAAAAAAAAAAAATTCTGTCCACGGTCTTGATTTTTGCACTTTCTCCAGAATTATTTACAACACGTAAGCTTTAGATATAAAACATATATCTTATTTTAAATACTGTTCATTAGACCAAGGAGGATTATTCATTCCTTATTTACAGAGCATATGAACATAAATTAGTACATAGTTCAGTTGCCCTACAAAAAAAAAATGTTTCCGGGTGCACTGACTCGTTAAGACGATCGTGTGTGAATTTCCGCAAATAATTCAAACGCCACTAATTTGTTTTTGCTTACCAATTAAATACTATTGTTCAATGTTTTATTTTAATTTAGGAATTCAAATTCATTTTCACTTGAAAGACGCGAATTAATAGTTTTTATCGAGGAATATTTTTCTTTTTATCAAATAATTTTGTTTTCACTAAACAAATTTTTTTTTACACCAAAATCTTTATTTTAATAAATATATTTTAATTTTTGATAATAAATATTTTTTTCGTAAACGAGAAGCGTTACTAAATTCAAATTCGGTAATTTTTTTAAACAAAAGTATCCTATTATTAGTTTTGAAAATTCCCGCTTTGTTATTATATTCAGTCATGCCAACTGTGTCTAAAAAAAATTGAAGTTATTTTTAAATTTTTATTTCTAAATCTATTTCTATTTATATTTATTGTATAATTTGGCAATATTTATTGCCTTTGATAATAATAATCAATAATTATTTAATAGAATTCTTTTATTATTATTATTATTGTTTGAAACGTTATTTTAATAGAAAAAAAAATGAAAATAAAATAACCTAAAACAAAATTTATTTTTAATTTAAATTCTTTAGAAAAGTAATAAAAATATAATTACTGATTTACAATATTTAAAAGAAAAGAAAAAGATAACTTTATTTTTTTAGATTTAAAGAAAAACAAGACGTAAAAAAAATTAGTTTAAAAATAACTTTTTGTGTAAAGTAGGTTAGTAGATTTCTGATATTAATGCGTAGATATTTTAACTTAAAATAAAGTTATTTATATTGTTCAAAATTTTAATAATTTACATCGATGAAAGAAGTAAGATTTTTTTAAAATTAATTTTACCTAAACTCTCGTTTTCTTGTGCTTCTTGACAGCGTAATATAATCTTTGTGACAGCGTTCGCCATCTTTGTTGGTAACACTGACAAAGTGACAGTCAGCTGATTTATAAATATATACAAATTATTCCAGAAATCATTTCTCTTATTTTCTAGAATATGATAAATTATAGAAATGATTTAGTTTTGTCAAATTATATTAATTTAATCTTGAAATTAATTTGAATATTTAAATATTGAGTTTTCATGTGATTTTTATTATCGAGTTTTTAAGGTTATGTTTTTTTCCAAAGGAATTAAATAATAGAAAATTGTGTAAAAATTAGAATGAAAATTTTTCTAAAGTGAAACATGAAATTAAAGGGACACTAGAAATAAAAAAAAAAAAAGTTTGAAATTATCGGAAAATTGTCGGTGGAAGTTGCGCGCATGGCCTCAGGGACCTTTTGAGAGCAAGTTACCTTTTAAAGAAGATAATATTCCATATAAGGAGGCGCTCTGTATTTTGTATTATATTCACGGTCTCCCTCGTGTATTTATGCGTATAATACACACATATACAAACATTTATTGCGGATCAAGTTGTACGAAGGCTTCCGACCACCCCATAGGAAAAAGACAATGAAGGGGGCTTTTTACGACAAGAAAAGAGAAAGGAATTTGCATTTCAAGACAATATTACCTACTTGATGTTGATCTAAACTTTATACATAATTATATAAACACACAGAATGTTCCAATTCCATATTCATAAGAATTCATTTTTTAAAAAGGGGGAGAAATGAATTTTATTTTTCCAAAAAGGTAAAATATAATTTTTTAATTATATTTTATTATTGCTAATAATTTCTATTGAAAAAATATTTTTTTGTTTTTAAAATTATGAAAAAAACAACGAAATGAGCTTGACCCGCGAAATTAGAAAGTATCAATGTCTGATTAATTCTAATTATTATTGTATGGCTCATGTTTGCGGGTGTCTTCAAAAAGTAATTTTTGTATATTTTTGCTTCCTTTATATATATATTATTGTCAGGTAAAGAAGACAAAGACCGGATGAATTGCGTAATTTATAAATGTTTATCTCTCTCTAATTATCTATGTACTATCTTCTCTGGTCTTTCACTTTTATTCCCGATATGAAAAAGTTTCATATTTATTTTTCTATTTCAATTTTTAAAAAGCGCATTTTTAATTTTTTTTACTTTTATTTAGTTTGAAAAATTTATTTATTATTATATTTTTATCTCGAAATAATGAGAAGAATTTTTTTTTTCAGAACAATGAAAAAAAGGCCAATTATTGTCAAAAGCCACGAGAGCTTATAAAATGTGCCATATATTTTTGCGCTCACAGAAAAAAAAAAAACAGGATGGAAAGTGCTGCGCAGATGTAATAAACGTCGCGTGGGTAGTTTTAATATTACATTAATACTTGTTTATCAAGTAGTTCAATTATTCAAAAAAAAAAAATTCTATTTCTTTCATAATCTATTTTGTTTCCTTTTTTGTACTCTAATTTTATTTCTCTTTTTATAAATTATCAAATATTTCAATCGATTTTTCTAATTAAATAATTTTGTTTTCTATTTTAGATGAGTCATTATAGTGAAAGAAATGAAAAACAAAAAGAAGGAGAGAGAGAAAAAAAAAAATTTTAAAGAATCGTGAATATAAACACGTGTGTTATAGTAAAAGAGCATGCTGACTTTCGCCGCCGCTGTCGATTAGAAACTTCGTTTTCATTTGTAATAAATGACGGATAAATCGACTCACTTTTCCCGCGAGTTCTTTTTTTTCGATTTATATTCAGCTCTTTATTATTTTTTTTTTTTATTACATCCGAAAGGGATATATGAGTCACGTGTGCAATTCAAAAGCTGGAAATAAACGTGCAAAGAAGAGAAATAAAAAAAAAGGAATAAGAGACCAAGGTCGACGATCTTGGCCAGTTAAGGACGTTGCAAGGACTCTTTTATGTTTTATATATACAATTTTCTTCGACAAGGAACCAGGAAGTTTTTTTTTTACGCACATAGTCTGAACATCCTCGAAATAGAAAAAAAGATATTTGCCAACTCAGGAAGAATATATATATTTGTGGCCTAATGCGTATGAAAAATGAAAACAGTCGCGTTAAGGTCGATTAACTATCTACAAGGAAAGGTGTGTTATTTTTAGTTTTATTCTAAATTAATTGAAAATTTTATGATGTGTAAATATTTATTTCTCTCGCATAAAATAAATGCGCAAAAAAAATAGTTTTTTTTCCAAATTTTTTTTTTTTTTTTGAAATTTTTCTAAAGTTCAAAGCAATCGGGATCATTGTCATTACGAAATGTTTAAATTAATTTCAAAACGTCTTTATAATCATTGCATCAATCGAGTTTGCTTATTGAGAATTGAGATCATGACAGATCAATGATCTAATTGCCAAATTATATATTTGTCATCTCATTATTATTTAATTGGGAAGTTATTTTACAATTAGAATTTTATTTTTAAAAAAAATTCTCTTATTTTATAATTAGTTTCTTTTTTTTATCGTTATTCATGAATTATTAAAATCGAAAGTTTATTAATTAAAAATTAATTAAATTACCATTTCAGCTTAAATTAAATCATTTTTTTTTTTTGAAAAATGTTTTTATTTTGTTTAGGTTGAATTTTCGTGCAAAAAAATGAAAAAACTAATTTTTTTGTAACATTGACAATGTTTAAGGAAGCGGAAAGAAACCTATTTTTGAATAATGTAGATTTTATCTTATCAGATAAAATTTATATTATCAATGAAGTGCGCATTTTATTAAATAATTTATTATTTTAATTAAATTTTTGACAAATTTTAAATATTTAAAATAATTTTTTTATTATATTTATTTTAATATTTCAATTTTGTTCAATACTTCAGTTCGTGAGGAATTCTAATTGAAAAAAAAATGAATTAATTATTGTTTTTTTTTTTTACAGTTTTTACTGTTTCTGTACAATTGTACAATTTAGAGATAAATCATTGTTTTTTCTTTTTTTTTAAGGAAGCAATTTCTCTTGATCGTGTGTATAAATCATCGAAATTGGATAATTGAGTTTAATTTTTGGTGATTAGAAAATGGATTATTCTCTCTCTCTCTCTCTTACCTAAGTCGCAATTATCCTGTGCCTGTTCACATCGCGAAACTACCCTGATAATTGCACGGCCAGCCAATTGAACACAAACTGCCATCGCCACATTTCTCTCCCCTTGTTCCTGAGAGATTTGCTGCACTTCCTCGGCATTATACGCTGGTGGCTTCATCTTATGTCCTCTAATATATAAATTTTCTTCCTCGTCACGGATCAAAGATTCAACTCTCAAAGAAAGTGTCTCTCTCTCTTGATTCACAATAATTTGAGGCCGCAACAAATTGTTTCCGTTTGTATTCCTCCAAAAAAAAATAAATACCCGATGAGATTTATTTTAAACACCCAACACCATCACACACAATTTTCTTTTTTCGATTATTCAATTTGTTATTTTACAATTTATTATTATTTTATTTTTGTTTCTTAATTTTTATATTATTTATTTTTATTAATTTTTATATTAATTTTTATATTATTTATTTTTATATTAATTTTTCTTTTACGTTTTGTTATTGTATTAATAATTTCTCTTCTTTATTTTTTTTTGTGCTTTTTTATTATGATACAAAAAATTAGGATAGAGAATTTTATTAGATTTTTTTTTTTTTTTGTTTTATAACCGAAAGGCTCCTTCGGAATCAATTTAAAGGATCCGTAGCTAGCCGAAAGCGGTTTTTTTTTTTTAATTATTTAAAGGCACCGAAACCTGTCGTGGAGACGTTGCCTTGTACTGATGAGTTCCAATATGTTCAGTGCTATTTAAGCCCTCGCACTCACTCCCACCCGATGATCAGCTGACGATGATCCCTTCTCTCTTACTCTTTGTTTGAAAACAACTGTAGAGCACGAAAACCACGTGGAGATCGCGAGATACAACCTGTCAAATTCATATTTCCAAAATTTTGTTAATTTTTTCTTTGGGAGGGGAGAAATATTTTTCCACGTTTATTAAAAAATTTTTATTAAGGCAACTTGTGAGAAAATAAATTTTTTAGTCACAAATTATAATTTTTGCAATTAAGTTAATTTGTCCTTTTTTTACAAAAATTATTGAATTAATTAATTATTTATTTTTATGTCTAATAAATAATATTTTAATTTATATTAATTTAATTTATTTTTATAATAATAATATTTTTATATATTTAAAAAAAATTTAATTTTAATTCTCGCGAATATTTATTTTTATTATTTATACAGTTTTATATTATTTCCTATGTAAAAAAAAAAAATTCAGAACTTGAAAATATTTGTGGCAAAATGATTTTTTTAAAAATATTATTGGAATATTTTTTTTGTAAGATGCGTATAAATATATTATCTATAAAGAATTTCTTTATTTTTTTTATTCTATTTTAAATTTCAGCATATTGGGATTTCCTACTTGTCATCAATTCATAGTGGCCAACGAATTTTACTTTGTTTAATTCAATTTTCTCGGCAAAGTGCCTACTGCGACAAACTCGATTTTCACTTAAGGATTCGACGAGTTTCCATATAAATGAATCAAGGTAAATATTTAATTTCATTAATATGTTTCATTTTATGTTTAAGATTTTAATTCCTCTTTTTTTTCCATCTTCCATTTTATTTTCTTTAATTACATTTTTTTTTTTTTATGTAACTTTCAAAATGTTAATTAACACTCAATTATAATGAAAATAATAATTTTGTAATATATATTAAATGAGAATATCAATTTTAGGGAAGCACTTTAAAATTCGTCTGGAGAGTTTTTTTTTTTTTGCAAATTTGCCAAAAAAAATTCTCTCATCCGGACAAAGAAAATGTTGAGACATATATATATATTCAACGAGAACGAGATTTGAGGTGGGAAGAAAAAAATATATGTGGTATTCAAGAGAAAGATATATTGGCGATATTTAAGAAAAAAAAAAGTCTCGCCTCGAAAATTTTCCTAAAGAACAAGGAAAGTCTTTGACCTTTTTTTTCCACGCTTCGCTCTCTACATTTTCCATCATCATTACTATTTCTAGAATTTTCAAGTAAGTTGTGCCAAAATTTTATTCTCTGAATTTTATTTTCTATATATTTTAAGTTCCGGTATCAATTATTATTATTGTAAATTTAAAAAAAAGAAAGAATTAAAAAGAAAATTTTGTTAGAAAATTAAAAAATGTTTTTAAGTTCACAAAATTTTTACTTAAAATACAGTGAAAAATTAAAAAAGTAATTAGGAATTAAATAATTGAATTTGGATTTTTAAAAATAATTTAAAGAATTTTATAATTATTTTTTTTTTAATTCTGTGAAAAGATTTGACTTTTCCTTGTGGGGGAATTGAAAGTCGCGAAAATTTTCGAAAAGGAAGAAACAAATTTTGTCGGTCTTTGCTCTTTATTCCCTTGTGTGTTGGCCGAATCGAAGGCCCAAGAGGGATAAAATGTTTATATGCTACACGGTATGTTTGGCCCGTGGCCAACAAATACTGCGCGTGCAATTAGCTCCAAAAATAGAGTCGTCGACTAAAATCCCCCATGATTTCTCGTCTAACGTCCTCAACGGACTTGACAACTTTTGCATTCAATTGAATATACATTCAGAATGTCACTAACTTTTTTTTAAATTTCATTTTTTTTCCCCCTTAATCATTCTATTCACTCGAGAACAAATTCAAATTAATTTATCTCAATATTAAACTGAAAATCTTTTTTTTCAAAACTTATTAAAATTTTCCAGATTAGAAATTTAATGTAAAAATTATATTGTAAATTAATGGTTTTCTTAAAATAAAAAAAAATTGGAATGAGATGAAAAATAATTTTTGTTTAGTGAGATTTCTTAGTGAGAATTTTTGAAACCTATATTATAAAATACGGAAGAATTTAATTGTTTCACAATATAGACGTATAAGACGTCATTGTTTGATTATTGTACGTCAAAAAATTTTTGAAAATCGTGGGCGATCACTTCCGTTTTTTTTTTTTTTTTTTTTTTGTTCTCGCGTACGAAAACGTGGAAATCTGTTTGTAACAAAAAGAAAACCTTGGCTCACACTTGACGCAACAAAATTCAAAGTAGAGGACTTTGGCTTTTGCCTTTGTGTTGCTTATATTCAAAAAAGCTTTTGCGCGTCTTTGTCGGCAAAAATTCGGCTTATTTTTGTATTTTATACTTGGAATTGAATTTGTCGCGTTATATCAAAAAAATTGCGCGCTCAATTAAAGCGGGTTTGTTCATTTTTTTTTTTCGAAAATGCAGACTTAAATGAACAATGAAACAAAATTTCTCGATTGACGTAATTGTTTAGAAATTTATTTTGAAAAAAAGCAATTTAAAAAATATTTTTGTCTAGAAGAAAAACATTTTATCGGTTTTATCAAGTTTTTATTTGCCAAAAAGCACATTTTTTTTACACAAAAGGCGAAGAATAATATAATAAAAACTTTCGTCCAATTTTATAATATTGTTTTGTTATATTTATATATATATATTTTTTTCTCTTTTTTCATTTATTTATACGTCACGATCATTTGAGTTTGAGGCCGTTTAATTGAAATATCACTATATATAAGTGTATTTTTAAATATTGTATTTATCTGAACGCCGTCTACTAATTATGAACTATTTTAATCTTTAGAATCTTTTAATATCGATTTTTTTATTCTTTCTTAAATCTATTAATTGATATTTAGAGTAAGTCACTAAAAATCATATATTTTCGTTGATAATGCAGTGAAATTGGTGTAATCTTACTTTGTACGTTTAAAAGAATGTTTTTTTTTTAAATTAGCTACTAGAATATATTTAAATAAAAAACTAACTCTAAATAATTTATAATAATTATTTTATAGATAATAATAATAATAATAATACAAAAATTACCAAGCTTCCATTAAATATTTAAAAAATAACTCAATAATTAAATAATAAAAACTTAACTTTTGCTATTTATAAATTAAATAAAATTAAAATATATTAATTAAGTGCATGTATATAGAGAGATCTAAGGAATGATTTTTCCTTTAAAGAGTAGCCACCATTTTAAGTACAACAATAAAAATAGAAAATTTATCAAAAAATTAACTTTATAAAAAAATAGAAAGTAAATTTGTTATTTTTTTTCAATTAACGTTCAGGTAATATTTGTTTAAAAATTGCACTCTTTTTTTTCCTCTAAAAAATATATTAATATTTGGTACTAAAAACAACACTATTTGAACGTAAAAAAAAAAAAAACCCCCCATATTGAGTATTATTTGAATTGAAAAAAAATTATTTTTCTATATTTCAAAACTAATTTTTATATTTTTCAACTATTTTTTTCTCTATTCAAAATTATTTTTTTGTAGTAAAAATTATTTATCAATTTTATATATATTTTTTTTTCTATTTAACAATATATATTATCAACTTGGACATTTATATATCAGTCAAGAAGTACATTTTAAATTATTATTTTGAAAATATTTTTGAAAAAAAATTTATTGCGAAACAAAAAAATTATTTTCTATTAAAAATAACAAAATCCTGCAAATTTAATTTGTTCATCGTTTCTAATATTAATTAATAAAAAAAAAAAAAAAATTACGGAAATTTTTTTAAATTCTCGATTATGATATTAAATAAGAAAATTTGTAAATATGAATTCGATAGTTGATATTGACGATTCATCATAATAAATAGGCACAAGAGCTATATATAAAAAAGAATCAAGTGCTTTTAAATAGAATAGAGAAATGTGCCCCTAATAGTTTGATATTCAGTTATATATATATAAATATAAATACGATTGAATGTTCCTTAATTAGGAAATTGACTTACGTAATATACGAGAGCTTGTACAGGCAAAAAAAAAAGAGGGTAAAATTTTTAATTACAAGCTTTTATCATTTTTAGGCCGATCGAAAGCTTCTTGCGCGTGCTGTAAACCTGTGCAATAGTGTAACAATAAAACACTTAATGCTTGAACTCTTAAATCACTTTGACCAATCAACTTGTTTGAATTTGTTTCGCTATTTTGTGATAATTCAACTCTTGAGGTAGTTTCCACGTCAAGTGCAGTCTTCAATTTCGTTATCTAAAAAAGCAAAAAATTCATTGTTTTCCGAAAAAAAAAGAAAATAGATTTTTAAAAATAATTATTTAATTCATAAAAAATGTATTTAATAAAAAAAACAAGACAATACTCACCATAGAATTGATTTTATCTATTCGATCCTGTGGCTCGAGATATTTATATAAATACTGTCCAGTGTCTTTGGCTTTTGTCATAAGTCCATCATTTAAATCCCCAGCGATTAATGATGAAGCGACACTTGGCTCGGCACCTTCTAATAGTTCAGGACTTATTCCCAATCCACCGACGAGTGAATTCTAAATCGTTCAATATTTTATCGTATATTTTTATCTCTTGTTTTATTTGCTTTTTCTAATTCATTCACAAATTTGAATTCACGATTATCCACCAAAATTAAAAACCAAAAAAAAAAAAGCTATCACTATTGTTGCACATTTTCAACAAAAAAAAAAAATTCACAAAAATACATTGTTTTTTATTTCACTAGTTTATAAGTATATTAACGAAATTAAAAGCAGTGTAAAGCGTCAATATTTGCGGCCAAAGAATCCAAAAGAAGCAGTCCCAGTTTATTTTTTATGTCTAGATTATACAAAATTCTTGCATCCTTTTTTTTTTTTAAATATAATACACAAAATTGATTCCGTGATAAAGCCATATTTTCAAAAGCAGCCTCTATACTAAAATTAAATAAAAAAAAAAAAAGAAAAACAATTCAAAATTCTAAGGAATAAAAATGAACGGTTATAAAGAATTGTAATTAATAATATTAAATTGATACTTAAATTTGTTAATTAAAAATTTACTTTTTTGATTAATCAATAAAATAATTTTAATTTTAGTCTTTAATAAATTATTTTAAAAAAAACTAGAAATAAATAATTTTATACAAATTATAATCTAAAGATTTGTTTTGTAAAACAAAAGTAAAAAAAATAGAATTAAAAATTTTGCAAAACTATTTGAAAAAAAAAAAAATGTTAATTAAGCTCATTCTGCATGCTCGATGCACAGAAAAAAAGCGTTATATAAGGAAAAAAGAGAAACACGCCAAGATATTTTAATTTTTACAAAAGGGGATTATTTAAATAATTTTCTTTGTTAAATTTGTCAAAATTGTTAATTAAATAAATATATATAATAATAGAATTAAAAATGTATGAAAAAAATATTTTTAAATATCGTTAATAAAAAATGAATTAGTTTAAGAAAACAGTGAAATTATATACAATATCTGATATTGTTTTCTGCTCTGCATCAATTTTTTTTTTTGTTCAACATTGTAAAATCTTGGCTGCTTTCTCTTGAGAGGAAGCAAATGTGTACCATCGATCTACCTTGCGGGATGCGCAGGGACTTTGGGGAAGACTTCTAGATGCCAAACCAGTACCAGCGCTCGGTGGGGCCAAACAACTAGTACTTCCGGCCTTCTTTAAGCCCAACAGTGTGTTAGCTAGGCTTGCCTTCATAGCCATCATAGGCGCCTAATCAAGTCACCAACTCAATAAATTTTTTCTTTTTTTTTTTTTTTAAGTAATAATTAATTGAAAAAAAAAAAAAAACAATTTTTCATCATCCAAGAGGATTGAATAGTAATTCCATCCCCTTTGATCACTAGTTAAAAAATAGTTAAAACAAAAATAATACATATTATTAATAATGAATTAATAATTATTATTATTAATACTAATTATAAGTATTGATGAAATCAAAATAGATTAAGGATAAAGGTGCAAGCCTATAAAAGAAACCTTCACCTTCACGAGTGCAAGTGATGATATTTTTTTTTTTTTTATTGTCAACAGTAAATCATGCTTAACAATTGGTAAATTCACGTGTGAGTGTAAAAATCGAAACGTCGTGTACAAAAAAAAAAATTGTATTTCACACACGAGTCTCGTATTTTTACTTTTTTTAATAAATTTATTTAAAAAAAAAAAACTATTTCGTTTTTATTATTATAAAAACTGTTTTTTTTTCTTTTACTAAAAAAAGGAACTGATTTTTTAGTGTCAAGTATTTTTTTCTTACAATAAAACATTTTTTCTATGTGAATTATAAAATTTAATTTATAATTTATTAAATAATTATAAATTATAAAATATATTTTATACACGTTTTTTTTTTCTCTATTTAAAATTTTCTTTAAATATTATTTGATATCAATGGGAAGTTATTATTTTTTCAATTAAAAAATATTGACTAGAATTCTTTTTTTTTTACCCCCTACCGATTTTTTTTTCCAATATTCTTTGGAATTATAATTCTGTACAAAATTTATATAATATTTTTTTTCACAGATTGGAAAAAAAAACAATAATAAAATTGTGTCAATTCGCGACACAAAAAAAAAATTTTTTGGGACTAGAATTATCAATTATAAATTATTTAATAAAAATACGTCGATTTTTTTTTCTGGATATTTAAGTTAAAAAAAGTATTGAAAAAACTGTGTTACGTGCCGAATACCTGAACATTTTCTTCGCAACCTGTGAGGGAAATTTCTGGCCCACCCTCACCGCTAACAATGTTTGTTTCAATTTCATCAGCTTCAAATGTTGCGAGACTTTCGGCGCCACATGGTCCAGCAGCAAGACAACGTGATTCACATTTTTTATGACACACCAAACCACAATCACGACATTGAACCGCATCCTTTAACCAAATCTGCGAAAAAACAAACAGAATTTAATATTTTTTTCAAAAAAAAAAAAAAAAACAGGCCTCGGATTATATTTTTTCGACTTATATTAATATTTATTTTAAAAAATCGACTTTTTTGTGCCTTAAAGTCGATCCAATGTGTGCAAAAAAATATATTTTACCTTTTTTGTACAAAAATCACAATGTGTCGCTCGATGAAAATGTGTTCTGATAAAATCATGTTTTTTAATCACATGCTCCTCGTTTGTAACTGTTTGCGATTTTGCTGTCTCTCCGGATCCTTTTTTAATACTATCATCGGTAGTTTGTTTTTGGGAATTTGTCGATATCCAACCATATGATAATAAAATATCTCCATAACATAAAATTGGATCAAATCCAGAATATCCTTGTAATTTCGAATGCACTGTATTGGTAGCAGTTGCTAAAAAATAAAATCTTATTTTATTTGAAAAAACTGTAAGAAAAAAAAAAATCATTTCAACTCACCAGAATCCGGAGGCAAAAGTGCGTGCCACTTGATATAATGTCCCGTTGACGATGTTGAACATTGCGCTAAAATAAGTTTAATTGGCGCATTAATATAACCCAATAATTTTGTCGTTGAATCAGCAATTTTTGTACGCGACCATACGCCAATATTTAAATATTGTTGTTCAGAATCAATTTGAAATGTTCTTGTCTCATCAAATGTAATAACAGAAGCAAATTCTTTTTCTTTTGTTGTATAATATAAATCGGCTAAATTTATTATATTATCATCGGGAAATGATTGTACTGTACTTGAACTTGTTGATAAATTTGAAACTGTTGAAATTCTTCTCGATGGAGTTTCAGGTGTTTGAAATATATTACCATCATCAATTAATGAATTATGTGCACTACTTTTTCTTCTTTTAAATAATTTACTAACCAATTCACCTTTATCAATTGTTTCAATATTTTCTGTTTCTTTATTTAAATCGGAAAATTTAATTTGACTTTCAAATTTCAATTTACCATCATCTAATTCATTGCGAATTATTGTTGATGTATCACTTTTTGATGATTTACGATCATAATTATTACGTTCATAATCATATTTTATGAAATTTAAATATTTTCGTTCAACACGTATTATAAAACGTCTTTGTGTTGCACTTTTCACTAATTTTGCCACTTGATTCATATTTGAGACACGTTTACCATTAACAGCAACAAGAATATCGCCACGTTTCATTTCGGCAATAAATGCCGGACTACCGGCAACAATTGTCTCAACAAGAACACAATTTTGTCCAATTTCAACGATATTCTCCTGTTTAAAAACAACGCCAAGTTGCTGTGAACTTAATTTACTGATAATTAAATCTAATACCATATAAGGAACACCGCTATATTGCGTTAAATAAACCCATGGCGTTGAATCAACACTCATTGTACAATAAATTTCATTATCCATTGGAATTGCAGTTGGATCCAAATTAAGACGGCTCACTTCAAGGAGAATCACTTCTAAATAACCGGGTGTTAATTGAGTGCTCGCCACCTATTTTCAACAAAAAAAAAATTATATTTTTTATTAGTTTTATCATTTTTAATTTGTAAGGTAAATTTATTTTTTTGCATTTTATTTTCTCATTCTAAAAAAAAAATAAAATCCAAAAATAAATTTACCTTTATTTCTGTAAAGAGAATAGCAAAGAAAACAAAACAATGTAAGGTAAATTTATTTTTTGCATTTAATTTTAATTTTAAGAAAAAAATAAATTTACCTTAATTTCTGCGAAAAAAAAAATGGCAAAAAGCTATTTTGGAAAAAAGAAAACGAAACAATGATGGGGACAACAATGAAGAAAGAATCCAAACAAATAGTATAAGCAATTAAAATATATTTCTTAACCCTTTTATGCTGAATTACACAAAAAATGGGGGACAAATTCACAATTTTTTTTTTTTTATATTTTTTTGTTTTTTAAACCTCAAGACACCAAAGATTTTTTTTTTTTTTTACTTTTTTTTTTACTTTTTTCTTCTTACATTGTTAGCCAACAAACATCCTTATACCGCTTAATTTAACATACAATTTTAATGTCCTTTAAATACACACCATACATAATAATATAGAACAGTTTTTTTTTTTTTTTTTTTTTTTTTTTCTTCTGAACACGAAGGAAAGCGTTAGGAATAATAATAAAAAATTGGATCCTTTCAAAAAAAAAGGAGTTTTTTTTTACCTAACAAACTTGGAGTGAAAAAAGTTGATAAAAATATTCGACAAAAAAGGGTTAACAAAAACGTTTGCTTCAAGTTATCATCATCAGTATGAAAATTCAGAAAGTGTACAATTAGAGTGTAATCAAGTGTTATTATAATATTCCAGCAACATTCTATATAAATATGCAACATTCACATAGTAAATGATTTCTACTAACAATAATAATAAAAAAATTAAAACCCTCCCTGAAACACAATTCTTTTTTTTTAGTAATCTACATTATTGAAAGCACATTTATTTTTTCTCTAAATTTGTAAGAATTAACACTTTTTTTTAAAATTATATTTCTAATTTCCAAAATATTAAATTGTGATAAATGAAAAATAAATCAACATAAATTATAAGGTTAAACATAAAAAATTCTGACCGCCAAGTCTTATTAAAAATCACAGAATACTTCTTAAAAAAATAAGATATATATTATTATTATTATTATTATTATTATTACTTTGGTAACTTTTCCTTAAAAATTATTAAATTAAATAAATCAAGACGGACAGAATTTTTCAATATGATAGTCGATTTAAAAATATAATATTTTGAAAAAAAAATTTGTTTTTGCCAAATATGATATATGAAAAACAAAATGTCAATTTTAATTTGATCGTATTTTTTTTTTTTTGTTTTTGTTCAATTTTCACACCAAGTTTTATATTAGTTATATTTTTTTCTTAAACACTTTCAAAAGTTATTCTAAAAATCTACATTTTAAATTATTATAAATATAAACACTAATAAATGTTTTTGAAAAAAAAAAATCTCATTCCTTTTTTTGAATTAAACTTTAAAATTAATTGAAACTTAAAAATTTTTCTTAAATTGTTTTTAAAAATAAGAAATTCTCTCATTTGATTACAAAAAATTTTTTTTACACGAATTTCCCAATAAATTTATTTATTATATAAATGTAATTTAACTTAATTAATCAATAAATTATTTTTTTTTTTTTGAATTTAAATATATATTTAAATTTTTATTCGTGTAGGGTAAATTTTAAACACCTACATAAATAAATGTTCTCAATTAATAAATATTAATAAATATTCAATTTTACATGGAGGAATTTTACACACGAAATATTTGATTTTCTATATTATATATATATATATGGAATAATAAACGATTTTTAATTTGTTTATCATATTTAAAAAATGTTCAAGTAATCCTTTTGAAAATTGTTTATACCTTCTTTAAGATTTTTCATTGACAATATTTTGCCGAGATTAAAAATTATCATTTTTTAAAATAAATTTAATAATTAAAAAAACGTATTTAAATGTTCGTTTTATATTTTTATAAAAATTGATATTATATTTTAAATTTTATTTATTATTTTTTAAAATAAATTTAAGAATTAAAAAAAAATCGTTGTTTTTTGACAAAATGAATTATAAATGTTTTTCTGTTTGTTCAATTTTTAATTATTCTAACTAGAATTTTATTTGAAATTTTTTTTTTTTTCAGCAAAAAAATTTGTCAAATCTTAAAAATAGGAATTTTGAAAAAAAAAATTTGTTTTACATTCCTCCCGGTTTTGGAAGATTAGTATCATAAGCCCTGATGACATCCGTCTGTGTGACAGTGCCACCTTCCTCCTGCGAGAAAGCAAATCCATGTGACAATTCAACCTCAATATTAGCAGTCGAAGCAGCATTAGGCCTTCTTGTAAAAACACTTTTAACATTTTTTAATAACCTCGCAGTCTCAGTGAGTGAACTTCGATAATCTTGATTTTGAAAAACATCCCTTAAATCCGATTTATTAATTTCCTGTTCACGTGCCGCTTCTGTCAATGATTTCCAAACTGTATTCTTCACTGCTTTAACAATAACATCCAACATTAATACAGCCGCCGGTATTAATATTAAACCCAACCAAAAAACAGGTGACGTAAATAACATTCGATCATTGCCCAACATTACTGCGCCAACATTAAATGTTGGCCAAAAATTACTATAAATTAATACAAATAAAAACCATAATATAATTGATCCCCATGTGGCAAGATGTGTCACCCATGTCCATGAATTTGTTATTAAACCCGCTTTACAACAAACAGTCACAACAACATATGTATAAACAATATTTCCCAATACTAAATAACCACCATCGCGTCCATTTTTCCAAATAACATCCTGTTGTAATGCAAATAATGCCAACCAATAAAGTAATGATGAATGTACCAATGCATTAAAAATCCATATCCAAAATACTTTAATATTAAATGCATGTTCATTATCATTTTTTGTCGCATATAAACGTGGATGTGCAAGATGTGTTTCAGCCGAACAAACTTTATCAAATAATCCCATTGCCAATGGTGGTGCCGCTGTGAATACAACGTTATACAATCCAATTGACCATCTTTCAAATAAAATTTGTCCCGACCAACCGGAATAAATTGCAAACCACAATTCAATGACATAAAGACAAATATTCTTATAAAATGAATATAAAATTAATTTACACATTCGACTATAGTTCCATGAGCCATGAACAAATAATAAACGTTTAAGAAAACGAAATTGTGCTATCGAATAATCAGATGCACATGCCGCTTGTAATCCTTCAACACCCGATATTCCAACACCAATATGTGCTTTTTGTATCATTGCCACATCATTTGCACCATCACCAATTGCCAATGTCACTGCGCGCGTACTTGTTGTCACTAAATCAACAACTTCTGCTTTTTGCATTGGCGATACACGACAACAAATAACAACTTTACACGATGTACATAAATCAAGAAAATCACGTCTCAAATCACACGATAATGCATGTTGTAAACTATGTCCATCAATAACTAAACCAACATCATTATTTTGACATTTTAAATCCTGTCCAAAATCATGACAATGTTGTACAATAACTTCACGTGTTTTATCCAATGATGATTCATTGACAATTATTAATAACATTGTATTTGTTATTAATTTACATGAATAGCCAATATTTATTGCCGTCTCTTGTTTATCGCCAGTTAATACCCATACTTTAATATCGGCTTGTATTAATGCTTGTATTGTCTCTGGTACTTGATCTTGTAATTGATCTTCAATTGCCGTTGCACCCAATAATGTTAATTTATTTTCAATTATATTTGCAGCGTCTTCAATTTTTGCATCACGATTATTTGTACTTATTAATGCTTTATGATAAAGTTCACGCCACGATTGATATCTGTAATTAATATCAAATAATTAGTCAATAAATAAATAAAATAATTAATTAGTTGAATAATTTTAATAAATACGATATTTTGTGAATTATTCATGCAAAATACAATATGATTTTTAATAGTAATAATTATTGTTTTAATGCATAATTTTTTTGTTTCGTTGCAAAATTTAAAATTGTTTACATAATCATAGTATAATTCTAGATTTTTTTTTGTCTAAAATAATAAAAAGTATAATTAACTTATTTTTTACGATTTTTTAGTAAATTTAAAAAATTTTAATTATGTAACTGTTGTAGAATAATTTTTTTTCATTTCTCCAATAGCAGTATTTTAGTTATAACATTAATATTATCAAGAAAATTTATTTTAAATATTTTAGAATCAAACTAAGAAAAATTTTGTCAAAATTTTAATTAAATAGAATAAATTTCTAAAAAAAATTCTTACTTCCAATTTAAAAATTTTTTTTTGTTCAATTTAAGCAATTTTATTTGAATTAAAAATTTTTGGCATAGTTTTTGGTTTTAGTCAAACAAATTTCCGAACAATAATATTATGTTTTACAGATTTTTTAATTCTTATTTTTTTAATAATTGAATTGCAATAGATTTTAAATTTAAAATAAATTTTCTGCAAAATTTAAATTGCTATAGTTTTTTTTTTAATTTCTGACAATAATTTTAATTTTGGAGTTTTTATTTGAAAAATTTTTTGAAAATAACTCAATAAATTTTCTATAAATTTAAACTGCGGCAGTTTTTTTTTTTTTTTTTTTATTAATTTCTGACAATTTAATTGTAGAGTTTTTTTTTGAAACTTTTTTAAAGAATTTAATTTTTAAAGAAATATTAAAATTATTATAAATAAATGAACTTTGGGAAAGTTATAGTTGACATTTTTGGAAATAATTAAATTTTACAGAATTGAAAATTCTGGAAAAACAGTTAAAAAATATTTAAAACTATTTTTCTATAAATTAGATGGAAATTATTAAGAAATAATTAAATTTTAAAAGATTTTAAATTCAAATTATTGACAAAAATTCAATTTCACTTGATTTTGAATTGAAATTTTTGGTAATTTTATTTGATGATTTTTTTTTATAATTTCAAACAATTATTGAATTTTTATAACATTTTTAAATTGAAAAATAGTTTAAGATAATTGAATTTGTGAAGAATTTCATTAAAATAATTGAAAACAATTAATTTAGAGAAGAATTTTTTTTTTTAATTTGTTAAATAATTGCAGGCCTCGGATCGACTTTAAGGCACAAGAAAAGTCTTTTTAGTCGATTTATAATCGAAAAAAGTAGATTTTTTCAATTTTAAGAAAATTTAATTGGTTAATTATTAGAAATAATTGAATTTCAAAAGATTTTGTTAATTTTCAGAGAATAATTAAATTTTACAGAACTAAAAATAATTTATGATTTGGAAAAAAAAAATTATTTCACATAGTTGAATTTTCGAAAAATTGAATTTCAATTTAAATTGAATTTAAATTGAAATTTTTTAAAATAATTGAATTTCAATTGACATTGAATTCAAATTTTGGAAAATAATTGAATTTCAATCGAAGTTTTGAAAAATAATTGAATTTTAGTTGATTTTGAATTGAAAATTTGGAAAATAATTGAATTTTAGTTAATTTTAAATAGAAAAATTTGAAAATAATTGAATTTTAGTTTATTATGAATTGAAATTTTGGAAAATAATTGGAATTAGTTGATTTTAAATTGAAAATTTTTAAAATAATTAAATTTCAATTAAAATTTTGGAAAATAATTGTATTTTAGTTCAATTTTAGTTGATTTTGAATTTAAATTTGAAAAATAATTGAATTTTAGTTGATTTTGAATTGAAATTTTTGAAAAAAATTAAATTTTAAATTTTGAAAATAATTGAATTTTAATTAATTCGGAATTGAAAATTTTGAAAATAATTGAATTTAATTAATTTGGAATTGAAAATTTTGAAAATAATTTAATTTTAATTGAATTTTTTTAAAATAATTGAATTTTAGTTTATTTTGAATTGAAATTTTTCAAAAAACAATTAAATTATTGTTGATTTTGAATTGAAATTTTTAGAGATAATTGAATTTCAACAAATTTTAGATGAAAAATTTTAGAAATAATTAATTTTTAGAACTTTTTAAATTGAAATTTTTGAAAATAATTGAATTTCAAAAGATTGATTGTATTAAATTTCAGACAATAATTATAATAAGTGAAATTTCTAGTAATTTCTGTTGATGAAGAATTTATTAGAAATCATATAAAAAAAATTGAATTCCAAAAGTTTTTAATTGAAAATTGCTTTCAGATAATTGAATTTTCGAAGAATATTATAAAAATCATTACAAATAATTGAAATTTTTGCAAATAATTAAATTTCAAGTGATTTTTAATTAAAAATTTTTGTTAATTTTATTTGCTGCATTTTTCTTTAAATTATAAACAATTATTAAATTTCATATAAATTTTAATTGAAAAATAGTTTAACATAATTGAATTTGTGATGAATTTCATTAAAATTATTAAAAATAATTAATTAAGTGAAGGAATTTTAGTTTAAAATTTTGTTAAATAATTGAAATAAAGAAGATCTGAAAAAGATCTGCATTGTATACTAAAAAAAAGTACTGTTTAAAAATGTTGAAAACAATGTAAAAAAAAAAAATCGAAAAATACATAATTTTGTCGAAAAAAAATGTCAGCTTTATAAAAATAAATTTCTAATAAAAAAAATTTATTTTTAAATGAAATTGTTTGAAAAATAATTCCAATTTCCCTATTTTCAAATTAAAATCCACATGTATGTATGTAAAAATTTTCCAAATGCATAATTGATGCCAAAAGTTAATATTTAAAATCAGTTATAACAATAACTGAATTGTTTCTATTTTCTAAATTTTCATTTACACAAAATCGTGATAAATAATTAATTTCAAGTAATTAATTTAAAATAAATTAATTTCAATTGAATAAATAAATAAATAAGAAAGGAGAAAAAAATTACCTATTCTCAGGAACGTCGGCAACGGCAAAACAAAGTGTTCTCAAACCCTCCGAAGCAAAAATTTCCAAATGCTCCAATGTAACATCACGAAAATCATCAAAACCCTCAGGTTCAATTTCACTTTCACCCGTTGGCGTTGTCGCTAATCTTTCATAAATCACCGAATCGGCGCCTTTACAATAAATTTTAATTTTCCCCTCAGGCGTTCGTAAAATAATTGACATTCTCTTTCTTGCCGATGTAAATTCAATGACATTCAATACCTCATATCTTAATCTTTCGCCAAGTGCAATTATTTCCACATATGTTGGTGTTCTTGTATCAAAAATATAACCAAATTTACTTGCACCATCAACAAGTGCACGTTCATCAGGCGATGCCGCATGATAAACAATTGTATTATCAATTTTCTCTGGTATCACTGTATGACATGCCGATAACATTATCATAAATTCATTTAAAATAGCCGCATGTTTTGTACGACTACGATCCGTTGATTTTTTCCCCTGAACAATATCTCTCACCAATTGACAATCAAATGAATCACGCGTTTTACTTGTTGTTCCATTTATTGCCGGTTCAACAATTGTTGTTGTTTTAGTTAAATCGATCATTCTATTTGATGAACCACTATCAGGACGTGGTGATATTCCATTTAAAGATTCTCTAGTTTCATTATCATCGTTAATTATTGGTAAATCATAAATTTTACCCGACACTGTACATCTTTTAAATTCCATAACATTTTTCGTTAATGTTCCCGTTTTATCAGTGAATATATAGCTAACCATTCCTAATTCTTCATTTAAATTACTTGTTCTTGCCATTGCCGGCGTATCAGATTCAGCGTGATACATTTCAATATCCATATTTATAAATGTTGCCTGTACAAAACGTACAACTTCAAGTGTTACTTGCAATGATATTGGAATTAAATTATTAAATAATATAATAAATGTTAATAAATTAATGGCAAAATTACGTGAAATATCCTCCTTTGAACCCAAATACCAAAGGCCATTTTCATTTGCGTTCATCCAAAGAAAATTAAATACAGCCGATATTAAACATAGAAATAATAAAATAAAGAATAACATTAATATTTGTGTATTTGTCATACGATCCAATGTTGAACGTTTTAATGGCGCTGTTGTTGTATTATTTTGCATTAATTTTGTATCATGTCCTGTATAAATAACAACACCAAATGCCCATTTTGTATTTCTTAACATTGCACCACGTAATAATAATTGATCGGGACCTAGGGGAATACTTTGTTTATTTGTCTCTCTTAAAACCCCATTAAATTCATAAAGATGACGATTTGGCGCTTCACATTGTATATTGGCGCGAAAATTCATTAATTCAACAGTGTCCAATAAAATACTTGTATCGGTGTGTGCTTGGCGGATTTTTAAATTTGTTTCACCATCTAAATTTGCCGTTTCAATGAAACTTATACCCTGTGGTTCGGATGATGATAATAATATTAAATCAGCTGGGAAAAATGTATTATTATGTACTTTAACAACATCACCAACGGCAACATTTCGCCATTGTACCAATTGCCATTTACCATCGCGTAATACTTCAACTTCACGCATATTTATTTCATCGTCAGCGCGATGTCGTTTTATATCTTCGACAATTTCCTTAATTGCCGATACACTGAGAATGAAAATTAATGGCACCAAAGTGGTATAACGACCAGTTGGCGAGACATCGGGAATTTGTTGCATTAATGCAATAAATAAAAAGAAACAATTACTGTAACGTCGAAATTGTTCAAATAAAAATGATGGCACAAATGATAGTATTGAATATTTTGCTGTTGTCACATGATTATTACGATATTTTGCCGGTTGATGAAGTACATTGACAAATACAATTCTCTCCTCTTGTGATTCCGATTCATGTTGAGAGAGTTCATGATCACCCTGACGAGGCATGTCTATTTCCGATCTATCCTGTGTGCCCTCCTCAAGTTCTATATTCTCTCTTTTTGAATCGAGACGAATTTGTACATTATCGACATTATCAATTACACTTAAATCAATTGGACTACCAACAATATATGGTCCTGGATTTGAATTATTTAAATTGTTACGAGGACTTGACGATGGAGAACCATCCATATGAGGAATTGTTGATAAATCCGAAGGTGTATACGGCGTTGTTGTTATTTGATTTAATGGAACACGTGGGTTCCCTTTTGATGAGGGTTGCATCTGTTGAGCCGGGATCTTTTATTACTTGGATTGAAATTAAATTTGGTGAAATATTCCAAACATCCTCCCAAATAATCAGCATCTCACAGAATCTTGCGAATCACTCACGTTAACAAACAATCCAAAATGGGAGCTGGGGAAAAAAAAAATTTTTTTTTTTTTTACTTAAAAATATCCACTATATTAAATATTTAAATAATTCAAGCCTCGGATCGACTTTGAAACATTTTAGTCGATTTATTTTTTATTTTAATTAAATTTAATAACTATTTTACTCTAAATAACTAATTAGATATTAAATACATTTTATTAATTTCTTAATAATAGGAATATTATCAAGAAAAAATTGAATTGGACAAATTTCTAAAAAAAAAAACTAAAAAATTATTAAAAATAATTCAACTTTGGAAGAAGTTATAGTTGAAATTTCGTTTTTGGTAATAATTAAATTTTAAAAGATTTGTTTAAATTTTAGACAATATAATTAAATTTTACAAAATTGAAAATAATTTTTCAAATAATTTTAGATAACATTTTTTTTAAAAGTAATTGAAATCAGATTTTTTTTGGAAATAATTAAAATTCAAGTGATTTTTAATTGGAATTATTTGGTAATTTCTGTTGATAAAGAATTTATTAGAAATTATAGACAAAAATTGAATTTGAAAAATTTTTAAATCAAAAAATGCTTTAAAAAAAATTGAATTTTTTTAAATCATATTAAATCATTTAAAATCACTAATTTTTTGAAGAGTTACAGTTGAAATTTTTAGAAATAATTAAATTTTACAAAGGTTTTAAATTAAAATTTTTCAAAATAAATAAATTCAAGTGATTTTGAATTGGAATTTTTTTTTTTTATGATTTCAGTTGATGAAGAATTTATTAAAAATTTAAAGACAAAAATTGAACTTTTAAAATTTTTTAATTAAAAAATGCTTTTAGATAATTGAATATTTTCGAAGAATATTATAAAAATAATTGAATTTCAGAAGAGTTATAATTGAAATAATTAAATATTAAAAGGTTTTAAATTAAATCCAAGGCCTGATAATTTAAAAAATAAATAAATAAATAAACTTACGTGAAAGTTGGAAGGAATTTTTGATTGATTTCAGCTATCCTACACCATCCTACGTAGCTGCGAGGAACAACCCTAGGACATGATCCGTTTGTCAACATTTTTTTTTTTATTTTTTTATTTTTTAGAGCACTTAAATTCCAGTTTCTTTTTTAAATACCGTCACAACTTTCTTTATTTTTGTTTCTTTTTAATATTGAAATTAAAAGGTCTGAAAAAATTATTAATAATAAATATTCATTCATAAAATAGTCAAAAAAAAAAGGTGTAAATTTATGATTTGCATAAAAATTTGTTCAGTGATTGTGAATATATAATAAAAAAAAAATTTGTTTATTATAAAAAATAAAATTTCAAAGCAACGGTGATGAAATTACGACTGAAATTAATGATAACTATCTTATCATTTCACGAAAGAACATGAGTGATATAATTTTTTTTTTTTTTTTTTCAAAAGTACAATAATAAAATTTTCAACGTTCTTTTCCAGTCGCTTTATTACATGTGAGTAATCATCTTTATCAGTGACAACTTTTAACTTATTACGTCATTCAAGAATCAAGTGTTAAAAACTTAACAAGGTTATTAGAAAACTTTTGAGAAAATACAAGGCATAAAACTAATGTTACGAGATAATTTTTAATTATAGAAAAAGAAAAAATTACCCTTTGGATATTTTTTTTATTATTTCACAAATGTGAAAAAAAACTCATTATGAAAAAATTAAAAAAATTTAATAAATAAAAAAAAAAAAATTAATTGAAATAATACAAGAGTAATTAAAAATAATGGAAAATAAAATTGAAAAAAAGAATTAGTGTAAAAAAAAATTAAATGAAAAAAATTTTTTTTTTAAATGATAAAAAATTTTATAAATGAAATTACATACAATTTTGAAAATTATTTAAATTAATTTTCCATCTGTGAAAATTGAAGATACGAACAACACTTTGTTAACACATTTTAATGACTGTCATATGAGTTTAAGAGATTTTCTTTCCCCAGTCTAAAGAAATGCCAAATCAATTTGAAATCACGTGACTATTTTAGGATTATGATCGCGTGCGAGGTGTGTCGAAAGGTGTGGTTATCACCTTCTTATTTTCAAATATTATTTTCCTATCCTCATAATGTGACCAAAAAAAATTAATTAAATTCATTTATATATCCATGTTTAATAACAATAAATTAAATTAACAATTTATCTATCCAAAAAAATTCGAAAGGAAAAAACTTTTTTGTTAATTCACCCAAAAAAAAAATGTGGATTATTTTTCTGTACATTATTTTTTATTTAAATTTACTTTTTTTTTTACTACCTATTATCTTTAGTTTATTATTTATTATTTACTGACAATTTTTTTTTCTAGCGAAAACTATTTATTGTTTAATTGACGTAAACATTGAAAAAAAAACAACAAATATAAATTTCTATAAAAAGAAATAAATTATTTCTTTTTATAGTATTTAAAAAGAGTGTAAAGATTGTTTTTTCTATTTCTAAAATGGGGATGGTTCTAAAAGAATCTTCTTAATTATTATTTTAAAAACGATGTAAAGCAGGTCTATAGACTTTATTCTTTTTTTTTTTTTTTGTTAAAGGGGTATATTAAATGTCACCAGTTGCTTTGTCCTCGATTAAAGGGTATGCTATCTACTACGCCCCAGTATAATATTGTAATACTTGGAACATATCGACATTGCTGTGACTCTCTTTCTCTCTCTCTCTCTTGCACACAAACAATAAATGTACAGAATGTCACGGATGGAACTTAAATATCTGATGACTAATCTCACACAAAATCAATAAAAAAAAAAAAAAAAAATGAAACACGATAATAACTATTCATTAGAAATGAATCAATTACAATCAATAAATAATTAACAATTCATAATGACCATCACATGTGCAGTGAAAAGAAAATATTAAAATACATTTCGAAATAATAATAATAATAATAATACACTCGTGCTCTAATTTTACCTTCGAATTTGAAAATAGAATAATGAATCAAAAGTGTAAATTAAACAATTTTGTAATAAAAATTTTCATTACTTCTCTATTGTAAAAATTTACATAACAAAAATGATAAAAAAAAAATAAATTATTTTATGTTTTATTTACATCACAAAGGTAACGCCCCCTTTTTACCAAACAATAATTGTGCAAACAAAAAAATAATATCTCAAAAATAGTTATAGGTTAAAAAAAAAACTTTTTTTGTGCCACAACTGCAAAAAAAAATAATAATTAAAATTCTCTATTTTTTTTTTAAATAAAAAGAAATTTAAATTATAAAAAGTCAAATAATAATCCCCCCCCCCCAAAAAAAAAGTGGAACATAAAATAAGAATTGAAAAACACGATAAATTCAAATCACTGAATAAATTAATTTGTTTAACAAACCTCAATAATAAAAGACATGAAAATCCATTTGAAGAAAATGTTGAGAAACTAATTTTTCTCTCTTCAACTTTTAAGACGAAATGCTTTGCAAATTGTATTTCAAAAAAACAAAGATAAGCAAAATAACGGTATATTCTTCTATACACAATTCATGATGAAAAAAAAATAAAGTATATAATATTGTTATTTACTTGTTACTTGTCAAAGAAAGGTTATGTCAGTATTTTAAAAGTTATAATAAATGCTCCAAAAATAACTTTTAATGCATTATTAACAAATAACATTAGAAAAAATAAATGTTATTTAATTATTGTTGATAATAAATGTCACGAAATTAAACGATTATTACTTTTCTTTTTTTCTAAAAGGTGAATAATTATTTTTGAGAAATACTTGGATGAAACGTCACAATAAGGAACTCATGAAAAGTCGAAAAAAGAGCTAGTAGAAAACTAGGGAATTTTGCGCAATCGTACTAGATGACGCTCTTCTATTGGCTAGTAAAAAAATACCGCTAAATTTCAAAAATATATTTTTAATTAATTCGTTCAAATTTTACTTATTATCTTTCTCTTTTATCATTGATCCCATTTTAATAATTATAATTCTTATATTTCCATTATTTTTAATGATTACTTTTTCGGGGGGGAAATTAAATTAAAAAAAAAAAGACATTTAATAAAACAAATTTAGTTGATATTAAATAAAATTCATTTTTGAAGAACTCACTTAACTTAATTAATTTATAATTAATGAATAAAATAATTATATATTAAAAATAATAATGTACTTACCTTTTCTTATTAATATTTTCAAATCATACACAAAAATTATTATTTTATAAATTCACTATAATTAATTCAATCACTCTTATTTCACTGGATAAAAAAAAATAATTATAAAATTATAATTTATATCACTGAATTTCTTTTATCACTTTTTCTGATCGAATAAAAATGTTGCCACAACAAAAATTATTTTGCAATTAAATCGCGATTATTAAATGTTTAAATTATTTTTAAATAATTTTTTCTCCATTAAAAATGAATTATATTTTTGGTATAAAATAGATTTTTTCGTTTTGTATCGAATTGTCATTATAACAAAATAAATGGAAAATTAATGATATTTTTTAGAATATTTTTCAAAATGAAAAATTAATTAATTATATGACTGAATATTTTTTTTTTATCACTTTTTCTGATTGAATAAAATTTTTTGCATTTAAATCGCGATTATTAAATGTTTAAACCATTTTTAAATAATTTTTTTCTCCATTATAACAAAATAAATGGAAAATTATTGATATTTTTTTAGAATATTTTTCAAATGAAAAATTAATTAATTATATCACTGAATATTTTTTTTTCATCACTTTTTCTGGTTGAATAAAAATTTTTTCGCAATTAAAAATTTGTTTTCATTTAAATCGCGATTATTAAATGTTTAAACTATTTTTAAATAATTTTTTCTCCATTAAAAATAAATTATTTTTGATATAAAATAGATTTTTCCGCGTTTTGTTTCGTTAAATTGTCATTAAGACAAAAAAAATGGAAAATTAATGATATTTTTTAGAATATTTTTCAAATGAAAAAATAATTAATTATATCACTGAATTTTTTTTCTTTTTTTTATGAAAAAATTGATTGAAAAAATTTTCTGATTGAATAAAATTATTTTCGTAACTAAAAATTTGTTTGCATTTAAATCGCGATTATTAAATGTTTTAACTATTTTTAAATAATTTTTTCTCCATTAAAAATGAATTATTTTTGGTATAAAATAGATTTTTCCGCGTTTTGTTTCGAATTGTCATTATAACAAAATAAATAGAAAATTAATGATATTTTTTTGGAATATCTTTCAAATGAAAAGAAAAAAAAAATAAAGAAACAATACCTCTGATAAGTCGATACTCTCGTCGTTGAGCCGTCGAAAGAATGGTTTATATCGCATCTTATAACGAGGTAGAGTGTGTTTTCGACGGACAGCACGTCTTATTTGTCCTGTTATTAATGAAATTATTTGCGGTTGCAATTGTCGTCCCTGAAATTGTGATTGTACTTCCAATTCCAAAATTGGATCAGTATAGAAACTCAATGACCAATGAGTGTAAGGAACACGGGTAAATTGAAGTCTTGCCTTGCCGGTCACACGTTTTACTAAAAAATATATATATATAAATAAATACATCAATATTCTATAAATAAACATCGAGGGGAGAATTTTTTTTTATATAATAAATTGATTTTTCAATATTTCATATTTAATTTCAAATTATTCTACAATTTCTTTTACTTATTTTTTCTTTCATTGATTGTTAGTAAATTTATTATAATTTAATAACGAAAAATTGAAAATAAATTAACATACCTTGAAGCGCCAAATAGGCTGTTTTTCCTAAAAGCATTTTAACATCTATGGATAATTGAAAATTTCCTGAGTAATGTAAATCTAGAGACAAATCAAGAGTCTCCAAAAGTCCAGTGTCCGGACAAATTTTTGCGTCAGCAACTTCCAGGCCCTTTATCATTGGAAATTGATTTCCCAAATGCAAGTCTCGGAGCTGCAAAAAAAAAACAGAATTTCAAAATTAAATTAATTTTAATAGTTCTAAAAGTAAAAATTTCTTTATAAAAAAATAATTATTGCGAAAAAACCAAATGTTTTTTTTTTTTTCAAAACAAACAATACCTGAACACTATCGAATAATCGACCAGTTGTTGTCTGATTTAATAATTCTTTAAATTCATTATTAAGTTTACGATAAAGCCAAAGACGAACACGTTCAGCATTACGTAGTTCATTAAATAAAAATTGTAATGTCAAATTAATAGCAAGATTTTCATTTCCTTGATTAAAATTTTGTCTCATTGGACTGCCTGTTTTTTCCTCTTTTATTTTTGATAATAATTCTTCAGGTAATGCCGCTTTTCCATGTGGAACAGGATTTTTTGGCGGACTCGCCTCTGGTGCCGATTCCAAATATCTTTTGAATATATAAAATTCGAACAAAAGGGTACATCCTATTCCGCAAAGGAATGTAACACTTGATATAAAAATAGTTGTAAAAATGTCCATATTAGGACAGCATCAGCAAACTTTCAAATATTAATATTTTTTTTTTTTTTATTCACACAATAAAATATTTAATTTTTTAAAAAATGAACTGTCAACATTTTTTTCAATGTGTCAATGTTTAAAAAATTATTTTTAAAATATAAAAAGAATTATTCTTGATAACACTGACATCCTGACAATCTTTTTTATTTTTTATTGTTTGTCCTTTCTTTTTTATGTATATATATCTTCTTAAAGGTTAGATTTTCACGTCAACTAGGTTAAAATTCCATTGGGTATATGTCACACTATTTTGGATAAAAAAAAAAAATTTTGTTTCACAAGAAAAAATTATGACATATTGTCATAAAAATATTATTTTCTAGTCTTGTTAATATTGCACATATTAGGTTAAAAAAAAAAAAAAAAAAACCCCCGTTTTTGTCAACTCTCGAGGTTAAATCTTGCACGCGTTGACAGTTCTCTATTGATTTCGTCGGCCATGTTTGATTACAACAACGTGATTTGACAGATGCTCTGTTACGGATTGTTGGGAATGTGGGTTAAAAATGACGCATTATTTTGCATTTCCATTATTAGTCTTGTAATAATAATATAGTATAAAATAATTTACGTATTTTACTTTATATATTATGTCAAATTAATACGTTTGTCATATTAATTAAATTATTTCATTAACAAAAATTAACCGTTAAAAAAAAAATTCTCGAATAGCTGAATAAATTTTAATTAAAAACACCGGTGACAATAAATTATTTTTAAAACAATTTAAAAACAGTAATAATTGAATTTTGAATTAATAATTTTGAAAGTAAAAAAATTTCAAATCTATGGCGGTAAAAAATAGTAGTTATCTGATTGGCGGAAAAATTGTCATGTTTTCTTTTTTAAAAAAATGTTTTAAAAATTAATTAATACAATATTTAAGAATTTAATTACTTTATCACCCAAAATAAGGAAAGATAAAATAAATAATAAACAAAATTTTGAAGGAAGTAGAAGTTAAAAGTGAGGTTATGTTTTTGATTCGATTTCCGCACATGCGCAGAAAATATTTAAATGTCAGAAAGGGGGCGGTGACATTTCGATCAATCGCATATTGTTGGGAGACTGTGTGTTCGTAATGTCAGGGTGATTGTCAATTTAAGAAGATAAATACAATCATTGAATAAAAGTGTTATTCATTTTAAAAAAAAAAATAAAAACGACGTATAACGAATATTGCGAGTTTTCTGCTCGTTTCAATTGAAAGGATCAATATTTTAGTGAAAAGAAATTAATGTAATTTATTTTCTTTCTGAATATTATAACAAACAAATCAAGATGACAGTTATTACGAAGGCAATCAGCGAAAAGAAGCCTGCAGATAATTTGGAGCAGCCATTAGTTGTCGTGGAAGTACCAACGGTTAGTAGAATAGAATTTTTTCCACTAATAGTTCCAAGTTTAATGCTTTTAATTATCAGAGACAATAGAAATTCCAATTATATATATATATATATATATTTCAAACATTGTTCGTCATCAATTACAAAACAAGTGTCAACTTCAATATTTTGAATGTCTACTCCAATAATATTATTATTTTTTTTTTTTTTACATTAATGTTAAAATATAATAGGGAAAAATATTTTAAGATAAAATAAGCAATTTTTATTTTTTTATCGAGTTTGATTTAATGACAATTGTGAGGAAAATTAATGATTTAATTTTTATTAAAAGAATTTATGATTTTTCATACGTGATGAATATGATATTATTTATTGTTTGGAGAAAATAAAATTGAAGAATTCTTATTTTGTCACGAAGAAGTTGACTTTTTATAAACATTTATTGTTTATAATTTGATTATAATTTAGGGGGGGGGGGGAGGGAAGAAGATGGAAATATTAAAAGACATGTTTTTTGTTTTAAAGTAATTTTCTGAAAATATAATACTAAAAAATTCATCAAACTAGTGGGAATGAAAAAATTGTAAAACTTTGTAAGAAGTACACAATGGAGAAATAAAAATCGAAAAAAATTCATGTAAATTTAGTTTTTTTTTTGAGAGAGAGAAAATAATTTTGTTTTTAGCAAGCAACTCCTAAAAATGATCCGGAAGCTCAACGTCCAAAGAAAGATATGGCTGGACATTATTTAATTTTACAACAACATGCCCTTCGTCCTAATGCAATGACAACATTATGTCTTTTTATCACGGCAATTCTTGTGATGAGCATTGGAATTATTGGCGGTATTTACATTTATAGACAATATGGAAGGGCACAAATGCATAGACTTCGCACCGGTTGGTACAGCATTCCCTATGATGGATCAAATAAAATTCAATATGCACGTGATCAAATTCATCAGGGATTACTTGCCGATTCTGATTTATTTAAAAGTCTTTCGCGTGCAACCGAACAAGAGACGATGGATTTGGAAAAATCATTGCATAATATTAAAAGTTTTTTTAAAGAACGTTTTGAAATGGATATTGAAAATGAAAATTATGAAATTGACGTTCCCGATTTTAGTGAGGGACGACAGGGAAGATTTATTCATGATTTTAACATTGTAAGATTTTTTTAAATCTCTAACACTGTGTTATATTTTTGTTATTTAAAAAAAAAATAATAATAATTTCATTACAGAATAAAACTGGAATAATCGATATTGATGGTAGTCGTTGCTTTGTAATGCCATTAAATCGTCAATTGGTATTGCCACCTCGTAATATGTACGATCTTCTCAGCAAAATGTATAACGGTAATTATATTTTTGTTATATTGAAAAAAAAAAATTATTTTATTTCAAATAAATTTAGAATTGAAATTTGAAAAAACATTAAAATTTCATAATTAAATGAAAAAAAAGAATTTGAACATTTAAATTCAAAAATATTTTAACCGGATGTTTTGAGAAATCTATGCAAGATAATCGTATCACCGACATTTTTTTTTTATCAAATTTAGTCCATGATTATTTAGTATAATGTTTTTGAAAATTTCAATAAATTAATTTAATTGCATTTCGACTGAAAAATAAATGATGCCCTTTAGAAAATTATATGCAAAATTTATTAATTCAAATTATTAAAAGAAAAAGTTCGTATTATTTTATATTTCAATTTTTTTTAAATATTATTACAAAAAATTTTTTTTAATTAAAATTTATTCGTACAGGATATTACGAGGTTGACACACAAATTGTTCGTGAAACAATGAGGGTTCAAACTCCTCCAATTACTGATCTTTCCACAATTGGCACATACATTGGTCGCGAGTGCCAAAATTTACCAACATTTATGCTCGAGAAAGTCGATTCTAATGGTAATTTTTAAATTATTATTATTTTAATAATTCCAAACTAAATCACAATTTTTTGTATTATTATCGCATTATTATTATTATTATCATCATCATCATCATAAATATTTTGTAATTTTTCAGGAATTTCAAAGCGCAGCATATTAGAGGGACAATTGTTCCGTCAATTCGCAGGAAAGAACATTGTGGAATTTAGTATCGTGAACTAAAAAAAAAGAGAAGAGAAGTCGCGAAAGTAAAATCAATTCTTTAAATATTATAGTAGATTAGTTATAAAAAAAAAAAAAAAAAAAATACATATAAAATATAGGATTTTGCTGTTCCACGATGTTCGGAAATTGCATCACAATTGTGTGATATTTATGGGTATTACATTTTAGATTAAATTCAATATCTTCTACCTATATACAATTTTACATATATAATATATATTTTGATCTGAAAAAAAAGCAGAGATTTTTAGATGTTATAAGTATTGATCATCAACGATCTCTTTTTTTTTTTTTTTTTTTTGGTAATATTTATAATTTGAATTTTTTTTTCTATCCTTGAAGGAGAAAATATTCTATTGACTGTATAAGTAATAATATTTTTTAGTACATCTCTTTTTAATATTAACATAAATGTATCTAAGAATGAAATATATAAAAAAAATTTAGAATTATATGCAATAAGTTTCAATATATATATATATAAAAAAATAAAAAAAAAAAAGGAAAAAGATTTTTACATCTAAGTTTTTAAATGTTAAGATTTAAAAAAATGTATGAAGGATTTGCATTTGAATTATCAACTTTGAGTTTGAATTTTTGCAGAGATTATCCGAACAAAATTATTAATAAATATATAAATATATTAAAGAAAATTTTTCAGAAATCAATTTCGTAATGTATTAAAAAAAAGAACTTAATTGCAAATTCTTTTAAATACCTTGTGAAAAAAAAATTGTAAATTCTTATGAGAAATAAAATACATAAATAAAATTTCTGTTTTTATCTCCTCAATATAAAAACCATTTTATAGACGTTAAGAAAAAGAATATTTTGCTTTTAAATAAATTTTATTGAATATTCTCATATTGAGCCTTTTGCCTTATTAAATACAATTTTTTAACCCATTTGTCGAATTTTGCTTCTTGATCTCCAATAATCTGAAAATTGAAATGTATTTTTCAAATTGTATATTTTAAACAGAAAGAAAATTTAATATTAAATTTAAAGAATGTAAATTTTCATACCGATTGATGAAAAATACTATCAGATTGAATAATTGGTTGTACTGGCGGTATAACAATTGTATCTGATGTAATATCAATAACAATATTTTTTGATTTTATTTCTTTATTTTGTGCAGACGATGAAAATTGTTTGGGAGCAAAACCTTCGCTATTAATTTCTTCTAAAATTGATTCCTTAATAATTGGTGCAATAGAAAAATCATCTGAAATAATTTCATTTAATTAAATATTTATGAAAATTGAATTTATTATTTTAATTTAAATACAAAGAGAATACCTTTTATTGTATTTTGAATTTTTTCAGTAGCTAAAGGCTTCACAATTGATTGTGAACTACTTGATCTACTAGTCGATTTTTCTCTTGAAACAGATCTTCTCTGTTTTTTTTGACTCGAAGATGGTGATTTTGATCTACGTGATTTTTGTCTACGTCTTTCACGATCTCTAGAATTGTCACGTGAATATTTATAACTTTTTGATGATCTATCGCGATCTCTACTTCTTGTTCGTGAACGATGTCTTCGTTTTGTTTTAGAATGTTTCGACGATTTTCTTTTATATGAAGAACTATCACTTGAATCCGAACTACTCGATCTAATTATTAAAATGTTTAACATTAGTTTTTTAATAAAAAAAAAAGAAAGAAAGAAAGAAGTCACTATGAATTTAATTAAAAATACAATTTTGAGGTTAGGTTTTAAAAAAGTCAAATAAAAACAGAAACATGATCTTATTTATAATATAAAATAGCACATAAACGAAACAATTCTCAAATTTATGACTTGTTGAAATAACTAGTTGAAAATTAATTAAATATAGATTAAAAATTTTTTTTTTCTCAATACCTTGATCTTCGATGATTTTTTCGACGATGTCTACTACTTCGATCAGAATCCGAATCCGAAGAATAACGTGCCATTGTGTTTATTTAAATAAATTACAAAAAAATTAATATCAAGAAGAAATAATAAGTATATTAATATAATTTAATGTGTTTTTTTAGACAAAAAATATTTGCCTTGAATGTAAACAATTTTTTTTTTTTTTTGACAGCTCGCCACTAGATGACACTGCGATTTGGCGGGCTTTTTCAAATATTGTCCAATTTTAAAATCTTTCTCTAAAAAAATATGATTTAAATGAAATAATATTTAAAAACATTTCAGATTTTTTTTTTGGCAATTATTTTTAAATTTAAAACATTAACGTGTTCTGTTTACATAAAATATTTTTAAAAATATCAATAACATGTCATAATTAAAATAATAATTTTTTAAATATAACTTACCTTATTCATCAAGTTTTTGTAAAATTTTATCAGCACTTTTATTCACAAATAATTAAATGCACAAATATTATTTTTTCTCTGTTACGAAATCGAGTTAAATAAAAAAAATTTTATGTAAATAATTATATAAATATAAATGAAAAATTCCTCTTTTTTATGTTCATTTCTCAACAAATTAAATAGATACGTAATATTTCAATTACAAAAGAATTTTTTTTTTCCCTTTTTTACAGTCTTTGAAAAAATTTCCTAATTTTAAATAAATTAATTAATTATCTAACTAAATAATAATTTTAAATAATATTAATGATGATAATAATAATAATAATAATAATAATAATAATAATAATAATAATTTGCTTTGAAAAAATATTAAAAAAAGTATAATTATAAAAATTGAAAATTAATTTTATTTATCGAATAAAATAATTATCGTAGGGAAATTTTTAGATAATAAAAAATGTCCCAAAAAGAATAACGAATGGAAAATAATTTCTAAATTTTTATAATCATTATGAATATTGTAGAAGGGGAAAATCTAGGCAAACGGAAGTCTCTAACAAATGTTATGAATGAGGGACCTCCTAGGGTTTCACACTCCGTCACTCGTGGTTTGATAACACGTATAATACATAGTGCAAATTAATCTGAACTATACTGTTCAAAATTAAAAAAAACGAGATTATATGTTTATTTGATTATTAAATAAATACGTAATTAAAATGGATCATGAACATTAAAAAGTTTTTCATATTTAAATTAATTATTTAAATAAAAAGAGATAAAAAATTTTTTAATTCAATTTGTAAATATAAAAGTTTTAATAGTCATTTTATAAAAGACAATTTATAGTGATTATGATTTAAAACAAAATTAATTAATAATGAACAGACGAAAATCGTCTATTTGACTATTATTGTTTGTGTTTAAAAAAAAAAAAACTTTTTGATTTATTATTTTCGAGTGACAAAGTGTGAGTGAGTTCTTTTTTTTTTTGCAAATTGTTCGCAAGAATTCTTGAATATGGTAAATTAATAATTTTTATTTAATTTTCGATTCTGATTTCTATTTTCATTAAAAAAAAATTCGAAAAAACAAGAAAATACTTTCTTTGAAAATTCGATTATGTTTCGTAAATGTGAAAAAAAAAACTTTTTGATGGCTTATCAAACACCGAGATACAATGATATTTATCTCGAGTGCTACTTTAAGTACCACTGTAATTAAACAATAATCTTTTTATCATTTTTATAACACTCTCTAAATTAACGAAAATTTAGAAAACATTATAAAAAAAAATTATTTCCAAAAAAAAAAGATTGCTCCGAAAAAAAAATTATTAATAAAAATTAAAATTAATTAATAATTTATACAATATAAATTACTGTTAAAGAAAACCGAATATTTTCACATATTAAATTATCATTAATAAATATTTTAGTGATTGTATTTGTCGCACAAAAGAATTTAATTTTTTTTTCTTCTTAATATTTATTATTTTCCAAATAGTGTATTAATAAAAAATTATTGTTAAAAACTGACAAATTATCACTAAATATAGAAAATAATAGAAAAAAAAAATCATTCAGTATAATAAATAAAAATAGTTATCACACAAAATAATATGTTTAATAAAAAAAAAATTATTCTATTTGCTTTCAGTCACGCGCATCAGGAAATCGTGAAATTATGCGTACAATCCATATTGAAGCTGCGCAATGAACTTTAGCAAACTGGAAAAGCCGGTGGATGCCTCGTGGCGTCAAAGTAACATTATGCCGAATAAAATGAAACACTTTATTTATTCATCATTAAATCGTTGTGCTCTAACAATAAACGCAACTTAAAATTGCCAAAAAAAAAAGAAAAAAAACTTCCACTTTAAATCGCAAAAAAATCATAGAATAAAACTACAAAAAAAAAAGAATAAAAAAAAGGTCCAAAACCTAGGTATTATAATTATCAAGAACCCCAAAAATTCATTCCTATTTCATCATCATTATTCTCTTTCTCATTTTTCTTCCATCCCTCTTTTTTCAATTTCTCTCTCTCTCTCTCTCTCTCTCTTCCTCTTTTATTTCTCTATTGCCCCCTACCCTCAGCGAAACAAAATTTCTTCCACTAAACGCTCCACGTGTCGAGGAGAGCATTTCACATCGTCTCTATCGCGCGACACAAATGGTTCGTCGTGCCTTCTAAATTCCATAAAAATCACATGTCTCATCAAAAAATAATTTTTATCAATTTTTTTCATTTTCGAAGCAATCATTTTTACGTCAAACAAATATTTATATAAATAGAAAACAAAAAAAAATTGTGATAAAATATACGTGCCTGTGAATTTTTCCTCTCCTGGTGCAATAGAATATTTTCTCCCTCAAAAAAAAAAAAAAAAAAAATGCCGAAAAAAGTTGCTCCAATAAAAGATCCCGAACCAAGAAGAAGTTCGGGATCAATTAAAGATGGTATTAAACTTCAAAAAGAAATTGGACTTATGGATGGTGTTGCAATTATTGTTGGAATAATTGTTGGCTCGGGAATTTTTGTCTCTCCAAAAGGTGTACTCATTAATAGTGAGAGTGTTGGCCTAGCGCTTATTGTATGGATATCTTCAGGTGTCTTGTCCCTTGTTGGTGCACTATGTTACGCAGAACTAGGTGAGCTGCAAAAAAAAAAAAAATAACTTTAATCTTACAATTATTACATAATTACAGAAAAAAAATTGTTCATATAAATTATTATAAAATAGACAATAATTAATAATAATTATCATTATTAATAATTAATAGATTTATTTTGAAGAAATTTCTCGTAAATTAAAATAGAAAATTAATATTAGAATTGAATGCGCCTCTGAAATTCGAGTCTAATTTAAATTGGTGTCGGCGTGTATAAGATTGTTGTAGACGCAGTCGGAAGTAATTCGCGGAGTAATTTTCATTTGCTATTATTAAGTGTAGAGAATTTATCGCGAATAAAATACCTGATGCGACAGTTGCACGTTTTTTTTTTTCAGTTAGAAACAGCGCGCAAAATGCGTACCGACTTGCATCACCTGAATTCAAACGGGTCAACGTTACTGATGTTACATTTATTTTTAAATTCTCTTTTTTCTTTGCAAAATTATAAATTTTAAATGACAATTTATAGTAGGAGAAAATATTTTACTAATTTGAAAAAAAAATTGCATAAATTTAAAAAATAAATAAATTGCAAAATATAAATTTATATAAAAAAAATTATCGAAATTTAAATTATAAAAAAATGATTAAACAATTTCACTAAAATAACTATATGATTTAGTTAAATAACAAGAACTTGGAAAAGAACTTTTAAAATTAAATTAAACAAACAAAATAATTTGATAAATTAAATTTTCATTTAACAATAAAATAATCACAATAGAGAGTTATTCAATTTTATTATTCAAAGTGTTTTCGAATCGTTCTTTATACTTTAAATCAATGACCTCTTATCATATACAACCTTTTCCATAAAAAAATTGCCTCTCTGATATGTGTACTCGAGACACAAATTAAATTTATTAGCCACAAAAAAAAGTGATTAAGAGAATAAAAAATGAAACTATAAATAGCTAATTACAAAAAAAATGTAAACATGTCATTTTATTAAATGAAAATAAAATATGAATTACTATTTTTAGATTTACTGTGTATAAATAGTGAGAATGACATTTTTTATTTTGAAAATTTAGAGAAATAATTTTATTAAAGTCTAATTTTACTTTAATGAAGCAAATAAGCTTGTTACGATTTTTTTTCTCGTTTGTAAACTATAAATTTTTTCTTACTTTTATATTTTTTTATCTTTATAACTTGGAACACTAAAGAAAAAAAAAAATGATAATAAAAATGCATGTCAATTGTTACTGATTTAAATAAATTATTTTCACATTTACTTGAAGATAAAAAAAAATAATAATAATAAATTGCATGTAATTTCTTGCGATATTATAATTATTTTAAATTCCATAAATATATTGATAAAAATTAAATAAAATGATAAAAAAAAATAAAATTTAAAGAAAAAATTTTTTAATTCATGAAAATTAAAAACTAAATCCTCTATTTTTGACGATTTTTAAAAAGAAAAGTTTTGCATAATATTAAATTAATTAAAAATTGGATCAATTTTTTTAAAAATTACAGGTACAATGATTCCAAAATCAGGTGGAGATTATGCATACATTAACGATGCATTTGGACCATTACCTGCTTTTTTATACGTATGGGTGGCACTTTTTATTTTAGTACCAACCGGAAATGCAATTACGGCTCTAACTTTTGCTCAATATATCTTACAACCACTATGGCCAGGATGTGATCCACCTCGAGATGCAATTAGATTATTAGCAGCCGTTGTTACATGTATGTTAGAAAAAAAAAATATTTTTTGACACTATTTTTTTTTGAAAAAAATTAGAAAAAAATTAGAAAAAAAAATTTAGAAAGCAATTTTTTTTTATAAAAACGTTTTTTAAAGGTAGTTTTTGAGAAAAACAAATAATTTAAAAAGAAAATAATTTACTCAGCAATTTTTTTTTTGGAAAAAAATATTTTAAGAGGAAAAAAAAGTATTTATTTTTCTGATAACATTTTTTTGTTTTGTTTGATAAAACATTTTTAAAGAATCATTTGAAGAGCTATTTTTAAAGAAGAAAATTTAAATACTATAAATTTTCGAGGAAAATTCGTGAAATATTAAAGAATACAATAACAGATGGAAGGAATTATTATTTGCCAATGACCTTGAATCGCGAATGGTATATTACTTTATCAAAAACAGTTATCGATAAATTGTTGACGCAACTGACTATGTTTTATTTACCATTTGTTTCTTCTTCGATGAAAAAATTCGAAACAAACATTTTCGGGGGTTTTTTTTTTTTAATTTTTTCGTAAATTTTCTATACTTCCATCATTTTACGATTCTAATATTTCACTTGAATTATTATTAAAATTAATCGATTTTAAATTCTTTCACACTGGTAAAAGAGAAAATTAAAATTTCAGAAATTCTCTTTTAATAATTTTTAAATTATATATTTTTTTTTTACTTTTAATGGAGAATAAAATTTGAAAAATTTCTTTTTTTTACCAGTGAAACAATTTTTTGAATAAGAATATATATAGAAATAGAAAATAAACTTACGTATTTGAATTTCAAATTTTTTTTTTTCTCCTTTTGTCAAGGTTTCTTGACTGCGGTGAATTGTTATAATGTAAAATGGGCAACACGTGTACAAAGCATATTCACAGGAACAAAAATATTTGCCCTTATCATTATAATGGTCGCTGGATTATGGTGGCTCTGCTTAGGACATACGGAAAATTTTCGTAGTCCAATGTCCGATTCAAATACAAATCCAGCATCAATTGCTCTTGCAATGTACAGTGGATTATTCTCCTATTCTGGATGGAATTATCTTAATTATGTCACTGAAGAGCTTAAAGATCCATATAGGTATGAAGAATTTCGCCATTTTCGTTTTCCATGATTCTGCGGATGAAAGAAAATATTTTAAGAATTAAATTAAAAATATAATTTACTAGAATTTCAAATTATTTTTCATATTGTTATTTTAGAGAATAAGAAATGAGAAAAAAAAAAAAATGTTTTTTCATTATTGAACTTTTCTTTTGTTTCTTGTGAGTAAAATCGAACCCCTTTGAAAATAAAACAATACAACATCTTTTTTTTTTCTCATTGTTTTGCCTCTCTTTTTTAATTACTCCTTTGCAAACAAAAAAATACGCTATATTCAAACATGAGAATAATACTTGAAAAAAATGTAAAAAATTATATATTTAAAAATTTAAGTAATTATCATAATTAAATGATTAATGAATAAAAATTATTATTTTTTTTTACAGAAATTTACCAAGAGCGATTTGCATATCATTGCCATTAGTAACAGTGATTTATGTTTTCGCGAATGTTGCATATTTTGTTGTATTAACACAGGACGAAATTCTCTCATCAAATGCAGTTGGTGTTGTAAGTAAATTTATTTAATTAAATTGAAAATTAATTTACTCAATTAAAAAAATAAATAAATATATTATTTTTCTAAATTATTTATCTTTTATTCTAGACATTTGGTGATAAACTTTTGGGACCAATGGCATGGTTAATGCCATTTTTTGTAGCATGCTCAACATTTGGTGCTCTAAACGGAGCAATTTTTGCATCATCGAGACTTTTTTTTGTTGGTGCACGCAATGGACATTTACCTACTGCCATTTCGCTCATCAATGTAAAAAATTTGACCCCAATGCCTTCACTTATTTTCATTGTGAGTATTTCAGATTAAAAAAAAGGAATCACTATTTAAATAATTTAATTTGAATAATTAAATTATTGTCAACATATTTTTTTATCAGTAATGTGAAATTTTTGTTATTAATTTTCAATGATTCAAAATAAAAAAATAAATTCAAGAGCAAAAAAAAAAAAAAAGGTCAGTCCTATAGTGATTCACTGACATTTCAATGTCAAATAATAATCTGACACTTTGTATCAGAGCCATTTATAAGTCAATTGAATTATAAAATTAGATTTAAATTAAATGCGAGACCGTACATGAAAACGGTTAAGTATATTTTTTTTTCTTCTAATTTTCTTCCGACAAAGAGATTTAAATGCTATTTAAAAAAATTCAATTGATTGTAATTTTTTCCTAACAAGCTTAATTTACGAATTTATTTTCTTTAAATTAGATAAGAAATTATAAATTATTAAAATTTTATAATAATTTAATTTTTTTATTGCTTTCTTATTTTTTTTTTAAATTTTTCGCTATTTTATTTTGATTTCAGTGCATCATAACTTTGGCCCTTTTATTAATAAATGACGTTTATGCATTAATCAATTACGTGAGTTTCGTTGAATCATTATTCATTGCGATGTCAGTAAGCGGCCTTTTATGGTTGAGGTATAAAAAACCGGATCTTCATCGACCTATTAAAGTAAGTAACCATAATAAAAATGTCACTAACAATAAAAAAAAAATAATAAGATTTTTCCAAAAATTGTTGAAAAATATTTGATGTTTTTTTTTTTTTAAATTTATTATTAAATAAAAATATTTCTTTATATTTTTAGGTCTCCATCATTTTGCCAATACTATTTTTCATAATTTGTGTATTTTTAGTAATACTCCCATGTTTTACTAGACCATGGGAAGTTAGTTGTGGATTAATATTTATTACTCTAGGAATTCCTATTTACATTATATTTATTTATTGGGAAAAAAAACCAACATGGATAAAAAATTCATCACGTAAGAGAAAAATTTAATTTTACATTCTCTTTTTTTTAATCTTTCGAAATATTTGTTAATAATTTTAAAATTTGTTTTTTTTTCAATTTACAGATAATTTTAATTTATTCTGTGCAAAACTATTCATGTGCGTTCAAGAGGAAAAAATAGACTGAAGTTTGAAAATTTATTATTTATATAAGAAAAAAAAAGCTAGCACAGTTATCAATATAGGTAATTTTTAGCATTTTTATGTAAATACTTTTTTACAAGTATAATATTTTTCAACGTTTGCATCTTCCGAATAACGAGACATTTTTTTTTTTAATCATTCAGGTTTTTTTTTTTTTTTTTTTTTATAAACTAGATATATTTTTAAAGTTAATTTATTTAATTTAAAAAAAAAGAACGCAACGGCAAAGGAGATTTATTTTAATTAAGATTATATGGCGTAAAGAATATTTAAAAGTGTGAAATTATTATGAACATGTGCCAATTATTAATTATGAAATTGTACAGACGTCAATCTAGTTATAATTAAACAAATTTTTTACAACAGGGTCCTATACACCAGAATTTTGATTAAATAGAAAAAAAAAAGGTATTGCAAATTTGTTAATTAGAAGAAAAAAAAATTGTCAATTGAAAATAATGGGATTGGAGGGAGTAGAGAAAAATTAATATTTTTCGATCAATTATAATAGTTAAATAGATATTTGTAAATAGTAGAAATTCGAAATCAAGAAAATAATTGAAATTGTCAAATATATTAAAAATAATTTTGAAATACTACTTTTTAGTAAATATTTTGACAATTCGAGACATTTTCACAAAAACAAATCGAATTATTTCTGAAATATATTACATTTTTTTTTTTTTTAAGTACAAAAAAACAAATATTGAATTTCAGAAATAATTGACTCATGTGTGCCACATAGTGTATAATAAGATTTAAAATAATTTTTACATACATGCATAATAAATTATATTACGAGAAGCGTGAAAAAAAAAAAATTGCTAATCAGTATTTTTAGTTATTAAAACGCTGATTAAGGGGACAATAAATCTAAACTTTTCGGTTTAGATATATTTATGTATATGAACCTTTTTGTAAAATATACATTTTAATGTAAATATTTTTAAATTAAATGCATTCCAATTAATTGTATAGGTAAAGACCCAAAAACACATATTATAATTATTATATCAAATAATCTACCCTTTGAGAAAAATTAATTTACAATAAATCAAGTATTTCATATCAAAGAATTTGTTAATTTTCTTTTTAATTTAAAATTACTTATAAATAAAGCATAATACTTACAAAAAACCGGTGAATCATTTTCTAACCTCAAATATACCGGCGAATCTAATACTTTAATTCATCGATCAAATCAAACTTATTTATATTAAACTTTTAATTATCACTTGAAGAAAAACAACTATTTTTACATAAATCCTTATATTCTCAATTGTAAAAGTGTTTTAATTGTTTAATAATGAATAAAAACACACTAAAACTTTTTCTTTTGCGAAGTTGTAAACATTGTAAATTTTCAACAGTGATATTCCACTGTTGCCAAATGTGAATAACTAAACTTTCAAACATAACGAAAATTTAAAACTTCTATAAACTAATTTTTAGAATTATTCGTATAATATTTAACAACAATAATTATTAACTTTAATAATTATGATAATTATTTTTTAAAATTATTCTAATTGAATATGTAAAAAATAAATAAAATTAATTTTTCAAGTTGGCAATGTGGACAAATTTTGTTCAAAAATTTTGAAATTTGATTGGTTAAAATTTCCCGCCTTCTATTTGAAAATTATTTCTTTTGTTTGGAAAATTTATTTTTTAAATTAAATTATTTAAATGAATATTTTTTTAATGTTTTCTTTATAATAACCTTCGTCTAACATATAGTTGAAAATCAATTATTGACAGGGACATAGAGTTTTTAATAAATTACGATAATTGATAAATCACACTGCGCAAGATCTGATCTGACAATAAAAATCTTAAGCGCCTGCTGTCAAAAGATATTGCTTTTATTATGAATAAACAAGTGATATAAAGAGATAAACATTTCTCGGAATTGTGCATTAATGATTTCATTATAGTTAAATAGTTTGTTTTTTTTATAACGGTGTACTAAGTTTTTCTAAAGAAACTTTCTAATTTTCAGTCATTTCTAACCTATAAAAATGACTGAGAATTTTGCTGATATTATCAATGAGGAACAATTAATTCAAAAACATAAAAAAGAACGAAAGGAATTACAAGGTAAGTTATTAAAATTTTTTTGATAATTCATATTATATTTGCTGTGGTATTCGTTCCAAGAATTGTGTAAAATTTATCAACCTAACCTCAAAACAATAATAATAAATAATTTTTTTATATATAAAAAAAATTGCTAAACACGATTGATATTTTAATTCTAGCGCAAATTCAATCATTAAAGAAATCAATAGGTAAAGGAAATAAGAAACAAAAAAAAGATGTGACTGAAGAAATTTCTCGTCTCGAGTTAAATTTAGATAAAAGGCAAAATGAAGAATTAATTAATTTTAAATTATCTGAAGTAAAATTAACTGAACAAATAAATGTAAAAGAAAATTTAAATACTGCAAATGAAACAAATGAAAAAGAAATTCAAAATACAAACGAAGATGAAATAAATCAAGTACCACAACAAAAAACATCAAAAGCCCAAAGGCGTCGTGAAAAGAAAGCAAATGAAGAAAAAGAACGAAATCAGAGAATAATTAATGAAGAAGCTGGCAATATATTTGGTAAAAGAAATATTGAAATGATGTCAATTAAAAATATTCTTGTGAAACGTGAATTTAAATTACACGAAATTGCCAGCGATGGAAATTGGTAATTTAAATATTAAACAAATAAAAAAAATTTTCTATTTAAAATTTTTAAATAATTTATAAAATTATTTTTTTTCCCCCAGCTTATATAATGCAGTGGCGCATCAATTGAAAGTTATTGGATTAACATCAATGGGTTTTCGAGATTTAAGAACAAAAACTGCTCTTTATTTAAGAGAAAATATGAACGATTTTCTTCCGTTCATTGCAAATTCAGAATCGGAAGATTTATTAACGCCCGAGGAATATGAAAAATATTGCGAAAATGTTGCTAAAACATCTGCATGGGGAGGAGCTGTTGAGGTGAACAAAAAATTTTCACCTAATTCAAAAAAAAAAAATTCACATTATTTCTGATGAATATTTTAAAAAATATTAACTTAATATTGAAAATAATAAAAAAAAAAAATTCTTACTTTTTCAGCTTCAAGTTCTCTCAAAAATTCTCCAATGTCCCATTGAAGTTATTCAAGCGACAGGTGCACCATATATTGTTGGCGATGAATTTGACGCGATGAAAAAATTAACAGTAACATATCATCGACACATGTATGAATTAGGCGCCCATTATAATTCAGTTACAAAACATAATCCTGGTGAAAGATCAGAGGAGTTTTGAACAATTTTTTTAATGTATAATATAAATATAATAGCGATTTTTATTCATCATTTTAATATATTATTATTTGAAAGAAAAAAAAAAACTTACATTTTTTTTTAATGAATTAGCAAAAATTTATTTAACTTCAATGTGTCTTTTCAGTTATTTTTCTGTGACACTATTGCTTACATCATTCTCATCTTTATTTTTATTTGGATCCTCGGGTTTCATTGCGGGGAAAAATAATACTTCCTGAAAATTTGAAAAGAAAAAATATTAAATTTGTTTTATTCGAATTTTTATCCTTTGATTTTCTTTTTAGTTTAACTAATAATTATTTTGTTTCTAATTTGAGTAAAAATATAAAATTAGACAAAAAAAAAAAGAAACTTACCTTTATATTATTCGAATCGGTAAGAAACATGGTGAGTCTGTCAATTCCAAGACCCCATCCACCAGTTGGCGGTAATCCATACTCCAAAGCAGTGCAAAAATTCTCGTCAACTAATTGTGCTTCGTCGTCTCCTGCCGCTTTATCTTTCGCCTGTTGTTCGAATCTGGAAAAAAAAAATTTTATATAAAAAATATTCTACATTTTTTGTAAATTTTTTTTTTTTGTAAATTTCAACCTTTCACGCTGAACAACTGGATCGTTTAATTCTGTGTACGCATTACAAATCTCCTTTTTCATGACAAACAATTCAAATCTTTCAGTTAATCCCTGCTCCGAGCGATGCCATTTTGCCAAAGGTGACATTATTTGTGGATGATCCATAATAAACGTTGGATTTATACATTTTTCTTCAATAAATTCACCAACGAGCTATTAAAGAAAAAAAAGTATTAAAAAAATCTAATTATAAGAAATTAAAAGGAAATTCAATATTTACCTTATCGAGTAATCTTGCTGTTGTTCTTGGTGCTGGACATTCAACTTCATGTTTTATACAAAGATCGCTGAGAAATTTATTCGCCTCTTGAGTTCCATAATCCTCTGGTTTTGGCAATGAAACTTTAAGTAATTCTTCTAAAGTTTTAATCATCGATACACGTTTAAATGGCGGTGTAAAATCAATAACAAATGCCTCGCCTTCAGGTCCATTTGGATGAAATGTAACATTATATGTCCCATGAATACTCATTACCATTCCAGAAAGTAATTGCTCCGTTAATATCATCACATCATTATAATCGGCATATGCCATATAAAATTCACATGTTGTAAATTCAGGATTATGTGTCATGTCAATTCCTTCATTTCTAAATTGTCGACCAATTTCATAAACACGATCAATTCCACCAACAACCAACATCTAAAAAAAAAAAAATGAATTTTACAGAATTAAAAATAATTTATCAAAAAAAAAATTTAGATAACCTTTTCTTAAATAATTAATTTAGAGAAGAATTTTAGTTAAAAATTTGTTAAATAACTAAAATAAAAAAGATCTGTATTACATTGTAAAGAATGTAAAAAAAATTTAAATAGTTTAACGTCCGAGAAATATATTAATTAGAATGTTTCGTATGAATAAAAACGATAACATTCGGACCATTGTTGTTTTAATAAAAGTTTAGTCCAACGTTTCGAAATCTAAATGATTTCCTCTTCAGGGAGTCTATCAAAATTACAATAAATTGTCAAATAAATAAATACAAAAAAATAATTAAATTATATACAGTGAAACATCAAAAATAAATACAGTCAATAATTAATAAATAAAATACAATAGATAGTAAAAAATAAATAAAATAACAATAATAAGTAATAAATTAAATACAAACAATTTAAAATAATCTTACCAAATAAGAAACATATGTCAAGTCATAGAAATAATGGTCAATTGCGGTGTCAAATTAATAAAAACAAAACCACCCTAACGTTGGAGAGAAACATAGAGTTTGGAGTTCAAATCTAAAATTGAATAATCAAATTCACTATAAATTAAAAATTATATAAAGAATAAATTAATAATTTAAAATTCGAAAATTAAAATAATAGATTACATACCAATCAATCCATTTTTTAAAAAATTTAATAACTGAACAGACACATTATAAATAAAACATATGATAAATAAATAAATCACACAATCTATAAATAAACAATATAAAATGAAATAAATAAAATAAAATATTAAGTGTTCTGTTCCCAACGTCAACTTTAAAACTGATCTCCAAACACTATCGACTCTTTACAATAAATTATCAATTGAACAAAACGAAAATAAAAACAAAAAACAATTGTATAAGAAATAGAGAATAACGAAAATGAGCAATTTTTCATTTTAAATTGTTAGAAATAAAATTCAAAATTATTTCATACGACTTATCAAAATTTTCCAAGTCTGTCATTTTATTTAAGCTATTTTTTCCTTCTTTTTTAATAAAACACATTTCAGCAAATAATCGTTTTTTTAGATTTGATTCAACATGCAATATCTCAAATTCATCCCATTTTATAAAGTGTGAAAAAGTGTCATTTTTGCAACTCGTTAAGTGATCACTGATAACATTATGATATTTTTCATTTAATTCAATATTTTTCATATGTTCTAATCTACGAATATGTAAAGGTCTTTTTGTTTGACCAACATATGTTTTTCCACAACTACACTCCAACTTATAAACACAATCACATTGATTTAATCCATCAATTTTATCTTTTCCGAGTCTAATAAAATGATCAAGTTTTGAATTTACATTAAAAATAGTTTTAATATTGAATTTTTTAAGTAGTCTTTTAATATTTTCTGATATTCGTCCATAATACAGAAATACTACACTTTTTTCTTCCTTACTGATATTGTCAACATCATTATTATTTAATTTAAATAAATTTTTATTAATTTGACACCGCAATTGACCATTATTTCTATGACTTGACATATGTTTCTTATTTGGTAAGATTATTTTAAATTGTTTGTATTTAATTTATTACTTATTATTGTTATTTTATTTATTTTTTATTTTTTACTATCTATTGTATTTTATTTATTAATTATTGACTGTATTTATTTTTTGATGTTTCACTGTATATAATTTAATTATTTTTTTGTATTTATTTATTTGACAATTTATTTTAATTTTGATAGACTCCCTGAAGAGGTAATCATTTAGATTTCGAAACGTTGGAGTAAACTTTTATTAAAACAACAATGGTCCGAATGTTATCGTTTTTATTCATACGAAACCTTCTAATTAATGGAAAAAAAAATTATTTTTGATTTACCTTGTGATAAAGTTCGGGGGCAATTCTCATAAATAGATCAAGATTAAGATCATTATGATGAGTGACAAATGGCTTTGCTGTCGCTCCTCCAGCGATCATATTCATCATCGGTGTTTCCACCTCCAAAAATCCAAGTTCATCAAAAAATCTACGAACATAGGCTATTATTTTTGCTCTAATATAAAATGTCTGACGTGTTTTGTCATTAAGAATTAAATCCAAATATCGTTGACGAAATCGTGTTTCCTGCATAAGAAAAAAAATTCATTTTTTAATATTCTAAATTCTCCAAATAAATTCATTTTTCAATTATTTACCTTGTCCTTCAATCCAAAATGTAAATGAGGAAGCATATGAAGACAGGGACTTAATAAAGTAATGCTTTTGGGTAATATGGAAAATTCACCCTTCTTCGATTTACCAGGACATCCAAGAACGCCAATAATATCACCGCGGCGAATTTTTTGCGTTTGTTTAAAAAATTCTTCATCACTTGAAAAACGACGTGCATTTGCCATTACTTGAACTTTTGTTCCCTCACCGCGTAAATCGTAGAAAATTAATTTTGCACCAGCACCACGTATTGCGTGTACACGTCCTGCAATACTGCATTCATCATTTTCAAATGCCTCGCCATCTTTCAATTTTTCACAATAATTTTCTATAAATTTTTCTAATGATATTGAAACATGATATTTATGCGGATAAGGATGATCGCCATTTGCTTTTAATTGTGCAACAGACAATGATCGAATTTTAAAATATTCCTATAAGAGAAAAAATTAATTAAAAAAAAAAAAATTATCGACTACCTAAAAAAAAAAGTAAAAATTATATTTACATTTGGACTAATTTCCTCCTCGTTTATTGTTGATTGTTTATCAACAGCATTGTTTTGCGTCTCTGACGTTTTCACTTCTTTTTCTGCTTTTTCTTTCAACTTTTGTTCAAGTTTTAATCGCCTTTTAAGTTCACTGAAAAAAAAAATGTAGAAATTATCTCCTGTTAAAATTTATAAATTTTTCCTTTATTATAGAATTTTATTTATAAAAATTTCCCTTATATTTTTAATACAGTAGTTGATTATTAAATTATATATATATTTTTTTTTGTAATGGAAATTCCGATAGTAAAAAGATTTTTTCTAAAACGAAAAGTACGCACTTTTTTGAAGGTTGAATTGATAGATGACGAAAATTCATTAAATCATTGGCTGCAAATTGTTTTATAAAAGCCGGTTCAGTGAAACCAATGTGTTTGGTTAGGATTCGTAGCATGATGGAATTATTATTTTTTTTTTTCTACTTTTCTAAGTGATGCATCATCACGTGACAGATTTAAATGCCAATATCAACAGAAGTTAGTTTTAAATAACAAGAAATCTCTTTTATTACATCAGAGAAAATTAAAAAATAAACATTTTATTGTGCGAAAGAACGTGGTTTCACGCGCACATTATTTTGCCTATTATTTCTAACCTCAATTTACTCACAAAAACTCAATTTTATAATCCAATAGTAATTTTCAAAAAAATACTACTAGATAAGTATTTGTAAGAATTTAATTTTCTTTCTATTTACTCACTTTTTGGATAACTTTTCACCAGCTGGCTCGGCCATGTTGACAAATTCTATTTAGGATGTGCTCGAGGAAGACGTTCCACGTTCAAAAATTGAGAAACACTGATTTGAATATATTTTTTTGAGAACCCCTGACGAATATGTATTTCCGTTTTATTTACAAAAAATTCAGTATTGGGATTTAAAAATTTCAAAAATTATTTTATTTACATATTATTTACTCAGAATATATAAAGAAACAATATAATAGTAATGTTTTCATGAAAAATATTTAAGGGGTTATGTTTGTCGCTCACAGGGGAGCAATCTGAAGTTAATCACAAAAAAATGTCTTACCTCATTGGTCAAAATTGGCGCGTTTACTTTTGACTCTAGTATTCATTTTCAAATATTTGAATTAAATAAACAATTTATTAAATAATTCTTTTAGTCATCTGGTTTTTTTTCAATTATTTGCAATAAACTGAAAAAGAAAAGAATAAATGTCTTTGACTATAAAGATGATTTATTTATTCATTAATAAAAAAAAAATCACAAGAAATTCGTATAAAATTACACTACTTGCTCATGCTCTACGTATTATTGTTTTCTATTCCAATTTCTTTATTAATATCAATTGAATTTACTGTCGAAACATTTCTTTTGTTAAGAGCAAAGCAAAATGTAGAAAAAAAAATGTATTCTTGTCATCACTCTTCAACGATTACTACTTAAATTATCAGAAAGCTCTATTTTCTTTGATACTGACGTATAATAATAATAGTATACTAATGTTCATATAAAGATTTACAAAATACCGGTTTTATGATCCAAGTGCAAATTTTGTTTTTTTTTTCACTTAAATCAAAATTTAATTTAAATTCTCTTTTCTTGTGTGTGTGTAATTTTTTTACACACACGCATACTTTGATTGGGCTATTTGTTTTTTTATTATTATTATTATGTTTTTTTGTTTTATATTTAACAATAATGTTTCTAAATTTCTGCATTGGATACTACATAAACTTTAGTAGAGAATTAGCGTATGCCATTGGCCTTACATTCGGATGTGGCTGAAAAAAGGTGTTTTTTTTTTAATGAAATTATGTTACATGACAAATATAGAATTTTTATAACTCACCACTGCTTCGTATGATGTGAATTTCGGTTTCATATCTTTGCCATTGAGAGTGATAAAGGCACCTTGATTCCCCATTGTATCACTAAAAGAAAATTAAAATTGAGTTTAAATAATTTAATTTTAATTTAAGTGTAAAAATTCTTTTTTTTTTTTCTACCAATAATTTGGAGCGGAAAATACAGTTATGCATTTTCCATAATGGCCAACTTCGTAGCCGTCTTGTTTAACTTCGTGACTCCTAACAATGTATTCGAGTTTATTTGTTCGTAGAAATTTATTCGTAACATCAGGTCCAAATTGAACACCAACACCTCGTTTACTGGGCGCTCTTCCCATTTGTGGTTGTGGATCTGACCACAATAATTCACACATTAATCCTTCATCAGGCGGTTGTCTGTTCCTATCAATTTCTCGAATTTCTTTTAAAGTTACATCGTCCCTCGAAAAAAGTCCACCGTGCATAACCTTTTTTTTTTAATAAAATAAATATTATTCATTTTTCTATATTTTGTACATAAAAAAAATGAATTTCACTTACAAGAACTTTATTATTGAGGCAGTGTGCTAATGGTAACCAATTATAAACTTCAGTAAATAATTCAGCCATTTGAGCGCTGTATTTTGATTTTACTTCACCATTGAAACCATACATTTGATTCATCGTTGCCGACTCATGATTACCTAAATAGAAATATTTCTAAATTCCAAATATATTTAATTTTTTCAAATTTTCCCTATATTACTTACCCCTTGACATGAAGAAATGATTTGGGAATAAAAGTTTGAATCCAAACAATGTGAATATACATTCAACTGAAAATGAACCTCGATCAACAAAGTCGCCATTAAATAACTATTTAAAAATTAAGGACAATAAAAACAATAAATAAATAAATAATTAATTAAAAAAAAAAAAGGATACATATGGATTTGTCTCTGACGGTAAACCATTGAGTTCAAAAATGTGAAGTAAATCATAAAATTGTCCATGAATATCTCCACAAATTGTAAATTTATTCTCGTCAGGAATTGTAATATCCACTAAACTTGGCTGTGATTCAAATAATGTTTTTACATCAAGAAGAATTTTATACGCATATTTCCGATGTAATTTACATTGATTTCTATAATAGTCGAGTAATTCTTCCATAAATTTCAATGTTATTTTATCGTCCTCTAATTTTGGTCCTGTATATTCGTCTTCGATAGCTGAAAAACAATTTTTTAAATAGATTTCTATTTTTCTTTTCTTTTTTTTTTCATTCTTACCCATTGTATCCAAATTAATTGTATCGGCAATATTTCTTTTATTTTCTTCAACTGAAATTGCCTTTTCAAATGCAATTTTTTTCACAATTTTATTACATTCTGTATATTTTGCTTTTGCATCTTTATCATTGGGTTTTGCTTTTGTAACTGTTTCATAATCTTTAAGTGCTTGTTTAAATTTTCCCAATGACATAAATGCCGCTGCACGTCGATAATAGCCCTTCAAATAATTTCTATCTAATTCAATAGATTTTGATGCATCAACTAAAGCATATCCAAAACATTCAATTTTTAAATATGCAAAACTTCTATTTCCATAGTAAACTGCTACAGTTCGATCAAGCTCAATTGCTTTAGTATAGAGCTCAATAGCTTGGTTATAATCTTGATCTATTTCAAAATAAAAAGGAATTTTTAATATTGCAAATATTATAGTTTATGCAAAAATATAATACGAAACTTTAATTTTAAAAAAATAATTTATCAAACAGAATTAAAAAAAAACGATTCTATTTTTTCTCTAAATTCCTAGAAATAAATATCAAAACAAGTAAAAAAAATTATATATTGAAAATCCGTACAATCAAGAAAAAAGTGTGGTTAGTTTTTAATGCACGTGACTTACTTACAACATGATTCTAATAATTTGATGAGAAAAAAAAAATGTCAAATCAAAATTTAATGTGAAAATAAATTAATTCTTACTTTTAAAGCATTCATTCGCCTGTTCTTTGAAATTTTCAGCTTTAGCTACATTATCTTGAGATATAGCTCCGGTTAATTCTGTGCTTTCACTCATGGCGTTTTTGTACTCTTCTTTTTTTTTGTCTTATTTAGACTTTAGATCTTCAAAAAAAAAAAATCGTATAAATTATATCCTAGATAATAAAACATGCGTAAAAGTAGGATTTCTTTTTTTTTTACACTAAAAAAAAAAAATCACTCGCACTTGTATTTATACACACACATAATTAATATATAACCAATTTAATTGCGGGATGAACATTTCATTGTGCAAAACAGGAGTACGTGAAATTAGCTAAAAATCGAAAGCAAATTTCGAGTATTATCGATTTATGTTAATTTTTTTTTATCAAAAATAAGGGTGCATTTTCATGGAGTTAGTTTGAAATAAAAGAAGAGCAAATAAATTGAAAAGTCATAAACAAATATACATAATTTATAATATATAGTATAAATTAAAAAGTTTAATATAAATAAGTCAAAAAAAAAAAAAGTGTTAATACCAATTTGGCGGGCGTTTTCAAAAATTAAGGCTCTTTTACACGTTACTTGAAAACGCGTCTTGAGAATTGTCGTTTTTTTCTTTTTAAATGATGACTCCCGATGACTTCCAATGATTTGCGACGTCAAAATAGGAGTGAAAAAAAAATCGGAGCATGTCGTTCAGAGGTGGATTGATATTTAGACGGATAAAGTGAATGTGTTTTATAAAAACAATTTGCTTTATCGAGTTTAGTTTAATTTTCACCACAGTTGTGTTAAAGTGTATATGAACTCGTGAGAAGATAGATAAGCCTCTTTAAAATTCTAATTATTATTGTTATTATTAATAAACACACACCAGATCATGGCGTCCGCAAAGAGAAAGCAAGATGAGAAAAACTTGAAAATGTTACGCGAGCTGGTCTCGCAACCGGGAAATAAAGAATGTTTCGATTGCCGGCAACGAGGTCCAACTTATGTGAACATGACAATAGGATCTTATGTTTGCATGTCTTGTTCTGGATTATTGTAAGTTCATTCATTTTATTTCTCTCTACTTCCTTTAAACATCCGTTAGCAGAGTTGACTTTTATCTCAAACTGTTTCCTTTGATAAAAAAAAAAGAGAGAGAAAGAGAAAAGAAACGAGTCAAAAAGAATGTTAAAATGGGGCTTTTAATCCAGCTCTAATTTTAAAATACAAGACCTTTAAATTTGTCGCACCTTTTAATTTTTTTAAAGAAAATTTGAAACTAGAAGTTTCTTTGCTGACAGGTGTCTTTGTGTGTTTTGAGAGTTATGAATCAGAGTGTAACATGAGATGGAATTTCCCAGAAAAAGAAAGATTCATTGCGTAAAATAAAGATTTTGCAAGTTGTTTAATTTTTCAGCTTGAATCAACAACTAATTTTTCTTAATGCATTCTTAGTTGTGTAATTTTTGATTTAAATTGCAAACATTGATTCCTCTCATTTAGAATATTTACATCTAATTGATTATCATTTTGTCAATGTAAAATAAAAAAAGAAAATTCTTTTTTAGTTAATTTATTTTTTTTTAAAAATGAATCATCAATGTGTGTGATAAATAAAGCACAAAAGACTAATGAAGTGAATCATAAATTATCGCACCTGAAATTTTTATTATTCTCTATTATGGTTGATAGGGTTTCTAAGTTTTATAAATATTAAACAAAGAAGCATTTGTTTTTTTTTTTTTATACACGCAACCTTTCACTCTCGACCTCGTGTTTGTAAATGCTTGGAAAATGAATTTCTAAAACAAACAGAGACAGTGTCTAGACTTTAATTGCATTTCAAATATAAACAAATTTTTGTGGAATCATCAAAAAATCTTATAAATTGATTTTAAGAATGTAAATATTCCAAGAATTTGTGATAAAAAGTGAACTTCGCAACGTTTGAATAATAAATTAGAAAAAAAATATATTTATGAGAAAATAAATTAATTTTTTTTCAACTGAGGGGAAAATTATTTTTTTTTTTTTGGAGAACTATCTTTGTTTTGGGACTACCGAAACTATACCGTTATTTGAACAAAAATAATTGCCGTTATTTGTAATTTGAACTGTATTTAATTTTATTATTTTGAAAATTATTTCGATTTATTCATATCTTTTTTTTTATAATAATCTAATTTAGAAAAAAAAATTAAAACTCAAATAAAATGTAGATCGATAAGCATCGATAATTAGAAAGTCTCTCTCGAAACTGAAAGGAAGTATTTGAAACGATAATTTTATTCTTAGTGACACAGTGACATGAAAAGATACGTGATGTTAAATAGCAACATGTTTTTTTTACAAGAATTAATTAGTTGATTGTCTTTCATGTTTCTTTTTCTTCTTCTTCTTTTTTGACCTAAAAATCGTTTATTGATAGAAAAAAAAATGTAATATTTAAAAAATTAATTACAAGTATATTTAAAATTTGTTTTTAATTTTTAATTACTTTTTAATAGTAATGAATGCATTTAAAAACAATGATTATTATTATTTTTTTTTAGACGAGGTTTAACGCCACCACATCGAGTTAAATCAATTTCAATGGCAACATTCAATCTGGATGATATTAATTTTCTTAAAGAACGTGGTAATGAATATTGTCGAAGTACATGGCTCGCATTACAACCACATAATGATTTTATTTATGCCGATTCAAAAGATGAACAAAAAATGAAAGAAATAATGATTGAGAGGTATGAAATGAAACGATACTACATAACGCCGTCTGAAATTATAAAAAAAACGAAAACACAATCCAAAGAATTGTCGACAAATTCAAATTTAACGAGAATTACAAATTCTGAATGTGCACAACCACAAGCAACGTCAACGCCAAATTCAACATTAATAACAGAAACATCAAAATCAAATTCATTTACTGCGGATTTTGTTGCTGATTTTAGTAAAGTACCCGATCCTTATCTTCCAACAACGCCAACGAATTATAATCAACCTATTGTTTCGCAACCTTCATTCGCTAATTTTGACAATAATCCTATTTTCAATTCTCCTAAAGGTAAAAAAAAGAAATTTTTCGTCTTTTGAATGAAATATTTTTAAATTAAAAAAAAAAAATTTGCTTTTAGGCACTGGAAGTTTGAATCAAACGGCTGGATGTTTAACGCCAAATTTCAATGGAATTAATTCACCACCATCGGAAGATCGTTATGCAGCATTAAAGGATTTAGATTGTTTAATGAAACAAGCGCAAATAAAGGAGGAAAATCCTCCTGTTGGATCTACATGGAATACAAATAATTCCAATTGTGAGTATTTAGAAAATTAATTTTGAATTCATTTTAGAAAATCAAATACTAATAATAGAGATAATAAATATTAATTTATATTATTTTATTAATTAAATATTTTCCAGTGTCAAATTCAATTTGGGGTGGTTACAATAATCAAGGATCTCAAGTAATTTCAAATCCATTCACAGCTAATGATCTATGGCGTCCGTCCAATAATTTAATCAATAATAATAATGTTCAAATATCGGATAATACACTTAATAATTCGGCAAATCCATTTAGACAAATTCAATTTTCAGTTAATAACGGCAGTGCGTTTGGTAATAATATATTTTTCTTTTTTAACACAAAAAAAAAAAACAAGAGAAAAATATTTATTATTAATTGAAAATTTATAGATACGCTTTGGGCATCGAAGGAATCGCGAAATAATGAGGATGTTATTCCATCTAGTCAGCTTATGACGTCATTCCCGAATAAAACGTGGCAACCGTCGGTTGCCGCTTATCACGCAAATCCATTTGTCGTAAGTGAAATTTTGTAATTTTTATTTTTTTAATTTAATCTATATCAGGGGGAATTTATTTACAATTAAAAAAAAAAAACATTTCAATTTCAAAACAAAATGTTTTTCTAATCGAAAGGTTTTTCCCAGTTGAATTCTTTAAAAAGGTCATTTTGATTTAATTGAAGATATGTATCTCGCTTAAGTAACAAAGATGCAATTTTTTTTTCTCAATTCTCTTTCTTTCTCTCTCTCTCTCTCTCTGTCTTTTAACGTCATGAGTCTTTTCGTAATACACGTTTCAGAAACGTCATTTAAAGCAAGAGTGCAATGAAGAACTCGTTGCTTTAAATAGACTGGCATATATAATTGACGCTAAGCTATTTATTTGTTTTCTCGCCTTGTTTTTTTTTTTTTTATTATAAACAAAAATATACCTACAATTTTATGAGTATAGAAACTGGTTTTTTTAATAAACACTTTTTTTAAAATTTATTTCTTATTTTTTTTCCTGATTGGTACTAGTCACGAATCACTCGCGAGTTGGAAAAATCCATTGATTATGATGATAATAACTAATTTCTTTTTTATTATTATCAAATTATTATTATTATTATTATGCAAATAACATCATTAGAATAAATTTACAAACAGAATTTTCTGAATTTATCAACTTCAATTAGAAAAAGTTATTTATTTTTTTAATTCTATTTAAATTAAATCTACAAAAAAAAATTATGAATTGATTGAAAATTTTTTTTTTTAGGTGGGCTCTGGTGACATGACAAGAAATTCGAACAATCCATTCTTGAGTTAGAATGATAAAAAAAAACAAAACAATCCGTAACAGACTTACGAACAAAATAATTATTGCGAAAATAAGCTTAGCATAGGAAAAAAAAAAATTTGTTTTTTAAAAAAGAACATGACTTGATTGGCAATTAGTACCCTTAGGAGCACCAATCTCTTCTATTCATAATAAAATAAGTAATGCGATTATTTATGAAAAAAAAATAATTTTACAAATTAAAAATATTACTATACTGTTACCAGGTTATAATATATATATATATAAATAAATATATGAAAAAAAAAAATATTTCCGCCACTTGCGATACACGCTTAATATGTAAATTTTTTTTTAGAGCTTTAAAAAAATTTTTTTGGTGAATGAAAAAATTAAAAAAAAAAAAAAAAAAAAAGAAATTAGTGAACAAAGAAAACAATTCCGTCGTTTCATTCCATCTATTATAATATCCATGACATTAAAAATGTCAATTGTACTATTGTAATTTAATATCAAACTAATTATATATATAAATTATTCTAATCGATATTTATAAAAAGAAAATAATAATTGACAACATCGTTTCGAACAAGAAAGTATTAATCTTCTTTATTAATAGATTGGATTGTATAAGTGATTAGATAAGGGATCTGACTAGGAAAAAAAAAATTGTATTATTTTTATAGTGGCGTTTAGATAAAACAAAAAAGAAAATCTATTTTTGCGACTGTTTAAGGCGAATTTGAAAATTGTTTTTTTTTTTTTTTTTTTGGAAAGCACACAAATACTAAATAAATTAAAACGACGAATGTTAATAGTGCACACTTAAATATTTTATTCGCTTAGAAATTTTCTAATAAATACAAAATCACAAATGAACACTTAGTCTTTGTTTTTTTAACTTATTACTGGTAAGATCGTATTACAACTATCGTTACTTGTTCGTTATACTTGAAGGCTATATTTATATTTTTATTACGAGTAATAAATGTATAAAAAGAATGTGTTAAAAATTTGGTATACAAATAATTCTAAAAAAAAAAAGTCAAAAATTCTTCTTTAGCTGCCATATTTTGCTAATTTGTTCGGAAGCGTCGATTTGTAGTACATTACCATTATTATATTATTATTATTATTACTTACAGTAATAAATTATTATTTTGAGGGTAGAAAAAAAAAATTATGACACACTAATATTATACTTGACAAAAAATTATGTTAATGTATAAATGTACGAGAGATGATATCGATATTTTTATTAACTAGATAGGTATCATGTTAATACCCTAAAGCGCTCGAATTTTTTTGCTGAGGACAAATTATATTTTTTTGTTAATGAGATTATCAAACAGAAAGAAAAAAAAAAATCTAACAGCCGTTACTACTGGGATTGCCTTTTGGCAGAGGCCGCACCAGATAAAGTTTTTCGCCTTGTTTATTCGTATAAATTGGCGCTCTTTGATAATGATCAACGAGTTGATCCAACGTGTGAAATTTCCTCTGTCCAATACAATATAATGCGCCTTCCACATGTACCCTAAAATGTTTATTACGTCCCGGTGCTTTTAATGATACCGAATAGTCTCCCATCTGAAATGAATTTTTTTTTTAAATTTTCAATTATTTATTACTTTTTTTTTAATTACTCACATTGGTTTCGCTGTCTCGTATTAAAAAATCTCCATCGTGTCCATGTTGATTAAGCAACGAATCACATTGTAAACGTGTAATTCTTCCATAATACCAAGGTTTACCAACAAGATGTGGCCTATCGCCAGGATCGGGCCTTCTTTCCAATGAATCGCCAACAACACCTCCACCTCCAACAACTCCCATTTCATTGTTTGTTATTCCTCGCTCGCGATATGGTTGCGTTAAATATTCACTAAGCTCCTGTAAATAATTACGTGGAACAAGACCAATTTGTCCATGACCATTGCGCGCCTTATACCATTCAGGATCAGCTGGTGGACGATCGAGTATTTCTAAACGATCACCTTTTTCAAATGACAATTCCTGATCGTTATTCGATGAAAATGAATATAATGCAACAACAATATCAAGTACATTTTCAGCCATTGCATATGTATGTAACGTATCATCGGCATCGCCTTCCTCTTGTGTATAATTCGATGGGAACCATCCAGCTTGATTGCCACTTTGTCCACGCCACCAGCCATCATTACTTTTTTCCAATATAAGAATACGCGTACCTTTAACCAATGATAATTCATCGGCTTGTTGCGCTTGATAATTATATTTAACAACAGCTGTACCAATTGCTTCACTAGGATCGGCTGGTAATCGCCTTGCCATTATTGGCGATTCAACAGCACGGGACGGTGAATTACTTGTTGGCAATGTTTTTGAACCTGAGCCTTTTTTCACTTTTTTCTTGATACTATCAAATATTGAGGGTTTTTCTTTTTTCACATAATTACTTGGTACATAGCCAGCTTGTCCTCTTGCACTTTGAACACGCCACCAATGTTTTGAATCGTCCAATAAAAGATATCTTTCATTTTTTCGAAGATCCAATTCCTGTGCACCTTGTGCTTCATAATCATATTTTGCGACAACGTAACACACGTCGTCTTGACTTGTTTTACCTGTAAAAAAAATAAAATTTGAAAATTAAATTTCTTTTTTTTTTTTAAATTTTTTGAATACACAAACATTGAAAGCAAGGCAATCAAAATTAAAACGTACCATGCTTCATGGCTGCCATGTGCGAAAAAACAGGAATGATTTATACAATCGACAATTGTTGTGTGAGTTCCGCTACTCACGTACTACTTGAAAGAATTGTAAATCTGCTTTTGTTGTGTCAACAGCACAAGTGCACCAGGCATTCATTATTTAGCTTTTTTTTTTTTTTGGGCAAAATTTTTTTTAATCTTGATACACCATCTGATTTCTTGATTCAGGATCCATCCGTTACTTTGGGAGAAAAAAATTAAATTAATTTAAGAATCTCTCTTTTTTTTTTTTGAATTTTGTTTTTAAACTATTTTTCTCCCCTTTTTTTTTAATATTTTTTATTTTGCTGCGACACAAACTTTGATATCATGCATTGCGGACTAACTACAATCTTATCTAATTATAACAAAATTTTTTTAACTTAATTTCGTAAATAATTTCAACATAACCTAAAATTTGTCATAAATAATAAAAGAAAATTCAAAATATTTACATAAAATAAAGAATTGATTTATAAAAGTTAAAAATTAAATTCAAATAATACGTGTTGTATTGTCAAAATTATATCGTGCAATATAATAACAAGACCAATATTTTATTTACTGAAAGATAAATACAGTAGTATTAAAAGCATTTTATGATTCATTAAACAAAATCTGAATCACTTTTTTACAAAAAATTAAATATTTATCAATTCTCATTTGCAATGTTATTCAATTGTTTGAAATCAAATAATAATCATATTCAGTCATTGTTGATATATCGAACATTTTTTTATTTTAAATTATTAACAATACCTTATAATTTTCAAAATTAACATGAACTTGAATTAAATAAAATTCTATTTCTGTAACGACTGCCGTAAATAAAAATCAATAATTCTAACCTCAAACTTGACATTTGATTTGAGTAATTTAATTTTAAATTATATTATACTTCCTATTCTTTTCAATAAAGTAGATAATAATTTATATATATATAATAAACGTAATATGTTTATATAATATTTAAATATAAAACTTTAAAACAATAGATAATTTTATCATGTAAAAAGATGTCATTAAAAATGCAACGCTCTATGAACATGAAAGATATTTATCGTATACCTATTTTATATCTGACCATGAAAGTTAATTAATAAATTGTCTTTAGTTTGTTAATTCTTTTGATACAATTAAAATGGACGTAAAAATATCATCTGTCAGAATGATGATTCATTGCTGATGCTTCAAAATAGGTGATTTAAATTCTTTTCTTTTTTCTTTTTTTGGGAAAAAAACTCAGAAAATACTCTACAAAATTAAATTATAATATTTAATATAAAAATAGGAAATAAAATACAATAAATTCTAACGAATACTGTCGTACTTGAACAAAATGCAAAAAAGAGGAATTCCGGCAAATAATACAAAATTCACATAAAAAACTAAATATACTACAAAAATGATAATTACAGCTGATTTGACACTTACCGATTTTTAAACTTGACATATTCCTTCATAAAGTACTCCAATTTCAAGCAGACAGGGCCGCTTGTTTTCCCCCCTCTTTATAAAGCAGCCATGAACTGCTGTATAGACTTTATGGGGGAGCCGTTATGGGGAAAGAGGAACGAAATGGATACGGGGTATAGGGGAAAGGGAGATATTTCCACTGACGATATTATTATTCATCCAACGAGCGGTTTCTTTTTTTTATTCTTCAAATGATAATTCTATATGGAATTTAAAATGTCTCAACTTCAATAATCAAAAATCACTCGTTTTTTTTTTTCTCTTAAAAAACTCCAGGGTACGCCCTATTCACGCCGAGAAAGCAACACACACTGACACTGATGATATTATTTCTTCGGTATTGTATTATTTAGTTAACAATACTGCTTATCTGTATGCAGAACCGTTTTTTCCATATATAAAAATGTCTGGGACCCACCCTTAAATATGTTCAGGAGAGAAATGAATATTTCCCTCACCGCGGCGAAGACGAAGACGTCCTCGTCGAGTAATTTTCGTCACACTGATGGCGCCACATTCAACTAAACTTTATTCATAATATAAACTTATTTTTTCACATTAAGTTTTATTAAAAAAAAATTCACAAATTAGTCATAAGTCTATTTATTTTATTAAATTATTGTAATAATATAAATGCAATGTCAACTTCACTATTTTTGAGGTTATGTCACTAGTTATATATTAAAAATATTCTCATTAATGTTTTTTTTTTAATTTTACAAATAAATAGAAATTTATTAAAAAATTTCTATTCAATTAATTAGTTGTATACAATTATTATTAAATAAAACATTGATTAAAATAAACGAAATGATTTTAAAATTCGTGCAAAAATATCTGACCAATAGGAATATTTCATTTTATGTACCAGTCCAAAATTGTTTATAATTTTTGCATTTTTTGAAAATATTGTTTTCTTGTAAAAAAGTTATTGTAGGTATAATATTTAATGATAAAGAATGTTTAAAAAAAGAATTATATTTATAAAAATTAAGTAGTAAAAAATCTATTAAAAAGAAAATTAATAATTTACAGGTATTTTTTTTTTTTTTTTTTTATTACAGATGTTTCATTACGTTAACATAACAAAGTTCTATACTTTCAAGGTACATGATGATCGTTACAATATGACGTCTACCTGTGAGATCTTTAAAAGACCAAACGTAATGTTGGTGTGCGATATTCGTTAAAAATAAAATAAAATAAAAAAAAAAAATTCTTGATTTATTTAATATCTTGTGAATCGTCTCTGAGATTCGTATTATATTTATACCGGAAGCTAGTTTCACTCAAATTTAAATCTACACCACAATTTATATAAGTCGTTGTATGTTAAGTCATCTAGTTTAAAAGTTGTTTTTTATTTTAATTTTTTTTTTTTTTACATTTTAAGGCGTATTTCAAACTCTTAAAATTCATTGTTCGCAGTTTTACAAAACATTTTCACACTTTTCTTTTTTTTTGCTATTTATTGCTAATAGAGTCTATTATTTAATATTCCCTATATGTATCAAAAAAGATTGAAATTTCATTCGGGAAGAATAAATTTTTTCCACAGATAATATGAAAAAATTATTCACAACGAAAGAATTATTTTTTCTAGTGAATAATAATATAAAAAAAAAAAAACATCGATTATTTACAATATTTACTTTGCACATCTAAGGAAAAAATAATTTTTCAGCCGATAATAAATATTCAATAATACACAAAAAGCTTTGATAATTAATAATAAAAAAAAAAAAAAACCATTGAGCAGAGACGATTCGCAACTAAAAAAATCGCCAAAAAAAAGAAATAATTTAAAGCGTATAGTGAATTAAAAAAAAAAACACCACCATAAAATAAATTTAAGGCGATTCTAAAAAAAAAAAAAATGATATGTTTTTTTTCTCATCTTTAAAATATTCATATATTTATTTGGAAATAAATTAGAAATTTATTTTAATTTTTTTTTCAACTTTTAAGTTAAAAATAATTAATTGAAAAAAAAATTATGTAACAAAAAACAAAAGTTCAAATAAAAAAATTCTTTTTTTTTTCTTTTTTTTCTTTTTTCTTTTTTTTTTTTTTTTATTTTTTAATAAACGCTTGGACATCTTGATAAAGATTTAAAAGCGATCACAGACAGAGGCGCATAAAATACGATAAAGGGCGAGAAATTGGCAAGACGACAGCGGATTCTAATACTTGTCTAAATTTTTTTTTTTTTTTTTTTCTTAAGTTTGTATCCGCTACGCAAAAAATTCTCATTTTTCTCGCCGTTTTCTTATACTCTTTATATAAGAGACTGTTCAATCGATTTATAATTATTATTTTCTAATGCCAACTCAGTGTTCAAAAAAAAAAAAAAAAAAAAATGTACACAAAAAAATTCTTTCCTAATAAAGAAAAGAAAAAAAAAATTGATTCAATAAATTACAATTCAAAATGTTAAAAAAAAATTTAATTAATAATTTGAAAAAAAAACTTGGAAAATTGAATAAGGCAACGTTGCATCCTTTCACTATTAAACCCATCTCTATTTAAAAAAAAAAAGAATTGTATATATTAGAAAAATAATTTTGTACTTTAATGTTTACAAAATTCGTGCACAAAAAAAATGTTTAAAAAAAATAAATCAAATCCATAAATAAAGGGGATTTTTTTTTTGAAAGAAAAAAACCGCACGTGTTGGAAATTTTTTTTTTTTTGTTATTGGCACGTAAACACCTGAGAAAGCTCCTTTCTCACAAAAATAGAACTTTATGTTATTTATGAGCACTTAATTACTGAATAAAAAAAGACAAAAATTGAAAAGAAAAAATATAATTCCTCGTACCAGCGATTTTTAGGAAGCATTACAAAAAAAAAAAGAGAAAAAAAACAAGTGCGATTTTTTTCAATAATCATATTTCTTTTCAAAAAATTCATTGTCATTTCACACACACAATCTATCGTGATATAAAACGTTATTTTCTAATAGATCGCCGTCTTATACATTCTGAAGGCACTGTTCAAGGGTTAAAATATAAACAATTAAAAAATGAAATTGAATTTTTTTTGTGAAAAAAAAATTTTGCACACAGAGTTGGAAATAGAATGAATTGTCGATTTCTAGGCTCAGCACGATCCATATCACAAAATTGAAAATAGAGCAGGTTCAAGGTTTTTTTTTCGATTAATGTCTATATATATATTATTATAATACAATTAATCGAATTGGGTCTGTGATCGGGACATGGAAATGCGTCGTTAGCGTATGGAATTCAGGTTTCATGAAATTCTTTTCTTCTCTCAAATTTAGAGAAAAGAGATACACTTATTAATTTAGAGGCACATTGCTAAGGGTTTCGGTGCTTTATTTATTTAAAAAAAAATACTTGCTCCCCCTATAATTACACTTGATTGTGAAAAATGTACAAAGATTTTTTTTTAAATTTAAGGAATAGGAGACAATAATTAATTTGAATCCAATAATATTCTTGAATTCCTATTTTAAAAATAATTTATCGTTTCTAAAATAAGATGTTGTAGAAAAAAAATTATTAATTTTTTCTTTCGGAAACATTATCAGGAAGACCTTAATAGTTTGCAAAAAGGAAACCTGAATTCTAAAACGCATTGACATCTCTCGAATTTTCACGGAATGTTTTATTTTTTCTGTCGTTGATAATATATCAGGTATTTTGTAAATTCTCATAAGAGAGAGAGAGTTTTGGAAAGGTTGTGTAAATGTTCCTAAAAATGTGAGTAGAAGGCAAACAAAAAGCATCTAAGATTCGTTTTGCATGCACGAAAACCTGCGCCACATTTAAAAAGAATTTCTTTTGGACAACTATTAATCGCCATAGCGACTAAAGGAGGTTCAGCCTTTTTTTTTTCAAAGTGTGTTCATTTAAAAGGTCCATATTTTTTTGGAACGTTAAGCTCAATAAGTATAATCTCATGATTAAGTCGTTCCCGCCAAACCTTGGATTTCCAAGGAGAATAATATTCTATTTTTCTTTTTGAATTGTATAAAAAAAAATAATTGCGTACGCTATTTTTTTTTTTTTTTTTTGAAGGGGAAATTTAACCTGCCATCATGATGATCATTATTATCAGCCGAATCCAGACAGTCATGTAATTTTCCATAAAGTCCAGATCAAAATGATCATTCCTTTTTTTCGTTTTTTTTCTGGATCCAAATAAAATTGCCATGTTGAATCACAAAAAATATGGAGTTGTAATTATAGGAGGAATCACACGTTCAGAATCTGGTACTGCTTGAAATAGCACTGGTTTTCTATCGTCAACTGTTGTAAATTGCAATATACTCGCAATATTACCACAACGATAACAATAATTTGGCGCTGACCATACAGTAATTAATTTATCATTAAACATGTACCTATAACCTAAAAAAAAACAATATTTTTTCATAAATTAATTTTCTACTACTAATTTATTATTTTAAATTATGAAAATACAATAAAATACCTTCTTGAACTAATTGATGAGCTCTACAAATTAATTTCAAATCATTAATTTCCGTAAACATATGAGTTGCTTTACTTCCAAAAAGCCAACCAGCACCACGAGGACTAACAGTCCACGTATCAACATCATCTGGATCCGACCAAACCAAATCACAAAATGCACCTCTATGTGGAATTTCCTGATTTCTTTCAATCGTTCTAATTTGATCTAATGTCCTAATTAGTGGAGATAAACCTCCATGTACACAAAGAACTTGTTCATCGATTAACTGCAATAAATAATCATTAATATTTGCAAAAAAACGTTTTTTTTTTTCCTGTAAATTTTACTTACGGCAGCAATTGTGAGCAGATCAAATACCCTACAGCAATATTTCCATGCATTCGCATTACCATATTTGTTTTGACATTCGTCTGTAATTAATATTTTTCAAATAAATTTACTTTACACCGTGCTTAAATGTTCTACTATTACATCTAAGACTCAATAAATTTTCCGTAGCTCTATTAATTATAAAACTTAATGGCTCTTCAGTATTATTACTAACAACTAATGATGCTCTTAATCGAATATAAGATTCATTACAACAACGAACAATTATTTTTTGATTCGAATCATCGTATTTAAGAATGTCAAATTTATATTTACAACCCTCTTCGCCGACAAATTGTTTTACACATTTTTTTATACACGTTTCTATTACACTTGAATTTAACAATAATTCTGCTTCTTTAATAATCACAGAAATTTCTAAATAATACATATTTTAGAAAATATTAAAAACTGTTTTTTATAGGTTAGTTTAGCATATTCTTCGAAATAATAATTTTTATTCACAAATTTTTTGAATTAAAAGTCAATTTTCATATCACAATTAAAATATTATTAAATTATCAATTTAGATAAATAGATAGATAAATAGATTAATAATTATTATTTAATTAAAAAAACACGTTTCACTTTCGAATAACAATTAACAGTGTTGCCAAATTTAACATAAAAAAGAAAATTGACGCACGCGCATTAAAAAAAAAAATGCCGCGTAATTTTAAAAAAGAATGAGTAATCGATTTTTTGGATAGAAAAACAAGCGATTTTTAAAATAAAATTATAATTATTTTTCTCTCTCCTCATAGAGAAAAATAGTTTAAAATTAAATTCTCTATCTATTAAGTATAAAAATAAAAAAAAAACTTACCATAAAATCCATAAACGTGGGTGATTTGACGCGATTCATGATTTCCTCGTAATAAAGTTATTCTGTTGGACCATTTTGCCTTTAATGTTAAAAGACGAGTAAATGTTTCTAAGCTGTAATAACCTCTATCGACAAAATCTCCCATAAATATGTAATTTGTATCAGGTACAGGACCTCCATTTCGAAAAAGTTCCTCTAGATCGTAAAACTAAATAAACAAACAAATTTTTAGTCTTTCTTTTTTAAAAAAAAAAACGATTAAAACAAAAAAGTCCAAAGATCAAAATATATTTTCTAAATTTTTGAATTTGTCCATTTTAATATTAAATCAAATTCAAAAAAATCAACATTGTTGAAAAATTGAAATATTTCATTTCAAATTTTAATATATATTACAACAAAAAGAGAAAGTACATATATATTACAAAACAAGTAAGATATCAATCAAAATTAATGCATGTATTTTGAGGTTATAATAAAAATTTCACTCTAACCTGGCCATGAATATCACCACAAACAGTTACTGGTGTTGAAACTGGTTGAATATTGGATTCCTCTATCAATAAATCACATACAATGTCACAAAGTTTCTGTTTTATGAAAAGAAAAAACAATAATTATAGGAGTGTTGATACGTAACCTATAACACGAACTGTCATGATTTCAAACTTTGTACAAATATATATATATATGTAAAAATTAAATAAAAATAAATAATGAAAATTTGAAAAATATCACTAGAATTTAGATTACTTACCTTGAGATCATTTTCAGGTAAATATTTGCATTCTTTTGCAATATCTATCCATTTATCGATGTCTGACATTTTGATTTGTGACGTCGAATTTTGCCTTGTCGTTTTATAAACAAAGAATTTGAAATTTTACACAATTAAAAATTGAAAGAAATTACACATTCGTGATTTAATAATGATAAAAAGAATATATTTTTCTAATAAAAACTTTGCAATCACTTCCGATTATTATACATTATTATGAGATTTGTGTATATGTAATTACATACATACAAACATACATGGATGGAAATAGTTTTCTTTTTTATTTACCAGATGGCGCTGCATTCTTATCAACTTATTGCTGTCATTAATCTGTCAAAAATTTGGTCAAATGGATTATAAAGATTGAAATTTGTTTTTTATATTTAAAAAAAAAGAGGTAGATTTGTGACCTCAAAAATTGTATGTTAGGTGAGTTTTATTTTTTTTCTGTTAAAGTTTTATCAACAACAATGTATAATCGAGGGAATTCCGGTTAAACGGGAAGTTAAATTAGATAAAAAAAAAACCCCTATAGTTGTTTGATTAACTTCTGCCATTTGATAATTAGTTTTTAATTTATGTTAAGTCGAAGTGTGTATCTGCTAAAACATACGTTTTTTATGCTAATTTTTTCGATTGAATTTGTTTTTCACTTCCTCGTGCGGTAGTTATTAAACGGTTCTCGAACGTAACACTTAACCTCACATTCTATTCATTATTTATTTAATTTAAAAATCTTAATTTTTTTTAAATTAGAAAAATATTTCTAATTTTTTCTCATTTTTTTTTCAGAACAATGTCAAATTTATATTTTATCAATTTCTATTTATTATTTTTGGTTGTGTGTTTTGGTGAATATAACAATGATTGGAATAAAACAAAAAGACAAACAATATGTGGTGGATTGTTTCCGAAAATATTTACAAATTATGCGCCATTTGGTAATTTAACGGATTATTTATTTTATACACCAAGACCAGGTATAATTAATTTAAAACAATGTGTTGCTGATTGTTGTCAACAATCAGAATGTAATGTTGCAATGATTCATAATAGTACATGTTATAATGTAAGATGTGCAAATTCAAAAATGTGTATACCACTATATCGAGCTGAATTTGCTAATAATAATCCACCAAGTATGGTACTTGTTAAGCCAGTTGAAGATGATGAAGAATGGAGAGATATTTTAGAAATGGAGGATGCAGAGTGAGTAATAATCTCTTTTTTTAATTTGCATAATTAATTTCTTTTTTTTTTTTTTTATTGAATCAGATTGTCAATTTTTTTTAACTTTTAACTATTATAGATATTTTAGAAAGAATTTATTTTTATTTTTTCAATTAAGGAAATTAAAATTTTCTTTTTTGGTAATTGTTCCTTTTTTTCAGCAATAGACTGATGAATGTTGAACAAATAAATCACGCAGTATTTGGATTTGATGGAGATCAATGTATAAATGGTGCAACAGATTGTGGCGAAAATGAAGTCTGCTTAAAACGAAGTACCAAATCTCAATTTGGTATTTGTCAATGTTCCCGAGGAACAACGCGAAACAATGCTGGTACAGCATTTTTTTTTTTTTTATTATTTTATATTTTATATACTATTTCCTTTTTTTAATTTTTTGCAGGAATATGTAATAGTCAGGAGCAAGAAAATCGTGACTATGGAGTAACACCGGAATATGTGGAATATCATGGGACAAAAGATACGAGTTTATCGTCAATAAAACCGCCAATGAAACAATTATTAGTTTCAGCTGTATCAAAAGAAGTGCGATTACCAGAAAATGAAGTAACATTGTCAGCATTTACAGTGCCTGCTGAATTATCAGGAGAACATTATAATTATGCATGGAGTTTATTGAGTCAACCAAAAGGACATACTGGCACAATGACAGATCAAAATAGTAATAAAGTTAAATTAAATAATTTATCCGAGGGTTTATATAAATTTAAAGTTACCGTTAATAGTCCAATTGCATATGGTGAGGCATATGCGAACGTTAGCGTTTTACCACGTAAGTTTTAAATTTTAATTAAAAAATGTTTATATTTATAAAAGAAAATATTTTTAATTAACTAAATGTGAAAAATAAACTAATTTTATCTTTTTTTATTTAGCAAAACGAATAAATCAGGCACCAATTGCAATTATTTCGCCTGCATCGCAAGTTGTTAAATTACCAAATACAGGAGCTGTTCTTGATGGATCGTCAAGTAAAGATGACGATAAAGTTATTGCCTATCATTGGGAACTTCAACAAGGACCTATTGGCTATCAACCTAATCTTGTTGATACGCCTACGCTTCAACTCGACAATCTCATTCCCGGAAATTATACTTTCAAGTTTGTTTTATTTTTAATTTTCTCCTTAAATTTATAGTTTTTCTTTAACAAAAAAACTTTAACTACAATTTATTATATAGTTGGTAAAATTTATTGTTTTATATTTGCAGATTAACCGTGGAGGATTCAGATCATGCGCAAAATTTTACAGTGGCAAATATAACTGTTTTAAAAGTAACTGATTATCCACCTAGTGCAAATGCAGGACAGGATATTATTATTTATTTACCACAAAATACATTAACATTAAATGGAAGTTTAAGTACTGACGATCGTGGTATTGAAAGTTGGCAATGGACAAAAAGTCCATCGGATGAAAATAAAGCAGTTGATATGCAAAATACAAGAACACCATATTTACAATTGTCAAATTTAGAAGAGGGAATGTATACATTTGTATTGAAAGCCACTGATAATTCAGATCAATCGTCAACGGCAGAGGTTCATGTTTTCGTTAAACCTCCCACTAATAAACCACCAAAAGGTAAAGAAAAAAGTTCTTAAATTCATTTTTTTTTTTGAATATTTAACAATTTTTTTTATTGCAGCAAATGCTGGAGATGATATAATAATTGCATTACCTCAAACTGAAACTATTTTAAATGGCAGTAGAAGTAAGGACGATATTAAAATTGTCTCTTATCATTGGGAACAAGTTAGGTGAGATCTTTTTTTCAATAAAAAAATAATTATTCATTATTAATTGATATTTTTAAATTTAGTGGACCGAGTAAAGCAGAATTTCGCGCAGTTAATGAAAGTATAACGAACATTACAAAATTGACGAAAGGAGATTATGAATTTAAATTGACAGTTATTGATGATAATGGAAATAAGGATTCTGATAAAGTGAATGTAAAAGTAACACAGAGTAGGTTTTTGTTTTTTTCAAACTATAATTTTTTTAAAAGAAAATAAATTTCAAAGTGTTTTTTTTTTTTCAGCAAAAAATGCCCCGCCAAAAGCAAACGCTGGTGGTGATCAAACATTTGTGGCTCCGGTTGTTGCTGTTATATTAAATGGATCACAATCAAGTGATGATTTGAAAATAGCTCAATGGCTATGGACACGAGAACCAACGAGTCTCGCTATTGGTTCTATTGTCGAAGGAACTGATAAATCTTCACTTTTAATAGTTAGTATTATTTTATATATTTAAACAATATTTTAAAGAATTTTTTTTTTCTAAGAGAAAAATATTCTTTTTTCAGCTAACAGACGTTGTACCAGGCAGATATGTTTTTAAATTGAAAGTAACCGACGATGATGGTCTTAGTAATGAGGATACAGTTTCTGTTATTATAAAACCTGGTATGAATTTAACTTATTTACTTTATTATTAAATTAAGAGATTAAAATTATTTATAAAAAACGAAATAAAAGAAAATTAATTTTATTTTGAACAAATTTTTAGATCCACAACTCTATAATTTAGTTGAGCTGACATTAAATGTTGGCGCTCATTTAATAACGGAATCACAGAAAAATTCTCTAGTTGTTAAATTACAAATGTTACTTCGCGAGGAAGTGACTATTGTTGTTCGTAGTTTAAAATCAGAGCCACGAACTGGAAAATTAATTATTTTCTTCTACGTTGAGAAGAAAGATGGAAAATCAACAATGACTGGACCAGAAGTTGTTGATAAATTAAAGGAGAAAATAAGACAAGATTCGGGAATTTTACAATTATCAGTTGCACGAATTGAAACAGCAAAATGTCAAAATAATTGTTCCGGTATGAATTTAATTTTAATAGAAAAAATATTTGAAATTAATCATTAAAATTAATATTCCTCTATTAATTTTTAGGACACGGAGGTTGCGATGAAGAAACAAGAGAATGTATGTGTGAAGCTTTTTGGATGCAAAATTTAATTCAAAAATATTTTGGCAATGGAGAATCGAATTGCGGTAAGATATATATTAATTTAAATTGTTTTTATTTTGAACAAAAAAAGAAGAAATTGTTCCCTTTTTTTTCCAGATTGGAGTATATTATATGTGATAATAGGTTTACTTTCTTTGGTTTTATGTTGGGTGGGTTTTCTTTGGGGATTAATATGTTTATGCCAGAGAATTTGTACTGGAAAAAGGCGAAATTCACGTTCAAAGAAAAAACCACCTCGTTATTCTCTTCTTCAACCGGACGCCGAGGAAGAAAGTAATACATGTTAGTTTTTATATTTAATAATTTTTCTATTATTTTAAAATTATTAATAAAATTAAAATGAAAAATAATTTTAGTTTCACCACACAAAATGGTTTTATCGGAATCTGACACCGATTCAGATGATGTTTTATTTGAACATCGAAAAGGAAAAATGAATGGATTTGCAAAAAATGGTAAAACACGAAATGGTTTTATTAAGAGCGGCTTGAAAGTGAAAACATGAGGTAATTAAAGTTTTTTTTGTTATTTAATAAAATATAAAATTGTATTCTTGATAATTAAAGTACTTTTTTTTACAGGTACAAATTAAGAATGAATGACTTTTTGCCAAAATTTAAATATATAAAGAAACTAGTCAGTGAAGAGCTGTCATTCTCAAATCACAAAAGAAGAAAGAAAAAAAAGAAAGAAGGAGACGACATTTGTAAAAATAATTTTTTTTAGCGCATATTCAAAAAAAAAATCGTCTCTTTCTCTCTCAGTTATTTTAATAACGTGCTTTACAATGTAATTCACACATTTGTATATAGGTACGTATATATAGTAATATAAGTAAATGCATTGACAATTTTCTTTTCCAAATAGAAAAAAAATTGTCCAATGTAAAAGAAATTTTCATATGCTCCGCACAGATACTTTAAATCGTATAACGATATTTCATATATACTATATTATATAGAAACGCTAAAAATTTTATTCTAAAAAACAATTTAATTTAAAAAAAAAAAATCTTTGCAATGTGAAAATTTTTCATTTCTCAGGAAAATGTTTTTCTAGTCGGTTTTTAAATAATTCTGCAAGAATTTACCTATTAATGAAAAATATGACAATTCGTTAAAAACTTAATTAAATTAATAATTAATTAATTATTTACTACTTTAATTAAATTAATCATTTTTTTTATTACATTGAGAATATTAAGCAAATTCTTTTTGAAATTTAAGAAAGTTAAATTTAATGTTTGCATTTATATCAATAAGAAATTTTTTCTAATTAATTACAAATATACTTTTAATTAATTTAGATATATTAAGACATATTATATACAGTCATTGAATCTTTTTCGCACCAAGAGAACACGAAATCGTGCCAAATTTGATATTTAAAATGAAAATCTATTTTTTTTTTGTTTTCAAAGAAATTGTATTTAACAAAATTTTTTTTTTAAAATTCCCTTTATTAATGTAATTTAAAAAAAAGGTGCGATGAAATTAAAAATGTTTTCATTAAACTTAGAAATATAAAAAATTTAAATAAAAATGAATAACAGAAAGTTGGTAAAAGAAAATGTATTTTTTAAGAAAGCAAACACAACTGATTTTAATAAGAAATATACTGTTTAATTATAAAATTGTTATATAAATTAAGTCTACTTTATTTGATTAATTTTTGATAGAATATAAGTAATCGAATAATGATAAAATTGTGTATAATTAAAATTGATAAGTAAATAATTTTATAAAGCACAAAAAGAAAAAAAAATGAAAAGCTTCAATGGATTTCATTTCTGAAGCTTCTCGTGTGATAACGATTCTGTTTTTCTTTTTGAAAAAAAAAAATGTGCAATTTTACGAGGATAAAAGTATTAATGCAAATTAAATAAAAAAAAAAACAACTTGTAGAATCTTTACTTTTGTTAATAAATAAACATTAACAAAAAAAAAAAAGAAACCATTTGTTACAATCTTTAAAAAATAAAAAACTTATTTGTAAATAATTAAAATTCTAATTGAATTTAATAGATTTATTCAACAAAATAGAATAATTAAGTGATGTGATACAAGAAAAAAAATCATTGATACATAATTAAAATGTTTTCTACATTTTGTCACTGTTCAAAAAGGAATAAAAATAGATTACTTGAATGATGCAATAAAATTGTAGAAAAAAAAAAAAAAAAAAAAAAATGTGCCACTTAAATTCATGCATTGTTTTTTTTTTTAACTATCGTTAGAAGAATTATTATCCGCTGGTAGAACTCCATGTTCTTGATATTTTTTGTACAGTGGATCATTTTCCGCTACAACAAATGATAATGCTACTTTTTGATAGTAATCAGGTATCATTTCTATATTTTGAATTATTGTGGAAAGTAAATGTGCCTTTTCCACAAATATTCCTGCAAAAAAAAAAAAAGCAAAAAGAGAATATAAAAATTATCTTTATTGGACTACATAAAAAAAAAAATATTTTTACCTGGACTATCGTACATTATGTACGTGATATGAACATGAAGATGATAATAAGATGGACGATAATGTAAATAAAGTCGAAGACGATCAGCAGGGACATTATAATTTTTACGAATTATATCAATTCCTGTGTCGCGAATATTTTTAAGTAATGGTAAATGTGATGCATTCAATTCTCTAATTGATTTAATTCTTTTCAATGACAATACCAATACATTCAATGATTCTGGACTACCGTCCCATTTAAGATCGGGTAACATAATAAATCCCGTTTCTTTATCTTTATCTTCATAAATTATTTTATCCTGTTCGGCTTTATGTTCTAAAATATTGTCCACCCACTGAAAAGAAATTTTTTTTTTAAATTAAAAATAAAATTTGCTTTTTAGATATAAATTTACTCACTGATAATGAAAATTGTTGTGATTCTATAAAGGGAAGTGTTATATTTTTATAAATTTCGTAAGTCTCTTCAACGAAATGAAGTTCCTTTATGGAATATTTGTCAATGTGTGATTGAGTAGCAGGATGAATGACAATTGCATTGATGCCTTAAATAAAATATATTAAATTTTAAAAATTGATAATGCAAACAATGAAACAATATATATATATATATATATATATACTAACCATTGTGTTCCCTTGTCGGAAAACATTCATAATTTCCATAAATTCCATTGTGAAAATTTTTACGTACAATTGTACCCTCATTAAAAAAGCCACGATTGAGAAATATTTCCTCAGTGGGAAAGCATTTTTTTTCAAAAATAACAATTGCTGAATTATCGTGGCCGGTAAAATTGCCTTCAACAATAACTTGCTTTCTTGTACTATTTACATTGAGCAGACGTTTCATTTGAAAATTTGACAAATTAATTGTACTTTTATGAACACTTGTATCATTTTCTGGATTTTCATTATCAATTTTTTGCCTTTTTTTCACTGGAGAACTGTCTTTTGATATTTCAACAATGTTTTCGTCCGCCATGTCTAACAACAAACAATACACCAATATAAAAGTGATGTGAAACAAACTTTAATCCCAATTTTTGCAAGGACTGTGATTCCACCATTATACTTAATTTAGTTCACATTCCTTTCGTGCTTGTTCTCAAATTTTTCCTTCTTGTTGTGATTTTTGCTATGACGGGTGTAATAAGTCCCGGCAAGTCGCAAAAAATGTCGACGAAGGTGCTACGACAAAAGGCACAGGATTTTCTCAACTCTAGAAAACATGCCAATAATTTAGTAGACATAATTGGACAATGGAATGTAAGTAAAAACAAATCTATATAGATTAAAACAATTATCAATTTTTATTTTGAGGTTATGGTGACTTTTTTTCTTTTTTATTTCTTATATTAATCTTAGGAATCGGGTACTTCTTGTATTCTCACCGTGGAGACGATTTTCCTCGAGATTTTAAAACGTGGTGACATGTATCAGGAAAAAACTATCACTCTAACCATATCTGGTGAGTTGGAATGAAAAAAAAAAAATTATATCCATACGGATCTTGTTTTACACTCCTTTTTTTTCAAAAAAACACATTTTTTTTTAATTATTTAGAACCAAGTCCTGAGGTGAGATTTGTCAATTGGTTGCGTAATTGTTATGAGGAAATTTGGGAAAAATTATTAACATCAATAGAAGGATGTCGACCTACAATTCAAATTCAGGCATTATCAACGGGCATTAAATTAATGGCCGAAGAAGGAAAATATCCAATTGAATTTGTCAATAGGGATTTAAATTATTATTTTCCCTTACATCGATTGAAACCATTATTAATGTCATTATTATCACCAGAGAAAGATAATGGAAATTTAATTTCAAGATTCGAAGAAATATCTAATTATCCCGATGCGCTTTATTATATTTATAAATGCCTTCCGTCACTTACTCCAAAGAGACAGCCTCGTGAAATTTATATTAGAAATTTATTAGAACTTATACACAAGTTGCCTCTACAAAAAGATATTGAAGGTAAATTTATTTTTTTAATTTTTTATTTTATTAAATAACTAGCAATATTAAACGCGCGCAAGCGCGCCAAATTGAGTATTTAATTGTTTGTTATAAAGAAATTAAAGATTAATATTATCAAAAATAATTTAAATTTATTAGAATATTAATTCATATTAAATGATAATAATGAAAATTATTATTATATATTATTAAATTATATATAAAATTGAATTATTTTCCAAATTTTCAATTTAAAATTCAATTATTTACCAAGTTTTCAATTTAAAATTAAATAAAATTCAAATATTACCCGAAATTTTAATTCAACATCAACTTAAATTAAATTATTATCCAAAATTTCAATTAAAATTCAATTATTTTCCAAAATTTCGAGTCAAAGTTAATTATTATCAAAATTTTCAATCAACAATCAACTAAAATTAATTATTATCAAAATTTTCAATCAACTAAGATTAAATTATTTTCAAAATTTTCAATTTAAAATTCAATTATTTACCAAGTTTTCAATTTAAAATGAAATAAAATTCAATTATGTTTTAAAATTTTTATTCAAAATTAATTATCGAAATTTTCAATTAAAAATGAACTTAAATTAAATTATTATCGAAAATTTCAATTAAAATTCAATTATTACCCGAAATTTTAATCCAAAATCAACTTAAATTAAATTATTATCCAAAATTTCGAGTCAAAATTAATTATGATCAAAATTTTCAATCAGCAATCAACTAAAATTAATTATTATCAAAATTTTCAATCAACTAAGATTAAATTATTTTCAAAATTTTCAATTTAAAATTCAATTATTTACCAAGTTTTCAATTTAAAATGAAATAAAATTCAATTATTTTTTAAAATTTTTATTCAAAATTAATTATCGAAATTTTTAATTAAAAATGAACTTAAATTAAATTATTATCGAAAATTTCAATTAAAATTCAATTATTACCCGAAATTTTAATCCAAAATCAACTTAAATTAAATTATTATCCAAAATTTCGAGTCAAAATTAATTATTATCAAAATTTTCAATCAGCCAACAACTAAAATTAATTATTTTCAAATTTTCAATCAACAATCAACTAAAATTAAATTATTTTCAAATTTTCAATTTAAAATAAAATAAAATTCAATTATTTTTTAAAATTTCTATTCAAAATTAATTATCGAAATTTTCAATTAAAAATGAACTTAAATTAAATTATTATCAAAAATTTCAATTAAAATTTTATTATTTTCCAAAATTTCGAGTCAAAATTAATTATTATCAAAATTTTCAATCAGCAATCAACTCAAATTAATTATTTTCAAATTTTCAATCAACTAAAATTAAATTATTTTCAAATTTTCAATTTAAAATTCAATTATTTACCAAGTTTTCAATTTAAAATAAAATAAAATTCAATTATTTTTTAAAATTTCTATTCAAAATTAATTATCGAAATTTTCAATTAAAAATGAACTTAAATTAAATTATTATCCAAAATTTCAATTAAAATTTTATTATTTTCCAAAATTTCGAGTCAAAATTAATTATTATCAAAATTTTCAATCAGCAATCAACTAAAATTAATTATTTTCAAATTTTCAATCAACAATCAACTAAAATTAAATTATTTTCAAATTTACAATTTAAAATTCAATTATTTACCAAGTTTTCAAATTAAAATAAAATAAAATTCAATTATTTTTTAAAATTTCTATTCAAAATTAATTATCGAAACAATGCCAAAAAAAAACATTGAAAAATTTTAACCAACACAAAATAATGTCAAACAATACATTAAAAAAAAAAACAAATGACCTATAACAAATACTAACTTCAGGTGTGGACAGAATGAACGAAAGATATTCACAATTATTATATGTAATTTTTTTTATTTGTTTCACAGAAGGTGAATCGTCAACAAATGATCGTCAACTATTATGTGGACCTCAAAATGGCGTTAATTTCACTTGGGATTATATTAGTGCAAGACGTGCTTTAAATAAAGTTTGGGCTTGTGTTATGCATTGGGAATTGACGTCAGGTTTACATAAACAATTATTAATTGTTCTATTAGAAAGAGTTATGGGACATTTAGAAAAACCAGTATTATTAACCGATTTTCTAATGGATTCATTGGATGCCGATGGTCCTATTGGCCTTCTTGCTTTACAAGGTGTTTTTGTCCTTGTTACAAAACATAATCTCGAATATCCGAATATATTTACCAAATTGTATTCAATGTTTGAGCCTGAGATATTTCATACAAAATATAAAGCACGACTTTTTTATCTCTCGGATCTATTTCTCAGTTCTACGTAAGTATATATTTCTTTTTTTTGATTTTTTGTTTTAACAAGATAATTTAATTTCTTCTTTTACAGACATTTGCCAGAAGCGCTTGTTGCAGCGTTCGCGAAACGATTATCGCGATTAACATTAGTTGCACCACCTGAGGATATTATAATAATTCTCCTTTTTATTGGCAATCTTTTATTGCGACATCCTGGCCTTAAACGTTTAATTGATCATCCACAAAATGGTGAAATAATAACTGAAGAGAGTGCAGGTGCTGGTGATCCATTTCTCATGGAAGAACGTGATCCATTACAAAGTAATGCATTATTTAGTAGTCTTTGGGAAATAAAAGCATTACAGTGCCATATTTTACCGAATATTTCAACGGCAGCACGTTTTATACGTGAACCATTGCCATCAGTTGAATATGATATGGCATCGGCACTTGAACGTACAGCTGGACATATATTTGATCGTGAAATAAAAAATAAAATTAAAGATATTATGTTAACATTTGAACGACCAAATTCATTGGCATTACCGAAGGGTGAACGTTTATTGCAATTTTGGCAATTAACAACTATGCATTGATTTTGATTTCTAAAAAAAAAACAATCGGTGCAATATCGAAATTTTGCCGCACTATAGTTGAAAAAAGAAATTATCACACAGAAAAAAAAAAAAAATCAACGTTATAGTTAAAACTAATTTACGATTTATTTTTTACAAAAAATAAAATTTATTTCGATTTTTATCAAATTTGTAAATTTTTTTTTTTCTAAACGTCATTTCTTTTTTTCTTTGATAAAAAAAATGTGCGAAAACAGATCGAATCTGTTTTTTAGATAGACAAACAATAATATATTATATACTTTTGTATTTTTCAAAGTTGTAATGACAAGGCCAGTTTTTTTTTTTTTTTTCGTTTTTCAAATATATATGAAAATATTAAAAATAATAATAGATTTGAGCACCTATCATTGAGACTGGATCTTTTTGAGAAAGAAAAAATTAAACCAATTAAATGTATAATTGTTAAATGAGATTTAAAAGAAAAAACACATGTATAGTTATAATTAATTTATTAAAATCAATAGTTATGGACAATTAAAAATGAAAACAATTATAGAATTGCTCTGCACTACAATTTTTACAATACACTATAGTAGTTATTCTGGTTTCGTCATTACCATTCGAGAGATAGAGAGAGAAAAAGAAAGAAAGAGAGAGAGAGAGTGAGAGTGAAAGGAAAATGTAGTGAAAAATATAATTTCGTAAGAAAAAAAAAAATCTGTTAACTTTAATATTCTGTCGTTTAATAAAAAAAAAAAATTAATAAAGAATAAATTATAAAAAAAATTTAAATACAAGTACATTTATTTTGTATATTAGTTTTTTTTTAAAAAATATAAAACTAATGAAATATATAATTAGATTTATCAATATATCTTTTTTTTACTTATTTACACTGTTAAAGTCACTTTGGTCTCAATTCTTCCAAAATCTGTAGAGAAAATAAAATTTTTAATTATTTTTCCTTTTTGAAATAAATACAATTTTTTATTTTTGCGAAAAAAAACATTTTATACCTTTATAAATTCTTTTCCTTCTTCTTCGTTGTGTTGTTTATTTAATATTTTAAACAACAATTGAGTGGGAATTTCAGATGATATTGGCACATTATTGGAAATATAAGAAACATCTAATAATTCTTTCACCGTTGGTCGTGCTTTTGGATCACGATTTAAACATTTTTTCATAACATCAATTAATATTGTTGGGACAATTTTCATTTGATCTCCACTTTTTTGTGGAAAATTAATTTTATGATTTGGATTTTGTATTGCATTTATTTTTGTCCATTGATTACGTATATCATTAAATGGCGTGTGTCCATAAACAAGACTATAAAGAATACATCCAAGTGACCAAACATCTGATTTGCAATTTATCTAAAAAAAAAATAAATTTTCATCGTTTTTAAAAAATGTAAATTTTGAAGATAAAAAAAAAATTAACAATAAAAGAAAATTATTGAAACCTTATGCTTGCATTCTCCAATATCAGTTAATGCTTCTGGACTAATGTAATTTAACGTTCCAGTCGTTGAATTTTTTACTACCGATGTCATATCGGCATTTATACTAGACGATATTCCAAAATCAATAATTTTTAATTTTCCCTGAACTAAGACAAAATTTCCCGGTTTCAAATCGGAATGAATAACACCTGGAAAATATGTAAATTAAAATAATTTAAAAAAATTTTAATAAATTTAATTTTAAAAAAGTAAATACCACTTTTGTGAATATGATCAACGGCAATTAACATTTGCCTCCAATAATATAATGTGAAATAAATATCCGTTTCAATGGCATTTGTTTTAATTAAACGACTGAGATCAGTGTCACCTAATTCCATGACAACATAAGCGTGTGTTTTTTGAACTTCACTGAAAAATTAAATTAAAAATTAAATTTTTATAGAATTTTTCTTTTTATATATACATATAATTTAGAATAAAAAAAAAAACTTACTAATCAAACATTTTAATAACACACGGTGCTTGTAATTTGTGTAATAATTTAATTTCATCAATACATCCTTGTCGTCCTTCAGTATCCAAATTTGTAAAATCAACAAATTTAATTGCCTGTATTGTATTATTTACCAAATTTTGTACTCTATAAACTTGTCCACTCATACCTTTTCCCACTATTCCTAAATTTCGATAAGTAACTTTTTTCACATTAATATATTCATTATTTTGATTTAATTGCGAATCAAATGACATTGGTATTTGTTGAACAATTTTTGGCGTTTCATTTTTAACAACTGTGGGATATAATTGTGGTGAATTATTTATCACTGTGGGAAATAATTGTTCATCACTTTTTGTTGTGGGAAACAATAATGTTTTCACTTTTGTTTGTACATCATTTTTTGATATAAATTGTGGAACATCGTTTACAGTGTTATATAATTTTGGTGATTTATTTATAACTGTGGGAAATATTTGTTCATCACTTTTTGTTGTGGGAAACAATGTTTTTACTTTTGTTTGAATTTCATTTTTTGATATAAACTGTGGAACATCATTATTTAACGATTGTGGAATAATTTCATTTTTAACATTAAATAATTGTGGAACATCAGGTGATTCATTTTTATTTAATAAAAATTGTCCTGTTTCCTTGGGTATTTCACTAATTTCCGTCCTCTTTTCAATGTTATTTATCTTTTCAATAATAGAATCCTTATTACTATTTGTAGATATATAATTTGATTTCGTTAATAATTCATCGTTAATTTTTTCATTTAAATTTGGATTATTATTTTCTTTTAATTCAATATTACTCTCATTTAATGGACGTCGATAAATAACTTCAATTTTTGATGCTGTACTATTTCCAATTGTATTGTAACGTGATTCATATGAATATGATTGTTTTGGTTCAATTTTCACTGAAACTGGCATCATTGTCTCTGCCAATGGTCTTCTTACTTTTTTATTTTCAATATTGTAAAATCTGAAAAATTTAAAATTAGAAATCCAAAAAAGAAGATTTATTAAAAAAAAAAGAACATACCTTGAAGATTCCACTTTTGATGTACTCGATTGTAGACCATTTGATTTTTCAGTGCTTATACTTTCGATTAAACGTGATTTTTGATTTTGCATTGGTGTTTGTAAATTATTTTGTGAAAAATGTGCAAAACTTGTAGAATGCTTTGCCATTGAATTTTTTTGACAATCAACATCAATTTTACTTTGTGGTGTGATAAAAAGTGATTTATGTGAATTACAAGGATTTGGTCGACAACTACCGGAAATTTGAATTTGTTTAATTGGCGTTTCACTTGAATATTGATTTAATTGTAATAATGAACTAAGCGGTTGTGGTGGTACAGTTTCATTTTTTGGCAATTCTTTTAAAATTGGAGATTTTTGTTTTATTTCCTTAGAATTTTTATTAATCGTTTCTAAATTTGTAACTATATTGTTTGTTAATTTAGATGAATTTGTTTCAACATTCTGATAGTTATCTGAATTTTTTTCCAATTTTTCACATTCCAATTCATCGTCAATATCGGAATTTTCATCGGATTGATCCGAATCATGTTCTTTATCTTCACTTTCATCATCGCTGCTTAATTCTAAAAGTTCTTTAATACGACGTGGTTTAATTTTTGGTTTATTCCCCAAATTAAATTGTGCCAAATCAAGAGATAAACTATTTCTACCACAAACTGTGTCTTGTTCCATTATTTTTATTTTTTTCACCAAAAAAATTCAGCAATTTGATCAACAATATTGCTTTTTAAATTACAAAATTTTTTTCCGCCCTTTCTAAGGGCAAATCTAAAAATAAATTAATAGTATAAATAATAATTATTAATAAATAATAAATGATTTATTTAAAATAATAATGTCAAAGGGCCATAAAAATTTGCTAACTATTGAAAATAATTGTATTATTGGTCTCTTGTCACAAAGGTTAAATAATTAATATTTATATATAGTGTTTTGATGTTTAAAAGAGAAACTTGTTTACTCACCTTTGTTCGTAACGAGACTATCAACTTGTATACAAATACACTCACACTTGGATAATAAGAATTCTTCACTGTTATTTTTCTTGTAAATAATATAAACAAGTATTTTATAAACACAAAAAACACAAATATAATGAGATTATTTTATTAAAATAATACTTCAAATATATAGAATAATAAATGCTGTATTACTTGTCAACTGTCGCTATGATACTGAATATAAACCGGTTACTCGTCTTTTGTACTAAATTCAAATTCTTAAAATCACAACCTATTGGCTAATAAAAGTGACATCATTTCTCATCTCTCGAGTTGGACAAATATTGGACAAGTAATCGAAAATCGTTCCATTCTCTTGGAAATCATAACGCCAACAGATGTCGCTAATTAACCGCTTAAATTTAAAAAAAAATTCAATAAAACTCATTTTCTTTTTTTTTTTGATAAATGAAAAAAAAGTGTATATAAGAAAAAAATGCAAAACAAGTCTTTTAAATAAGTCATATGTTTTTTTTAATTATTATAGATCGTATGAATGTATAATACATAGTCGAATTAAATAATTCGAATCGCTAATAAAAAAAAAAAAAAAGACGTTTGGTCAAAGAAAAAAACAAAATTTTCATTATAATAAAGCCCATTTAAATAAAAAGTTCTTTTCTTTTTGTACCGCACAAAATTCTATATAATATTGAAATTATTAAAAAAAAAACACCGGTGATTCTAATTCTCTTTTTTCTATACAGATGTTTCTTTCTTTCGCCTTTAGCTTACAATAAGATCACAACTTATATAAATCAGTTTTTTTTTTTTTTTTTTTTTTTGAACAATTGCAATAAAAAATTATCATACAGAAACAAAAATAAAAAAAAAATTAATTAATTAATAGTAGAGTACGCGTGGCGATAAAATACAAAAATTGACCTCTAAGTAATTTATAATTTATAATAATAATAATAGATTTTTTTTTCCCTTCGCGTGAAATTCGGTCTCTTGAATCTCTATGAAACTACACAACAATTCACTTCTGTCGCAATTCACATTCATTGATTTAATTGATTAAATTAAATTATGCTTAACAGTTTTTTTTTTCTTTTTTTTTATACACCGCCTCTCGACCTGGGAAATCAATCTGGACTTCGTGCTACCTACGCTCCACTATTCCCATTTTTTTTTTTTTTTTAATCTTTCATAAGAAAGCGCTCTTGAGCTTTAGGAACTACTTGGCAGCAATCAATAATTATAATAATATAATAATAATAATAATAATAATAACGCGTTGGGACTCTTATAGATATAATTTTCTATTCATAGATTTTTATATCTTGTCATTACGAGTTATTTTATTTTTGTTTTATTTACCATTGGACAATGATCCGTTGTCGTGCGCATCAATTTCCCCCTTCAGTTTTTAAAAAAGGAAATATGTCTCTTTTACCAAAGTTTCTTTAAAATCAATACTCTCCCGTATTTTTTTTACTTTTTTCAATTCTCATTTGTGATTATAAAAAACGAAAAAAAAAAAAATGAGAAAAAGTCAAGGAAAGAGTGAAAGAGAGAAAAAAAAGAGTCCCTTTGAAAAATAAAATATGATAATTCAAAGAAATTATACTTGTCGTTTTCCAGTGTGTGTTTATGTGTATGTGTGTGTCTCTAAATTGACGATAGACATATAAAAAATAATATTTTATTTTAAGACTTAGGGGACGAAATTAAGATTTGCGTTAAAAGTCGTGTAAAGATGATTTCTAGACTATTTTTTTTTTTCTTTTTTTTTTGTTCACTTGTTCCTTAGCGTTTTCCATTGTTGTAAGTCAATGCTCGTAGTGGAGCTTTAAACGTCGATGCTGATTGTTGTTGAGCTTGATAAGCTATTGGATGAATTTTAAAACCATATAATCTGTAACAGAAAATAAATAATGAAATATTTATTTAATAATTTTTCAATTTTTTTTTTCAACTCACCTTGGTACAAATTGATTTGTTGCTCGCTTTGGTCGATATTCAGGATGTACCATAAACAGCATATGTGGAAATCCCGTACCAAAATAAGCACCGTCTGTATGATGATGTCGTGAACTTTTTGGCGTATAAACATCCATGCATTTTGGACAATAACTTTTAACCATTGCCTCACCGGGAACATCACTTAAACCCAATGGAAGCATTGGTTGTGATTCACAATAAACACGTGGACAATGACCAAAATCGCCGGCTTGATATTTTTCAATCATTTGCGCTATACCTCGATTTGTTAATATATAACGTGCATGTATCAAACCATAAAGCATCTCCGCCGCCTGTTCAATTAAATCCGACTGGTTTGGATTGTCGTCCAAATCGTCATCTAATTAAAAAATATTTATCTCATTTTCCTAATGATAAAAATCTTTCAAATTTTTAGTTAAATAATAATTTTCTTTTTTTTCAATTTTCTCACCTGGCTCTAAATCAAGAATCATATCTAAAGCCTGACGATAATGTGGCACTTGTTCATTCAGTCCTGTTAGGTTAAATTTATCCTGAATATAGTCTTCATCAACCTATAAAAATTTTAATAATTGCAATTTAAATAGAAATTAAAGAAAATATTCAATTTATTCAGAATTAAAACACAATTGTTTGTCCTTTTAATAAAATTACAAAACAAGATATTGTATTACTCGCCAATGAGATATAATATATACACACACACTTTTAGGTATGTTAACGATTTTATTTTTGTAAACAAAACAAAATTACTTCTAAATTTCTATATTTAAATTAAAAAAAAAAATAATTCAAGAATGAAAACTTGACTATACCGGAAAGAGTGAGTGATTGACTAAACAAGACAATTGAATATCGGAATTATATGACGTACCTCACAGAAGAATTCATTGCCTCTGAGGCCACAAAACCAGGAAATCCATGACACCTCCTCCGAACTGCTCATCTTTCTATACAAAGGATTTTTTTTTTTTTTTTTTTAATATTAGAAAAATCTCCAAACTTTACAAAAATTCCGCGGGGAAGTTATAATATACAGGTAATATTGAAGAAGCTGCGCAATGGTACAGCGTGGTACAATGTGTATTATAAAAGCGCGTTTTTTTTTTTCCCCTTTATAGATTTACATGTGTCTAAATTTAATTTATTCACAATTTTTATTAATTTTATAATTGAAAAAATTTTATTTTAAATAAAAACTTGAAATAGATATTGTGGCATTAATCGCGGGCAAGATGACCGTTCTTCATTATAGCCTACTGTCGAAAGGAGGCCCCCCGAAACAGACACCGTCATTTATAAACGTTCACTGTTATTTCAATTAAATTAATTTCAAACAAATTTAAAAGACAAACATAATCACGAAATACACTAGTTGATAAAAAAAATGTTTATTGAATCAAGCGAACAATGAAAAAAGCCAAAAATAAACAGCCCTTACGGCTTACCTTTTGGTGCCTTGATTAGCCACGCTTGCTCGCCCAAAGGGGTTAGATGTCACTGTCATCGTTTTCGAATTATACGCCACCTTTTGGTGAATTTCGGTAAAATTCTTGTTTAAAAAAAAAATTGTCCAAAATTTTATTTATTTTTTTTGTATTATTTTCTCTTTTTTATACATTTAAAAAAACAATTTATTCAAATTATTCTATATTTATTCTTTAAATTTTACAATTTCTTATAATTTACAAATAATAACATTTAAGTAATTAATTTGACTAGTGACCAGTTTCACCAACATTTAAACACTAAAATTGGCTTTTTTTTAATTTTAAAATATATTTAATTAATAAAATTTAGATATAAAGATTTTAATATATAATTAAATTTTTAGGATAAATCTGATAAATATAGTATTGTTATTTTAAAAAAGTTTCGTAAATTGAAATTCGCGGTTATATCATGTGACAATGTTACCATGGAAACAGTTGTTTATACTCAATAGTCATTATTTTAATTATTGTATATTGTTTAAATAAAAAATAATGTTTAGATATAGAAGAGAATCAACAATACAATTTTATAATGGATTAAAGAGTTTAGAAATATATTTTCTTTATTTGTTTTCAATTTTTGGTGAGTTTTCTATTTTAAGGTTAGGAATTCTTGTTTTTGTTCTAGTTTCGCCATTTGTCTATTAACCTTTTATTTAAAAAAAAAGAAAATTATTATTTAAATAGAATTCCATATGTTATGAAATATTTCACGTGTATAGGAATATGAAAATTTTTTATTTAAAAGGTAAGTTAATTACAGTTATAAAATTTGGAATTTAACGTAAATATTACAATTTTTGTTGAAATTATAGCAAATAATATTGAATTTTATCATTATTATTTTATTATAGTATTTTTATTATTATTGAAATATAATTTGTCATTAAATTTTAATATATTTTTTCAGGATATGATTAATTTTATCAATTGGTATTTGTTTACGTTTGTAAAATTGATAAGGGCCGCGTGACGATCAATAAAAGTTAGTATAACCTCTTATAATTGTAAAAAATTAATTTACTTTTAGCTAGTAAAATTTTAATAATAATTATAAATTCAAAAATTTTTATCTTTAAATAGAGTGTCTTTTTTTTAAATTACAGAAAAATGCACATGTGGTATTGGTTTGGAATCGATTTGGGATCGTTTTTATTTCCAGGATATAATGTAACAACAATTGGAGGATTATTGGCAACTTGTTTTGCTTTAATGGCTATGGCAATATTTTATGAGGGAATGAAAATAATTCAAGTGAAATTACGATTGTTTACTATGTCATCACTACCTGAGCGTTCTATTGGAAATTCGGAAAATTCTTCATTACTTTCGAGAATATATCCCAATTCTTTTCAACCATTATCTGCAGCTCATTGGTAAAGAAAAAAATGGACTAAAATTATTTATAACAGTTAATTTAAATGTAATTTTTTCTTTTTTAATAGTACAAGTTGGAGTAAATGGTTCCTGGAAGTTTTTCACTGGTCCCTACATACTTTACTTGGTTATTTGCTAATGCTATCAATAATGACTTACAATGGATATATCAGTATTGCTCTTGCATTAGGAAGTTGTTTTGGATATTGGATATTTGCTCCTTCTCTTATTGAATTGAATTTTTCACAATTTCAAGCAAAAAGTCGTTTAATTAATTGTACAGCACATTGTGCAGGTAATTTTTTTAAATTAATTTTCTTGTTGTTTATTATTTATTCTTTTTATTCTTTATTTATTTATTTATTAATTTATTCTTTTTTTTCAAAGGTGAATTAATTGTAGAAAAAAGACGAGATTCAATTGTTACAACTGTTGAGGAGGAATTAGCAACAGTTTCACAAGAAAATGTTGAAGTTGATATTCATAATGAAGAAATTGGTTGAATTTGGAGAGAAAAAGTCTGATTTAAAAATTATTTACCCCAGTGACTTTTTTTTCAAAAAAAATAATTACGATAAAATTTTTTCAAAATAAGTGACAAAATTTAAAAAATTGTTTTTAAAAATATTTACAATCAATTTTATTCACATTTTTACTAATGCAATAAAAAAAAAATCTATTTTCTATATTTTGTAAATTATTTCTTCCTTTCTATTTTATTATTATTATTAATATTATAAATTTATAATTTAAAGTTTTCCCTGCAAAAATTTGTCCAAAAATATAGAAATTTCAACGATGTGGTGACGTCACTATTTATTGACTCCTCAATCCTCATTGGCCAGTTTTTAATTATGTTGTTCTCCAAAGGAAAGTAAATCAACTTGTCAAAAATTGTTTTGTTATTTTTCAAGAATGAAAATTTAAAAAAAGTAGTGTACATAAATCTTTTTATATAATTTGCACTTACACAACATATGTGAAAGGTGAGAAAATTTAATTCTTTTGTTGCCGACAGCTGCACTGCCAATTCCTAACCTATAATTTAAAAATTATATTTTTCGTTTTTGCTTTTTTTATTTATTTCGTATTTTTTATTTTTATTATTTATTTTTTATCCCGTACAACTATTTTGTTAGATTATGTTTCTGTTATTCAGATAAATAATAATAATAATAATAATAGTAAATACCGTTATAATTAGACCTATAATTTTACATTATATTTATTTGATAGAAACCTATTTTTTAATTTTACAAAAATTAATCCTGATTAAAGAGAAGAATTACATTTTTAAATGAAAAATTAATTTCAGAATAAATGTGAATTATTTTTAACTGAAAAAAAGAATAATAATAATGGATGATTATCAACAGGAATTTAATTTTATAAATGAAATATCCATTGATGAGACAGTTAATACTTTATTTAATAAAACATTTTCATTGGAAAATAATGGGGAATTTATTTTACCAAATGCAAATTCCATGTTCACTGAGGATATATGGGATATAAAAGAATTATATGAGATAAAATTCAAATTAAATGAGACAAAATCAAAATTAAATAATTATCGTCTCAATCAATGGAGTGAACATACGAGAAAAAGAAATAAAGCAGGTGCTGTTCTTTGGTTTATTGATAAAACAATTGAACCTGAATTTATAACACAAGCTTGGTGTAAATTTTATGAAATTGTCTCACGTTTTCCTCTTATATCAAATAATGCAATTAAAAATAAATCATTTACTTCTGTTCATTTATGCGAAGCACCAGGTGCTTTTGTCACATCTTTAAATCATTGGTTAAAAACTCATTATCCTCTAATTAAATGGAATTGGATTGCAACAACATTAAATCCATATTATGAAGGAAATTCAATAGAACGAATGATAACTGACGATAGATTTATTATTCATACATTGGAACATTGGAATTTTGGTCCTTATAATACTGGAAATATTGTCGAGGAGGAAAATCGTCAACAAATAATAGATAATTGTAAAGGAAAAAATAATATTTTCCTTGTAACAGCAGATGGTAGTGTTGATTGTTCAAATGATCCTGGTGAACAAGAACAAATTGTAACAAAACTTCATCTTTGTGAAACAATAACAGCTTTAAGTATTTTATCAAATGGCGGTTGTTTTCTATTGAAAATGTTTACAATTTTTGAACAAACATCAGTGTCATTAATTTATTTATTATTATGTTGCTTTAAATCAATTCATATGTTTAAACCAGCAACAAGTAAAGAAGGAAATTCAGAAATTTATGTGATATGTTTAAATTTTAATAGTAAAATATTTGCCAATAATTATGAAATTTTTAATGAAAAATTTAATACATTTTTCTCATCAAAAGCAATATTTTGTCGTGACGATATTCCTGAGAAATTTTTACAACAAATTATAAATTGTGCGGAATATTTTAAAAATCATCAATGCAAAGTAATTCTTGATAATATTGAAAGTTTTAATAAAAATTTTAAAAATATAAATTTGGAAATAATAAAGAAAACAGTTGCCGAACGATTCGTTGATATTTATGATTTGAAAAAATTGGATAATGAAGATTTGCAAATTGTTGGAAGAACAAAATTGGCGGCTTATAAAAATATTTGCTCGATTACAAGAAGTCCATTGGATTCATATAATGAGAGAAAAGTAATGAATGATTTGGAGCCAAATTGTCGATTGAATATTTTATTAAAAATATTGCAAAACGTTGAGATACAAGAAAGAGAATATCGATTTGAACGAGTGGGTTTTTTTTTTTCATATTGAAATATTACATTTAATTTTTTTTTTTTGCTAATTATTTATTGTTTTAGGATTTTAAATCATTTCATAAATTATGGTTCACTTTGGGAAAGCCGTATCGTAGAATTAAAAGTTCAAAATTTGTGCCAACAAGAATTTTAAAAACATTAAATCAAAGTTTTGAAATTATTGAAATGATGAAAATGTGCTTTCATTATCCCTCGGAGGAAAATGTGACTGATTATTTAAATCGAATGTGTTTTAATTTTACCTCAACGAGTATTTTAAAATTTCAACATACAAATGAAGAAAATAATTATTTTTTAATTAGTGAAATTTATAAAGAATTGGAAAAATTTGTCGAAGGAAATAATCTTATATTAATTGGATATAGTTTATTTTCACAAATGAATGTTGGTCTATTGAAACTTGTTGCACGTTTTTTTCGACAATTAATTTTTCAACCTGACAATAAATTGGGATATGTGATAATATTGAGTCATTATATTTCTGAAAATAATAATAATATCTCGAGAAATGAGAAGAATAATTTTAAACAACTTGTTGATTTTGCGAATGCAGCAAAATTGAAAGAAACTATTGTTTTATCTGTGTTTTCAATGTTGGATTTGTACGGTAAGAAAATTGAAAAAGAATTTTTGAAAATTATTAAGAATAAAAATGAAATTTTAGTTATGGAGAAAAAAAATTATTTCTTTCCAGAAACTATTTGGATGAGAAAGATCGTGTATATTAATTTATGGAATATAAAGTCATTTGCGAAGAATCTCGAAGAGAAAATAATCCAAGGGAATAATTAGGATTTAAAATATTTTATAATATTGACATTTAGATAAGTAATGTTTATCTAGTCTGACTAATTTTTTATTAAGTTAAAAGTTAATAAAAAAAAAAATTTTTAATGCCAGCTTAATTATTATCTTTATCATTGAAGTGTAATAATTTTTTTTTTGTGAAAAGTAATTTTTATTTTCATTTTGTAAAATTTTTTCTGAATTAATCTTATTTGGTTTATATATTTTAAATTTCAAATGATTTGAAGAAAAATAAAGTCGATTCTGATTGAAACGATGTTTAATGTATTAAGTCTGTCAAGACATTCTCATAAGGTATCTTCAAGGTGACACCATATTTGGAATTTATCGAAAAAGGAACAAAATTGAAATCAAGACTCGGATGCGGCAGTGTAAGCCTCGGCTTTTTGTATATAAATTCACTTTATTATTACTATTATTATTCTTAAATAAATATTATTATATAATTAAAAGATTATTTTCTTTCAGATTAAATTTAACAAAAATGAAATTAAAGATTGTTTTTGACTTTGTTCGTCAATTATCGACTAAATCTTTTCCTCCAAAAATTTGTATCGTTGGAGCCGGACCAGCTGGATTTTATGCTGCTCAACAATTGATAAAGGTATTTCATTTTTTTTTTCTAATTATTATAATTTTATGTTTTTCTTTATATTTCATAAATTTACGAATTTATTTTTAAATAAAAAAATTTTCTATTTTTTAAGAGTTCGAATCAAGTGGAAGTTGATATTTTAGAAAGACTTCCTGTACCCTATGGATTGGTGCGTTATGGAGTTGCTCCAGATCATCCGGAAGTAAAAAATGTAATCAACACATTTCATAAGACTGCAAAAAATTCTCGTGTTCAATTTTTAGGAAATATTAATGTTGGCCGTGATGTCAGCGTTCAAGAATTAAAAGAAAATTATCATGCTATTATTTTGGTATGTTAAAAATATTTTAACAGTTTATTTCAAAACAGAAATATTTATTATCAAATTATAAATATCTGATTGACATTATTTTTTTATAGACATACGGCGCTGAAGAGGATAGATTATTAAATATTCCAGGAGAGAATTTAAATAATGTTATATCAGGAAGACGTTTTGTTGGTTGGTACAATGGAATTCCTTCCGATCGTGATTTAAATATTAATTTAGACGTTGAAGAAGCTGTTGTTATTGGTCAGGGAAATGTCGCTATAGACATTGCAAGAATTTTATTAACACCGATTGATAAATTAAAAGTACATTTCTTTTTTATTATTTAATTAAAATAAATTTATTTAAATAAAATAAATTTATTATTTAATTTAAAAATGAATTATTTTAGGTAACGGATATAACATCCTATTCATTGGAACAATTGTCTCGTAGTAAAGTGCGAAAAGTATGGCTCGTAGGACGAAGAGGACCCCTACAGGCAGCATTTACAACGGCCGAACTTCGAGAAATAATTAAACTCGAGAGATGTAAAACAATTTGGCGTAGTGACAATTTTATTGGTATTAAAGAAATTCTTTCAAATCTTGCAAGACCAAGAAGAAGATTAACGGAACTTATGTTACAATCCCTTGAGAATTCATCATCTAATGAAATTAAATTTGAAAAAGAATTACATCCAATATTTTTAAGAAGTCCCATTAAATTTATTGGCACAGAATTTCTAAATGGGGTAAAATTTGCAATTAATCAATTGAAAGGTGATGATATTTTAAATAAAATTGCAGAAGCTACGGAAAAAATTGAAGAAATTTCTTGTGGTTTAGCATTGAGAAGTATTGGTTATAAATCGGTGCCTATTGATAAATCTATTGAATTTGATTTAAAACGTGGACGAATTATTAATTCATCGGGTAAAGTTGATGATAATATTTATGCAGCTGGATGGGTTGCAACTGGACCAAATGGCGTTATTTTATCAACAATGAATAATGCATTTGCAATTGGTTCAATGATAAATAAAGAAATTCATTTAACGAGCAATAAAAATGGTTCATTTGGATTAAAAGAGATTTTACAAAAAAAAGGAATTCAAATTGTAACTTATGAAGATTGGGAGAAAATTGATAAAATAGAAACTGAACGCGGTAAAATAATTGGAAAACCAAGGGAAAAAATTGTTGATATTTCAGAAATGTTAGAAATTGCTGGCAAATCATAAATTTTTTTATTCAATTTTCGTAAAAAAAAATAAAATGGTGCAAAAATAAAAGGTAAATTACGTTTTTTTTACATTTTATATATAAAAATGTATTATCAATTTTTGATTACTGTTATGATTATTTTTCGTGGAGAATTATTTAACAAATTATAATTGTATAAGTATAATTTTATATGAAATTTATAGTATAATTATATAATTATATAAGTAATATTTAATTAAAAAGTAAAAATCGTTTTTAAAAAAAAAACTGAATATTTTTTTTTCAAATTTCCCAGAACTTTGTAGAAATTTCCGTTTCCGGTTTACAGTCAGCTGTTGCATTTTTTTTTTTGTTATGACGCTAAAGTCGGCTTTATTGTTATTGAATTATTTAATTAAAATTAAAAAGAAAATAATAAAATATTAAGAAGAATTTTTAAGGTAAATTACACGAGGAATTTAATTATTTATTTTCTTATCTAAACAATGAAAATATAAAAACTAATTTTTTTGAGGTTATATATTATTATTTTCTTAATTATTATTCAGTTTCATAGAAATTAATTTTTTTTTAAATCTTTTAATGAGAATTAAATTAAAATATAAATTTAGATTTAAAAAAAAAATTATATATTTATTTTTCATTATAATAGAAAAGTAATTATACTTTTTATTTAATAGTAATAATTAGTTTTAGTAAGTAATTAGTAATTCGTTTTTTTTTTAAATATATTAAACTAAAGAAAATGTTAATTTACAGATATTGTGAATTAAAATGGAATTACGTGAACCAAAGAAAAAACATAAAGTAAGATTAGAGAATAAACAATCGTATCCATTAATTTTTGATGAAAATGGCGATTTAATTGTTTTTACTGCTCAATTGAGTTCATTGGGTACTTGTATTGCTGAACCGGATGATATGTCAGCAGTTCAATCAATGGTATTAATTTATTTCTATAAAAATTAAATTTATTTCTATAAAAACTAAATTTATTTTAAACAAGAAAACTAAAGAAATTTATAAACATAAATTAAATTAGTAAAATTTATTTAAATTATAGGGATTTTTTGGAAAAGGATCACTTTCAAGAAGTTATCCAACATTTGGAAAAGCACGTTATGGAGCACCGCCTGTAATTAAAGAAAGACAATGGTTACAAAGATTAAAATGGATGAAAGAAGTAAAAGAACTCAGTGAAGAATTTCAAACAGAAAATGAAAAGGAAAGAATTTTAAATGAAGAAAATCTTCAAAATCAACCAAGTACCTGTAGGTTTTTAGTATTTAATCATTTTTAATATTTTTATTACAATAAAAAATTTTGTTATTGTCAACAGCTGGTATTTCGGGAAAAAAATCAATTTCAAAAAATAATGAATCTGATATTATTGAAATAATTGATGATAAAAATGTGAAATCACGAGAATATGGAAAACGATGTCAATTGGATAAGGATATTGAAATTCTTGATGAACCATTGGCAAAATATTCAAAATTTACAAATCAACAAATAGATGAAATAATTTTAGATTCAGCTGAGGATGAAGAAATTGTTGAAATTTCAAAAGAGGAATTTAATAAAAAACGTATTGATTCATTACAAAGAGATGAATTAGAATTTTCATCAGAGGAGGAAAATAATGATATTGATTTAAGGAAAGTTTTAGTATTACCTGATAGCGATTCAGAAAATGAAAATTATCTCAATGATATTAGGCCAAGAGTTGAAGATGATGGTTTTCCAATAAAAGAAAGTCTTCATTTAACATTTGAAGAGAGTTTTTTTCTTGTCTTTGCACTTGGTTGTTTACGCATTATGGATTATCAAGGAAAAATTCTCTCCATCGAAGAAGTTTGGGATCATTTTTGTCGTGATGATATTTATTTTATTCAAAAATATATAATTTATCATTATTATCGAAGTAAAGGTTGGGTTGTAAAACCAGGTCTCAAATATGGAGGAGATTTTTGTGAGTAATTAAATAATTTTGTTTTTTAAATTTAAATTGGAAAAATTTTTTTTTTTCTTTTTCAGTATTATACAAACAAGGACCACCGTTTTATCATGCATCTTATATTGTTCTCATTGATGTTATTGATGAGACAACATTAAAAAGAATTACAGAAAAAGCAATGCGAAGAATGAGTCTTCCGGATCTTATTGGAATGGAAAGATTATCTGAATCTGCGGCAAAGGAAATTCTTTTGTCACAAGTTATGTGGCCAAATTCAGTACCAAGGGATAATCATTTGATAGCTCTTGAAAAATTATCCGATTTTACTGTTAAAGAAATATTAATGAGACGATGGAGAATTAATAAACGAACACAGGCATCAACTTCCATTCAATCTGAAGACGAGGAAGATTCGATTTGAATTAGGAAAAAAAAAAAAAAAGAATTTCGGAAATTTCAATTTATTGTTAACAAAAAACTAAATTTAAATATAATATATTTTTATGATACAATTTATCTCTATATTTTGCTTCTTTTTTTAAATTTACTGAGTTACTTTCGATGTCTCTATCCAAGTTTTTGTTTTTCGATCCAATTTTTTAGGGGGTATTCCAGTTCTTCTGAATTCACTTCTGTCATTTAAATATTCTTCAGTACACAAATCTCGAAATTCTTTATTACGAAACCAATATTTAAGACATTCTTGCATTTTATTATTTTCTTCTCTACATTTAAATGGCATTAATAATCCATTTTCCTTGCTACATATGCCAAATTCTATAAATAATAAAAAGTGATTATAAAAAAAGAAAAAAAAAAAAAATTGGTTAAATTGTTAATTTATAATTTACCTTGTACTGAATCTGTACATTTTTCTTTTCTTGATTTATATCTAATTTTTTCTTCAATGAGCACATCTTTTTCTATTTTTCTTAAAAATCTATCATTAGGATCACCTGAATGCAAAAAAAAGTTGGTAAAACAAATTAATTAAAGAAAATCAATTTAAAAATCTAACCTATATTTTTTTAAAATGTTTAATATATATTACCTAATCCATGAGGTCCTCCACCAAGACTTTGTCTAAGAACAGTTTTATTTTGTGATTTTTCTTCTTCTTGCAAAAATTCTTTTTGCGAATCAACCATTGTTTAAAAAAAAAATTCTTTTAAATCAACTATAAATTGTGTGATTCAATACAAATAAAAATATTTTCTCATATACGTGACGACACTGACGCAAGTCAGAAAAACGTACATAACCAAACACAACTGACAATTGAGCGTGCTCGTGAGTTTGCAGATTTGAGAGTGTTGTCACTCCTTTAAAGGGATGCTATTATCTTCTCTATATTTCAATTTGTAGTTCAGTGTTTTAATTTCCAATTAAAGAAAATCCCCCTATTATTATTTAAGCAAGTAAGTATTTATCGAAATTATTTCTTATATTATAAATAAATGAAAAATGCTTTAAAAACATAACCTATATTTAGTGATTTAAATTTATAATATATAAATTCAAAGGAAAATTGGAAGTATTTAATTAAATTTTTTGTTATAAAATAGATTTTTATTCAAGATGGATCGTCTTTTAAGGCTAGGAGGTGGAATGCCAGGTTTAAATCAAGGGCCACCACCTTCTGATGCTCCGGTTGTTGATACTGCCGAACAGGTAAAACAATTTTTTCTTCTTCACTTTTTTGATGGAAAAAATTTGTCTAGAAATTTATTTGAATTTTACATTACAGGTGTATATTTCTTCATTAGCATTATTGAAAATGTTAAAACATGGACGAGCTGGAGTACCAATGGAGGTTATGGGTTTGATGCTCGGGGAATTTGTTGACGATTACACTGTTCGGGTCATTGACGTTTTTGCCATGCCACAAACTGGAACTGTATGTTATTAAAGAAATTAATTTTTTAAATTATATTCTCTTGAAATAATAGTTTTTAATATTTATTACTAGCTGTCGCACCCGTCTTCGACGGTTATAATATTTAGATTTAATAAATTTTGAAATTTATAATTACATTCAACTATACGTGTTCTCCTGTATTAAAATATCTTTTTATAAATTTTTAATTATTATTTATTCAATTCAATTTAATTTTTTCACTGCTTTTAATAAAATTAAAATAATTTAAAATTGTATTTAATTTTATAGTATTGAAAATAAAAATTATTTTAATCAATACAATTTAAATTAAAATTTTAAAAAACTTTAAAAATTATTTGAAGAATAAATTTTTAATAGAAAAATTTCTTTTAAATAAAATGAAAATAATTTAATTTTATTATATTTATTATATTATATTATATTTAAGTTTATTTAGTTTTATTATATTTAAAAATAATTTGTATCTATAATAATAATAATAATAATAATAATATTCAATAATAATAATAATAATTTAAATATAATAATTGTTAATTTCAAAGAGTAAAAAAGTAATTTTCGATTTTTTATTTTTACAATATCTGATTTCATATTCAGATTTGCAATTATTAATTTTAAAATTCTGATAAAATTCTTAAAATTTCTTGTTAAAAGCATACTTAATTGGTCACAGAATTTTAAATAAAGAACGTTTAGTAAAGAATTATCAAAAAATAAAAAATGTTAAATTTTTTAAATTTTTTGAAAGTGTCATATTTTTGTTTAAATTAAATTTTTTTCATTGGTGTGCAGCTAAGATTGCGTTTAATACCCAACAGACTAAAAACATTATTGTTTTACTTATAAAAAGTTGAACATAACGAATTCTTATATTACAATGTTATTAAAAAAATTGGAAATTCAAAAATTTGATTTAGACTTTTAAATTCAGACTATTTACTTAATTTAATAAAAAAATTGATTGTATTTATGTGAAAAAATTAGGTACAAATAGTTTCAAATCAATCTGACAAAAAAAAAAAAATTTGCATTTTTTTGATTTTTTTTAAATTTTTTGAAAAAATGTCATAACTTTCGTTCATGTTAATATTTTTTAATCAAATATGGCTAAGATTTTAAGTTACGTTAAGACTGAATGCACTGCCAAGTTTCACCTCAATCGGTTGAGCCGTTTTAAAGTTGTGCCGGTACAAAATATTGACGACAGACAGACAGACAGACAGACAGAATTTTTATTTATGGCATATTTGTTATCTTTACTACTTAAAATGATAAACTATGCAAGAAAAAATTAATTTGGAGCAATGTACAGACAAAAGTCTGATTTTATTAATATAGATATTATTATAAAATTATAGTGTTTAGTATTGATTTTATTATAAAATTAGTGTTTAATATTTATTAGATTATTTATTTTTTTTTCAATAGGGCGTCAGTGTAGAAGCAGTTGATCCAGTATTTCAAGCGAAAATGTTGGATATGTTGAAACAAACGGGACGACCGGAAATGGTTGTTGGATGGTATCATTCTCATCCTGGTTTTGGATGTTGGTTATCGGGTGTCGATATTAATACACAACAATCATTTGAAGCACTCAGTGAACGTGCAGTTGCTGTTGTAATCGATCCAATTCAATCAGTTAAAGGAAAAGTCGTTATTGACGCATTTAGATTAATTAATCCTAATATGATGGTAAGTAGTAGATAAATTGGATTTTCTTTTTTTCCCAAAATTATATAATAATAAAATGCTTAGTCTGTCCTTCTGTCCTAACTTGAAGTTGGCCTTTTCTGATTTCACGTGTTTTTTTGAATAGTAATCTTATGACGTGTCAAATTTTGACAATTATTTTTCTCAATAGTAATTTGAAAAAAATTTATTTTTAAAAATTAATTTTTAAGGTACCAGGGTCCAACGAATACCTATTAAATATTAATTATGAAAACACAGGCCTCGAATCAACTTGAAGACACAAAAAGTCCGTTTAGTCGATTTATATTCCAAAAAAAGTGTTTTTGTTTTTTATTTTAACAAAAATATTTTACAGATTTTTAAATAAAAATTTTTTTTAATAATAATCCTTTTCGAAAGGTTAAAGTTGAAATTTTTAGAAATAATTAAATTTCAAAAGTTATTGTTAATTTTCAAACAATTATTAAATTTTACAGAACTAAAAATAATTTATCAAACAATTTTTGGAAAACATTTTTTCAATTTAATTGAATTTTCAAAGATTTAAAATTGAGATTTTTGAAATTAATTGAAACTTTAAGTGTTTTTTAATTAAAATTTTAGATGATTTCACTAAAAATTTATTAGAAAATGTGGACAAAATATAATAATTTGAAAATCATTTTTAATTGAAAAATGGTTTCAGATAGTTGAATTTTTAAAGAATACTATTAAAATAGTTAAAAATAATTGAATTTTCATAGAGTTATAATTGAAATTATTAAATATCAAAAAAAAAAAAATTTCAATAGAAAATTTTTAGAAATAATTAAATTTTAGATGCTTTTAAATTCAAATTATTGAAAATTCAATTCCTTTTGAATTCACATTTTTGAGAATAATGAAATTTTATTTGATTTTAAATTGAAAATTTTTCGGAAATAATTGAATTTTAATTGAAATTTTGGATAATAATTAAATTGAAGTTCATTTTTGATTGAAAATTTGGATAATTAATTTTCAATTGAAATTTTGGAAAATAATTGAATTTTAGTTGATTTTGAATTGAAAATTTTTAAAATAATTGAATTTTAATTGAAATTTTCGAAAATAATTGAATTTTAGTTGATTTAGAATTGAAATTTTGGAAACTAATTGAATTTCAATTAAAATTTTTCAAAATAATTGAATTTTAATTGATCTTGAATTGAAATTTTGGAAAATAATTGAATATCAATTAATATTAAATTAAAACTTTTGAAAGTACTTGAATTTTACTTGATTTTGTATTGAAATTTTTGGAAAATAATTGAATTTTAGTTGATTTTCAATTGAAATTTTGGAAAATAATTGATTTTGAATTGAAAATTTGGAAAATAATTGATTTTAAATCGAAAATTTTGAAAATAATTGAATTTTAGTTGATTTTAAATTGCAAATTTTGAAAATAATTGAATTTGAATTGAAATCTTAGAAAATAATAGAATTTTAGTTAATTTTCAATTGAAATTTTGGAAAATAATTGAATTTTAATTGAAATTTTAGAAAATAATTGAATTTTAGTTGATTTAGACTAAAAATAATAATAATAATTTAATAATTAAAATTTTTCAAAATAATTGAATTTTAATTGAAATTTTGGATAATAATTTAATTGAAGTTCATTTTTGATTGAAAATTTGGATAATTAATTTTGAATAGAAATTTTAGAAAATAATTGAATTTTATTTCATTTTAAATTGAAAACTTGGTAAATAATTAAATTTTAAATTGAAAATTTTTGATAATTATTGGATTTTTAATTGATTTTGAATTAAAATTTCGGGTAATAATTGAATTTTAGTTTATTTTGAATTAAAATTTTTAAAAAATAATTCAATTTTATTGTGATATTTTTTTTTTAAATTATAAACAATTGTTAAATTTCATAAAAATTTTAATTGAAAAATAATTTTGATATAATTGAATTTGTGATGTATTTCATTAAAATTATTAAAAATAATTAATTTAGTGAAGAATCATTTTAGTTCAAAATTTGTTAAATATAATTGAATTGAAGAAGATCTGAAGAAGATCTACATTTTATACTAAAAAAAAATGTATTTTATTTACATTTTTTTTCAAATGTAAAAAAAAATGTCGCATATTATTAAAATAAGTCGATAAAAGTCGTATTTTTGAAAAAAGTCGGAAAAAGTCGTATAATCCGAGGCCTGTATAATTTTCATTATTATCATTTAATATTGTAATAATATTCTAATAAATTAAATTATTATTGATAATATTAATCTTTAATTTCTTTATAACAAATAATTAAATAGTCAATTTGGCGCGCTTGCGCGCGTTTAATTTTTCTAGTTTTAAATTAAAATTTTTTCCCCACAGGTCTTAGGACAAGAACCTCGACAAACGACATCGAATTTAGGTCATTTGCAAAAACCATCAGTTCAAGCTCTTATTCATGGTTTAAATCGTCATTATTACAGCATTAGTATTAATTATCGAAAAAATGAATTGGAACAAAAAATGCTGTTGAATCTTCATAAAAAAACATGGATGGATGGTCTTACACTTGCTGAATATACAGAGCACAGTAAATTAAATGAAAATACTGTTTCCGAAATGTTGGAGCTTGCGAAAAATTACAATAAGGTTTGTTTCTGAAAAAAAAGAACTTTACTGTAATCATAAATTTTTTGTTTTAATTTGTAAACATTTTTTCAGGCACTTGAAGACGAGGAGAAAATGACACCGGAACAATTAGCAATAAAAAATGTAGGCAAACAAGATCCAAAGCGACATTTGGAGGAGAAAGTTGATACACTTATGTCAACAAATATTGTCCAGTGTTTAGGAGCAATGCTTGACACTGTCGTTTTCAAGTAATTTGTTTCTTTTTTTCATAATTTACATAATACGATTTTTAAAAAAAAAATATACGACTTTCTAACATAAATCGCGTTATTTACTTTTTCAAACAAAAAAAATCCCATTTTTTTCTTTTAAACTTTTATTGAAAATAAATTCTTATTTATAAAAAAAAATCTAATTCAATCACTCTTCTAATCTTACGTTCGATTATTGTATACAATAGGGGGAAAAATAGAATTATACAAATATAAAAAAAAATTGATCATATTTACAAAAATAGAAATTCACATCTAAATACTGTTCTATTTAGTAAAAAATAAAAAAAAAAATGGAAAAGAAGCAAAAATGTTTTTCATATCGAACGTTTGATTCAAAGTACTTGGCATTCAAATAATCAATAGTAAAATAGATACAAATATCTATAAATTGTTCACGATAAAAAAAAAAAACAAAAAATTAATCACGGTGATGATGGTTCTTGATCTTTGCTTTTCTTCTTCTTTTTCTTCTTTTCCTTCACTGGCGTTGCCTGAAATTAATATAAATTATTTTTACAAAAAAAAATGTTTTTTTGAGATATAAATTTAAAAATTATTTATTTATACCTCTGTTTCTTCTTCTGTTTTTATTGTCACATCGGCATCATCATCAGATTTTTCTTTTTTCTTATCTTTCTTCTTCTTTTTATCCTTCTTCTCCTTCTTCTCCTTCTTTTTCTCTTTGGGAGATGCTGTCTCCGGATCTGAAACCGGCTCACTCTTCACTTCCTCTACCATTTTTGTGCCAGTTTCCTCCCATTTTCTTTTTTTTGCAGTTGCTGTTTCATCAACACGTTCTACACCATTAGGTTCTGCTTCCTATTAAAAAAAAAATCACTTATTAAAAAATATGCTAATTATTTGATTTTATAATTTTAAAAACAATTTTACCTTAATTTGACTGTAATCCGTGTAACCAGAGAGCCAATCAGAAGGTGTATTTTCATTCGGCTTTCCATGTTTATCCAATTTTCCCTCCATTATCATTTTTTTCTTTTGTGCCGCTTTTGGTCCTAAGCCCCATTTTCTTGGATAAGCGTCTCTTTCCATAATGACACGTTTAATTTTTGCAACAACACCATGATCACATGCCGACATTGTGGGCGAGGTCATAAGGGCGATAGCTTAATAAGAAAAAAAATTGTTATTTCTAATTCCCCAAAAAAAAAATTAAAATTTTTAATCTTTTGCAAAAAGATTTCCATTGAATGAGAAAATCCCAAATAGCAAAAGAAAGAAAAAATATTATTTACCCAATGCAACTGCTTCTCCCTTAGTTGTAACAATTACGATTTCCTGATTGAGTTCAATTCCTTGGTCGTACATTAATACTCCGGGTAGCATAATTTTAGCTCCATAACATATAGCATTTACCTGAATTTTAAGGTAAATCAGAAATATTTTGGAGCTAGTATTTTTTTTTTTTAAAAATAGATTTAAGAAAAAATAACTTACAGCGCTGTCTTTGACGATTATTCGTTTATGATTAACAAGCAAAGCTTCCAATGGTTTTATAACTCTTCTGAGATATGATTCATCGCCATGATTTTCATAAAGCCATTGTGCATCTAAAATATCGTGCATTGTCACCAATGAATCCTCCTCTGATTGAATTCCCGAACGATTTCTTCGAAGTTCTTGCATTTGACAGCCAGTGCCCAAAAATAGACCTAAATGAACGCAAATTGTTCTCACGTAAGAACCTGCCTCGCAGCTTACTTTAAATATTCCCATATTACGTTCTGAATCATAATCAAGAAACCAATTGTCATAAACTGTTCTCACACGTAATTGACGTTTAACAGCGGAAATTAACGGTGGTCTTTGAAAGAGAGCACCCTTTAATCTTTCTAAAGTTTGAGTGATCTGAAATGATAAAATTATTTAATTTTTTTTTCATTCTAAAATTGAATTTTTAATTTTATTTTTCAATTTTTCAATTTACCTTTTGCACGTTATCAACAGGTGAATGTAATTTGAATACAGCTATATATTCCTTTCCCGCTGATTGTTGAGATTTAGCAAGACGTGTTGCTCTATCAATACAAACAATAAGACAGCCAGATACTTTTGGATCTAATGTACCTGAATGTCCTGTTTTTTCAACTTTCAATATTCTCTTTATCCAAGCGACAACTTCATGAGATGATGGATTAGACGGTTTATCTAAATTTATGCATCCTGATTTTACATATTCCGATAATGTACGATGAAGTGGAGTCGATCCACAATTTAATGGAGTAAAATGTTTGGTACGACATAACATTTTATCAAAATTCTGAAAAATTTAATACATATCTTAATTTTTCACCATTTGTGTTCAATTATCAAAAATTATAAAACTATAGTTAAATATTTAAAACATTAATAAAATTTCAACTCATTTTTTCCTTTATTAAAAATTAAAATTTTTGAAAATACATACAATTCTAAAAATCTACAATAAAAATCCATCAATGGAATATGAAAAATTTTATTTTAAAATTAAAATTTTCGAAATTTTCCAAAATAATACAAACCTTGAATAATAGCGGCCAATCCTTGCAATCAAGTTTTGGAATTTCACTTGACGGTTCCATTTCGCATTTTATTTTCATTTGCGTTTCGCCCAATGATTTTTTTTTACTTTTCTTCTTTTCTTTTTCTAAAATAAAAAAATTTTCAAAAATCAAACATAATAGAAGCCATTTAGTATAACCTTAAAAGCTAACCTAAAAACTCATCTAAGGAATCAAATTACATTTTGCAAATTATCATAATATAAAAAATAATTTCATTATAAAAAGAAAAAAAAATTAGAAATATCGTTAAGAATTATTTGCTTTACATAATATTCTATTGTTTATATAAAAAAAAAAAAAAAAAACAATTCCACCGGGAAGTGAATAAAGCACGTGTTTATCATGATGCATTATTGTGAAAGAAAAAAAAAAGTTTTTACAAAATGTAAATTGTAAATTCATGGAAAGAAATCATATAATGAGCAGAAATAATTTTTCATTTATTTTTTTATTTATTTACCAATTTCCGCCATGGTGAAAGATGAAAAAATATCAAAAAATATAACACGTGTATACTGTCTCAAAAAAATTTAACTGGAACTATTAAGTACCGTTCACAATTTTAAAATTTTAAAATCCCCGTCAGGGTTGGGTATCTAACGTAATGAAATTACATTCACAACCCTGTTGAAACAGTTAAGGTGCTTATATACCTCAAATTTCGATCAGATGAACATTATTTCTGGACCGTGAAAATGCGTGAAAAGTCATTTTCACGGCGGGTATTTTTGAATTGTTTTATACAAAAAATGTTTTTTTAAGAAATATAATATTAAATAATTGTTTTAATATGTAAGAACACTTTAAAATAGTGATAGAGAGATGATTTGATTAAAAAATTTAGCAAATTTTGCTTTAAAACGTTTTCTGCTACAAGAAAGTGTAAAATGACGATGTTTGTGAAATGGTTTGTACAGTGCTTCTTCCTTGTTAGTGTCTCTCAGAGTTTTGTTTATGTTATGTCGGTTCTTTTTAACTTGTAATAAATAATGAGTGCTGAAAATAAATCGGTAAGTTGAAATGTTTATCAAATAAATTTAAATTCAACTAATTGTTTCGAATAACTGAAAGAAACATGTACACATGTACACTGTACAAACCATTTCACAAACATCGTCATTTTACACTTTCTTGTAGCAGAAACGTTTTAAAGCAAAATTTGCTAAATTTTTCAATCAAATCATCTTTTTATCACTATTTTAAAGTGTTCTTACATATTAAAACAATTATTTAATATTATATTTCTTAAAAAAACATTTTTTGTTTAAAACAATTCAAAAATACCCGCCGTGAAAATGACTTTTCACGCATTTTCACAGTCCAGAAATAATGTTCATCTGATCGAAATTTGAGGTATATAAGCACCTTTATGTTCTGTTTGCTAAATATGAAACAAGCATAAGTTGGTTTCGCCTCTCGTCGCGAGGTGGCGCGTAGAAGCTTCCGTACTATTGTCCACCAATAAGAAAGAAGAACGTTTTAATTCTTTCTTATTTTTTTTGTAAATATTCAATAATTATAAAAGTCTAATTCAATATCGTGAAATTTTTAAATTAAAATTATAAATTACAACATTAAAAAGAGTAATTATATATATATTGGGTGTTTTCGGGAGTGTTGCTGTGAGTAGTATGTTGTGATTGGCTAATCCATCAGCATGTTTATTTTGATTGGGTAATTTTTTACTGTCAGTGTACTGTCAGCAACTACCGAAATTGACAGTAATATTATCTTCGTCATCTATAGATGAAAGAAATTGGACAAATTAATGGACAAATAAATTGTCCAGTTTACATGATTGGCTGACTATTATTAGTCAACAAATCACAATTAATTTAGAAATGAAATAACCAATCAAAATGATTTTAGTAAATGATTGTCAAATTGGAAATTCTTGCTATCATCGATTCTTTTGTTTCTCCAGTAATCGAGAGTATACGTTCTTTTTCTAACAACAGTACACGGGGAAAAGAGAAACGTTGGGTTAATACCGTTTTCCGATTGGTTCAACGTCAGTGGGCCCTGTCACGATTTCGGCATTGATTCAACAGACTTTTACTGTTGAACCTACTGTCCATCTATTGTTACAAGTAAGTTGATCTAACAGACACTGCCTACAGCGCTCCTTGCCGTTGAACCAATCGGAAAACGGTATTAATCCAACGTTTTTCTTTTTCCCGTGTAGCACTGCGTATTGCGTTATTTTTTTATTAATACGCAACATACACTCTGTTTCGACACAAAGTTATTAAGTTGCACCAAATATCGATATTTAGGTGCGAGAAGATATTCATTTGGATTTCCCTTGTGATATGTGGTACAATTTGTTCTACAATTAAACTTTTCTTCTGTTATTGTATTGTAAAGTAAAATGGAGTCTGATGTGATCTGTATATCATCAGAAGACGAGAAAACTAGTGAATCACCACGACGAAAGGTTTTAAACTTTCTATACAACTTATTATCCAAAAAAAAAAAGAAATGCCGCTCTAACCTTAAAATTTGTGAATTAAAAAATTATTTAATTTAAAATAGTTTTAGATATTTTTGCAATAGTGTTATTAAAATTGTTTGAGTGCTTTTTTATCGAACAAAAGAATTAGAATATTCTTGATTTTTCATAGAAAAAAAATGTATTTCTAATTGATTCCGATTGTATATGCTCTTATTTTTGTTAATACTTTTTTCGATTAAACAAAAAAAAAAGAAAAAATCTTTCGCGAGAAGTAAGTTTCGAGTAAATTAAAACAAAATACAAAATTTCAACATTCATTTGATTAGTCAAGTTTTTTAGTGCAAAAAAAAAAAATAATTTATCAGATATGAAAGCACCTAAAACTTGCTGAAATATTAAAGGTTTTTAATTTTGATTATAGAATAAAGAAATTAGATTAGATTTATTTCTCCATTGTGTACTTTTACAAAATTTTACAAATTTTTTCTTTCCCATAAAAAATATACAACAAATAAAGAAATTAGTTATTATATTAATATTTTATTTTCACAGATTGCTAATGAGAAAGGACACAACTTGCCTTCAATTAGAAAATTAAATAAATCTCTTACAGGAATAATAAATAATGGTGTAATTAAGGTATGAATTAATTATTTAAATTTATATTACTATATATATTTTTTTTTTGTTAATAAACCTTATATTCTATTTTGTAATTTATTCTTTTTATTTTATTGCAGCCATTGTCTATAAATCACGTTAGTAGTTTTCCACAAGAAAAAACAATAAGCAATGGTGCTATTAATGGTCACAAGGAATCGGAAATTATAAATAAAAATAATAGTATAAAAATGAATGATTCTCTATCTGAGAGTGCAATTTTCCAGACGGGAGAAGTTTCAATAATAAAAAGAAAAAGTAACGAAATTTTAGAAACTTCATCTCCATGTCCAAAACGTTTCAAATTAATGAATTCTGATAATTCAACAAATAAAATTCTAACTGATGACAAAAATACAAATAATGAAGAAACGAAAATAATTGTTGAAAATAATGGAAATTCTTCTAAATCTGTTGAGAGAATTTCATCACCAACACCAGGATGTTCATGGTTTCCAGAAGTGGAAAAACCAAAATTAATAATTAAAGAAAAAAAAGCATTGTACGATGATGCATTTGATTTATTTTCAACATTTATTGAAACATGTTTAAAACGAGATCCCTCAAATGATATGAGGGAAATTGTGAAAAAATTGAAAAAACGCCATGAACGTCTTAATCCATCATTTTCAAATAGTGAATTATTTAAACAATTACTGATTGATAAACAAAAATTAATTGATATAAATGATGAGAAACTTTATAGTCATATATCAGAAGTAAATGATGTTATGAAAGAGGGTGTGAAAAATAATACAAATAATACAATAAAACAAGAGAAAATTAAAATATCAAATGAAATTGTGAAAAATGAAGAAAATTCACATGAAAGAAAAAGAATACGATCAAAAGTACGTGTTATTCTTAGTCGTATTGAATTATGTAAAAAAAGAATAAAAGAACTTGAAGAGAAGGATGTTGATTTTAGTGATGATTCCGGTAGTACTTATTTAATTGAAGATCGTTATAAGAGAAAATTAATGAAATTATGGACCGCCTATTGTAAATATACGGGAGAAATAGTTGACGCTGGTCGCGCTTATTTACGACCAAAACACATTTCAACAACAATGATACCACAAGTTGATCAAGCGATAATGAATTTTATTAATTCAAAAATTAGTCGTCGTAATGAACTTTTAAAAAAAGGAAAATCAATAGCCGATACAATTATTTTTCCCGATTATTTAGATATTTTAAATTGTATTTCACAATGTAATGATAAAAATAATTTGAAATTATCACGATCTGAGCAGGAAATCAAAGGTATTTATATTATTTATTTATATTAGTAAAAAAAAAATTCAATTGACAAAAAAAATCTTTTTTTGCAGCTAAAGAAGCGTTTGAAAAAATTGGAGAACATTTGCAAAGAGTACGTCAAAGAGATTATTGGGATACGTTTTCATTATTTTTGGAAGAAGAGGACGATGATCCTGCGTTAAAAGACGCGTCATTGTCAGAGAAATTGATTCAAAATCAAGAAATAGGGAAAAAAAATATGGACAATCTTTTTGAGGAATTTACCAAAAAACAAAATAATAAAGTAACTGAACAGAATAGTGAAAATGAGACAATAGTTTCAAACGAAGATGACGAGAATGATAAAGAGAATGAGGACGATGATGATGATGATGATAATGATAGTGATGATAAAAATGATGATGATTTAACTGAGGATAAAGAGGGAAACAATGAAGATACGGAAAAAGAAGATTCCGATAGAGATGAAAATAAATTTATTATTGAAAAAGAAAATCATGAAATATCATCTAATGAGAATAATAAAAATTTATCAATTGATGCAATTAATGATAGTCTTCCTCAAAATGATTCATCTGAAGGTTTGTAGTGTTTATAAAAAAAAGAATTAATGCACGTAACAAAAATTTTTTTACGCAATATTAATGCACAGTGAAATTAAATGAAAATTCAAAACAAAATTTGGATATTTTATAAACACAATTATGTTGTTTCTTTTAGCTAAAGATTCGACTGACGCCGATGTGATTGACATCGATGACGATAATGCCGACAAGCAACCACTTTTACGTCTTCGTTCATTTGCAAAACCACCAACATCCTGGAAGGATTCCCAAGGATCGTCAGGTGATAGTTCAATGCAATTAAAAAAACACCACACAAGTCCAACTCCAGTTATAAGAAAATTTGTCACATCAACACCGAAGATTTCTTCTTCTTCTTCAGTCACTAAATTATCACCAACACTTGTTGATTTAACATCAGAGAAAAAGGATGAGTCACCATTAAAAACATCGACTGTTACAAAAAAATTTAAAACCGTAATGCTTCCTCCAAATTTTAAAGGAAAACAAATTATAAGTGTAAAAAATATAACGAACAATTATAATGTTGTTAATGGACCAGGTAATGAATTACCAGCTCGTGTTCTTACATCGGTAAGAATGCGCGTTAATCAAGTTCCTGATAAAATAATGCCAGTTCAAGTTTTACCAAAATCAATTGTTGGCAAACAATTGGTTGCTAATAAACAAATAGTTGGTAATAAACAAATAATCTATCAATCAAATGGTAATCAAAAAATATTAAATCCATTGGGTAAAATTGTTCGTGTAAAAAGTGTTATGCCAACAAATAATGATATGAAAGTGATAAAAATGATTAATGAAACGCAAAAAGTTTCAACAACAACATCGTCAACAACAACGCCCGTTGTACAAAAACAACGAGTCGCACAAACAAATTCAAATGAACAAATTAAATTCCCAAGGTACGATCATCAGTATTCGAAAAAAATTGTCAACAATATTGTTCGAATTATAAAGCCAAATGAACAAAATCTTCATCAAATTGATCCAAACAAAGTGGTGAGAAAAACTTGATTTCAAAAAAAAAAAAAAATAATAAATATTGTTTAAGAATTATATTTGTTACAAATAGATTATTGTTAGATATTACGCACATAACGATTTTTTTTTTAAGAAAGAAAATCGTGAACTGAATGATAAAATTTTTGAAGTGATATTTTGTATACAAATTATTTGATCAAAAAAAAAAAAAAAAAAAAAAAAAAAAAAGAAAATCGATTTCCTTACGGAGGCTAGAAAATAATTCGAGTATTCCTTTATTGTTAGTAATAATAGTAAATAGTATTCTTTATTGATATTTAAATTTACAATTTGTTTAAATTAAAATTTATTTCGCTTTTTAAAAACAAATTTTTAGTTATTTGTTTCTTATTTTATATGTTGGAGAATTAATTTTGTTAGTTGAAAATCACAGTGCACGAGATTTTCAACAATATCAAAATGATCGATATTATTTCGTAGAAGAAGAAATTCCACATTATCAACAAATTCCACAAGTTTCTTAAAAAAAGAAAACATTCAATTTAGTAATCAAATAAAATTAACAAAAAAAAAAATATTATTGTTTAAAACATTTTTGTTATACAGTAAATATAAAATTATAATTTATTATTAATATATAAATATTTCTTTTCTATGCAATTTTTTATATTTATAAATAATATAATTTAAAAAAGAATATCTATTGATAATCAAGGGATATTTTGTTTTATTTTTGAATTAAAATAAAATTTATTAATTATAAATTATAATTTTATCTTTTATTATACTGAAAGATAATAGAAATATTTTGTTATTTTCACCTGTGAATATCGTATCGATTCTTTAATAAATACAGGAGAATCACATTCTCCAACTGTGACGATTACTTTTAAATCTTGAATTATTGTTGACTCTGTTAATGAATCATTTTGTTCGATTGGAGCAAAACTGTATAATTTCACTTCTTGTCTGAAAAAAAAAATTTTCTTCCTGTATATGTAAAACTATTTTGTTTCTTTTTTTTCTCTTTTTTTCTTTTTAATTATTATTTTTTTTAATTTTACATATTTATTGTTTTAATTTTATTTTTCATTAAATAAAAAAGTAATACTTACGGTGTTAATTTTAATGCATCATTCATACTCGTTGTTAATAATGGTTTTAAATCGTAAACACCAGCGATTAAAATTAAACCTTTTAATAAATTTCGATAGCCCTTTTCAGTCATTGAATTTAGCCAATTTTTATCATGCAAAAGACTTGCCGCTAAATGAGCTCCTGCACTGTGACCAGCTATCCAAATTTTTCTGGAGAAAATATAATTAATTTTTTTTTTTCAATTTAAAAAAAAATGATTTTGTTTTACAAAAATAAAATCAAATAATTAATAGGTAAACAAAAAAAATTTAATAATAATATAAAATAATTTTCAATAAATTTAATTTATGGAAAATTATTTTATTAACAAATTTATTATTATTATTATTATTATTATTATTATTAAAATAATATTTTTCTGAAATTTTTTTTATTAAAACTTATTTTTTTAGATAATATTTTTAATGTTTACCTTGTTCCAAAAGCATGTGCATCTTTAAGAATTTTCTCCACAAAAATTTTTATTTCCAACACTATCTCAGTCAATGAAACTGAAAGATAATTTAATACAAAAAAAAAGAAATATAAATAAATATACGATTATTATTTATAAAATAATATCGTACTCTAGGATAATTTGAAAAAAAAAAAAAAAAAATTTTTTAAAGAAAAAAATTTATTATATATGTACTATATATTACTTTATGGGGTAGAAAAAAAAAGTTATTTTTTATTAATAAATGTATTCATTTGAATATAATAAAAAAAAGCGAAATAAAAAAATAAATGAATAAAAATAAAAAACAAATCTATAAATAATTCTTTCTATTTGTAATTAACAAGAGACATGTATATATATATAATAAAAGAAAAATTGTACCGTTTGGACATAAATCATAACCACAGACAATAACTTTAATTCCTTGTGATACCAATGAAGATACTGGAAATCCAGATAAATCTTTGGTGAATTCCATCCAATAACCGCCGTGAATAAATATAAAAATTGGAGCATCTAATATTTGAGAAAAATTAATTAACAATTTAATTAATTAATTTAATATTGTTAATTATTATTAATTATTTTTTTAAAATTATTATTATCATTATTGATTATTAATTTTTTTTACTAATTGTTATTATTATTATTTTCAGATTCTTATTATTAATTATTTTTATTAATTATTATTAATATTAAAATTATTTTTTTAAATTTACCTTTGGGCAAATTTGTACCGTAAATGTCAAATTTTGTCCTTTCAGTTGTACCATAAGGAATATCCAATTCACAACTTATAGAACTTCGAGCCTTGCTTATAACTATAGAAGCAGGTAAAATTTATTATTATTTTTTTTTAAAAGAAAATTTACATTATTTTACTTACTTTCTTCACATTTTTTAAAATAATGCTCTAAAAGTTTATCCGAATCCCACCTTTTGCTCCAACAACTTGGCCAATATAATTTTTCATTCTCCTTAAAAAAGAAAAAAAAATTGATATTAAAAGTAAATATAATTAATTTCGATTAAGGTCATGCGATTATTGTGTTTTCACTTGTAAATAATCGCAGGGTTTTTTTTTTTTTTTTTTGTAAAATATATGATAAATTGTATGTACTCAAAAATAGTATAAGGATACTATTTTTGAGTTCTCTATAAAATTTTATCTCAAACTTATCAAATATTTTGCGATAAAACCTGTGGAAAATATTTACATACGTAAAATCACAACAATCACATGACCTTAATTAGAATTTTTTATAATTTTTAAATTTTTATTTTAATTTAATTACCATTATTTGTAATAAAAATTTAAATTAATATAATAATAAATTTTAAATAAAATTATTTTTTAAATTAAATAATTATTATTTATATTATAATTATTATTTATTACTTACTGATTGTGCCATGTTTTTGTAAAAATATATGAATGTTTAAACAAAAATAATAGAGATACTTTATAAAATTATAAATGTACTCTCGGCAAAAAGTGAAAGTAAAATGGACCTTGTAATTTGAATCTTATTTTCCAATGAAGCCTGATAAAAAAAAAATGTGTTTTATATCGCCTTTAATTTTTGCACCTTATAAAATGTTACTACATCTAGTGTTCGTGTTTAGTAACATTAAATTTATAAATTCTGTCGGCAAAGTAAATATCTCAAGAGATAAATATATATTTTTCATTTAATAAACAATGAAAAAAATAAAAATGTAATTTACAAAAAAAAAAAAATTTAATTTAATTTCTATACAATAATTAAAAAATATTTAACGTTAATAATAATTGTTTACAAGTTATTAATTTAATTATTATTAATAATAATAATAATAATAATAATAATAATAAATAATTATTAATAAATAATAATTAATAATAATAATAATTAATATTATTAATATTATTAATATTATATTATTATTATTAATATTATTATTATTAATAATAATTAATTAATAAATAATTATTAGTATTTCTTTAAAATTCACTAATAATGATTATTTTTTATTGAAAAAAATTATTATCAAAATTTTTCACAAGTTCATTCTAGAACAGGAAGTCATGAATAAAAGAAGGTTTTAAAGAAGCACCTGTGTAATACATAACTCGTTTTAGCTTGCATTCGACGAAATAATGCGTCACTAGGTAAATCAGACCTAAGAGCTGTACAAATTTTTCAAGAGAGTCATTAACATATATGCGAAAGAACAAGCTTTGTTCGACCAGTCTGAAAACTTTTTTTTTATATATATATATATATATTTTTTTTTTTGCCATACCATATTATAATATTTCTTATAAAAGAAAATATTAGATAAAATTTACTTATTCAATTAGTATTTTCTTTTTATTTTACTAATTTTTTGTAGTTTTAATAACATTTACTAATTTCAAAATTCAAATATTTAAAATTGTCACGTGACGCGACTGTAGCGCTTCTAGTGTTCACTATCGGTACTATTTAGCAACGTTAAATGGCCCTTCTTTCACGTCAAATATTTTTCTATAAAATTATAAATATTGAATATTTAAATTATATTTAAATTGAATTAAATTAAAGAAATCATTATTGAAATTATTAAGATAATATTTGTTGATGTTGACAATTATCATTTCCAAGACTTATTGTAAGTACAACCGTGATTTATTTGTATCTATTTGAATCTATTTGTATCTATTTGTATTTATTTTTTATTTACTAATATTATAGAATCGCATTTTCATAGAAAAGTATAAATTCTTTCGTTTGAAATTGTTTTAAAAAATATTAAGATTTATTTATATTTTTTTTTATAATTATATTATTTTCGTATATAAAGTCCTAACCTCAAATTTGACAGCTAATGTATTTAATACAAAATATAAAATAATAATTATTAATTAAATTAATAATAATAATAATAATAATAATAAAATAATAATATAAAATTGAAAAATATATATTTTAATTTCTTTTTACAAATAGAATGCAAATAATTAAAAGTAAATATAAATAATATACATTAGATCGAAAAAAGTAAAAATGTTTTTTTTTTTTAATCTAATAGGTATTTTTTTCAGTAAATTGTTATTTCACAATAATAATTCTTTAATATATAATAACGACTAAAGTTCAAGGAGAATTCAAATAGATGAGCGTATAAATTTTTTGCAAGCTTTGACAAAACGCATTTTTCTGACATCTTGTTTGTAAGTATATCTTTTTTCTGTATATAACATAATATATATAAGTAAAAAAAATGCATCGTTTGAAATTAACTAAAACATACACAGAATATGTTCTCAAGAAAATAATACAAAAGAAGAGACAAAGGAAGTATGCGCTTCTGTAATACGCTACTTTCAGTGATTCTCAGTTGAAAACAAAAATCATCTTAATTTTAAGAAATTATAATATTGCTAAATTTGAAAAATTAAAAAAAAAAAATATTTCTCGTTCGTTAAAAGATTTCTCGGAAATTTTAAATGTATATTGAAAAATTTAATTTAACAAAAAGAAAATTTTTTCTTTTACAAATTAACGAAAAAAAAAATTAAATGAAAATTAACGAAGGTAATTAATTATATATATTTTTTTTATTTGATTATTTGATTACTGCAACTTTGAAAATAAAATTGAAATGAGAATCGCTGGGACGAATCGCACCCCTGAAATACTTAGAGGGGCCTATGGTGATGGTTAAAACCAGAAAAACCGGCCATTCTCTCTTTCCCCACCTGGTGGTCCCTTTACCCCACTATTTTCTTCTCCTCTATTCGTATATATTTCCTCCCACCTGGACGTTAGCCACGTTGGCATCAGCTACCGTCTCTACTGTCTTTCTATATAAGTCCCCATTGGTTCCATAGAAAAATACTTTTTTTTTCTTTTTTTTTTTATCTACTCAACATTCTTTCTTCTCTATTCTGTAATTTAGAAAATATATATGTTCAAGCCTGAATTTTTAACCTGTCGTTGTACTCTCTAAATTTGAATTCATAAAAAATAACTAATTCGAAAGTAAAAATCCCATTCACTGATTCAAATATACTAATATTTCTATTATATATTTAGTTAAAAATAATTAAATTTATTTTTAGGTTCTGTAAAAATAACTGAAATTAATTAATTAATGATTAAAAAAAAATCATTAATTAGAAATTTCATTTTTAAAGAATTTTATTAGAAATAATAATTTTTTTTTGACAAATTTTCCTTTTTTTGAATTAGTCTATTTATAACAGAATTTCTTTTTATTCAAAATTTTACATAACATAATTTTTAGCTATATCGAATTTTTGGCAGAATTTTTATTTTACAATCATTTTCTTTACATGACTTTTTATTTAAAAGAATTTTTATTAAAAAGAATTTTTATTTAAAAGAATTGTTATTAAAAATTAATTTTAATTTAAAAATTCTTGATTTAATTGAATATATTTAAGCGATACGAATTTTTAAATGACGGAAATTATAATTCAGCGAATTTTAATTTGTTCAAATTAATTTTATCAATTAAAAATTCGTACAAATTAAAATTCGCAGATATAAAAATTCCTACTAATAAAAATTCCTACAAATAAAAATTCGTACAAATAATAAAAATTCGGACAAATTAAAATTTGATGATTTGGAATTTTTGTCATTTAAAAATTCGAATCACATAAAATTCGATTGAATGAGAATTATGCTAAATTAAAATTCTTTTCATAAAAATTCTTTTGATTAAAAATTCCATTAAAAGAAAATGACTGTAAAATAAAAATTCTGGCAAAAATTTTGTTAGGTAAAAATTTGTATAAAAAGATAAAATCAGTCAAATTTTAAATCGAAAATTGAAAATTCGTCTAAAAAATAATTATTTCTAATAAAATACTTATATTATTAAAATAAAAATTTTAATGAATGATTTTTATAGGAAATTCCCTGAGTTTTAATGTTCTTAAAATTTTTAAATTTGCTTATAAAATCAATAGATGTCTTAAAAATTATTTGCAACTTAAAATAAGACTAATTTTTTCACTTAAAAATAAGAATTTTATTTTATTGGGTCTGTAGGAGAAAATTTTAAGTTTTCTTATGAAGTATTTATTTATTTATTTATTAAACGGGCTAACAAAGCCCTTTCGTACAAGGTACAAAGTACAAAGCAATCAAACTTACTAACTAAAAAAACTTTTATTAATACTAAAAAGTATTAATAAAAAAAATAATAATTAAAAATAATAAAATTCAAAAGAAGAGTAGAATTAGTTACTATTAGTTTCAATTATAATAATGGTCATTAAATTCATGGTCGTATCAATATCGTTAGATATATTCTACAAGACACATATTCTCAATTAGAAATTTTCGACATATATTTTTTTTTTATAAATTCCAAAGTTGTATATTGTCAGATTGAATATTTTATATTTGCCATTTAGAAAAATTAGTGTAATTCACTGAAAAAAAAAATTTATTTGGATTCAAATAATCGGTTACTTGACTATTATTAAATAAATATTTATTTATATCAAATAAATAATTATTTGTATCAAATAAAAAATTATTTATATCAAATAATTATTATTTGAATGGTATTTATTTAAAATACAGAAATTATTGGTTCAAATACAATTTAAATAAAAATTATTTGGTTCATGTAAATATTTATTTGATAAATAACCAATTATTTGAATCAAATAAATTTTTTTTTCAGTGCATATATTATGAATTTTAATAAAGAAATAATTCGATTTTTATAATGAAAATATATTTATTATTTTATTTAGTATTTTTATTATTTTTATTATTTTTATTCGTAATTAATAGTTCAAATTATGTAGTTTTCCAGTTAAAAAAAAAAAATTACTTTTATCATGTCTCAATTAGAGAAAAGTGTGTCATCATATATATACTTAAGATTGTACCTTGTAAAGTTATGTAAATTGTTAAAATTTTAATCTATACACGAAATCAAAAAATATAGATCAGTATTTTATTTGTAAAGGTATATATACTTGTTGCTCGCCCTCGACATTAAATATTTGAATTATAAAAGGGGACAAAAGAATGTACAACCTAGAAGGGTTAATTTATTTGACCTAGCAGCCACGTTTGTTCTCAATTAGTCTTGGAGACGTTTGGATTATTTTCCATCTCTCTGATCAGCAGAGGAAATCAAAAAAAGGGCGTTGCTTTTATTTTATTTTTTTTTTCAAATCCATTCACAGTCAAACTGTTATATCTTTATCGAAACACGATTCACCAGATTTATCAAATTTTTTTTTTTTTTGCTGTAAAAGAAAAAAATTATTTTAAGGGAGGAAAATATGTCTTATTTTAAAATGAAAAATATTTTTAAAACAATTATTACTAATAGTAATTACTATACTTATTTACTAATAATTTACTAATAATTTACTAATAATTTACTAATAATTTACTAATAATTTACTAATAATTTACTAATAATTTACTAATAATTTACTAATAATTTACTAAAAATTTACTAAAAATTTACTAATTATTTACTAATTATTTACTAATTATTTACTGATTATTTACTAATTTTTTTTACTATTTATTTTATTTTTACTAATTTTCAAAGTAGACTTTTATTTTATTTCCCTTGTATCATCTTATCTCAAGAGACAAGATAAAATCATTATTTAAAATTTTGGTCGTTGCAAAGTTTACGAAATTTTTCTAGCAATATGGTCCTGTGGCGCAACGGATAACGCGTCTGACTACGGATCAGAAGATTCCAGGTTCGAATCCTGGCAGGATCGTTAAAATTTTTTTTTTATTTTTTTTTGCTTTCCTATTTAAATATTCGCCATTTTTTTTATTCTCTTTCATCTTTTTTTTTTTTTTTTTTGACAAAGAAAAATAATTATTCTTTAAAAATTATTGATATTCAAAGTAAAATTTAGATTATAGAAACAACTCACGACTTAAATATAAATTTCTTTTGAAAGATGTATGTAACTGTGAACTGTATTATGCGATTCCATAAAAACGTGAGTCCCATTTACTAATCAGAATGACTAGTCAATTTTCAGAGTTCATGTATTGAATAAAAGTATACATAAAAGAATCAATGACATTAGTCATAGTTTACCAGTTTAGATGAAAAAAAAAAAAATTATACTTTTATTTTCATTCACGTGTAATGTTATTAATTTATCATTTATTAATAGATGATTTAATTGTCATAGATAATTAATAATAGAAAGAAAAACTATTAATTTTAATATAATTTTTATTTTGAAAAATAATTAAAATTATTTTATTTTTAAATTATCAATAAAAATGGTTTTTTAATATATTAATTAATTATTGATATACTAAATAATTATATAAATAATAATATAATTATTGATATAATGATACTATTTATTTTTATTGTTTTTAATATATTAAAGCAATAAAATAAAAAAATAATTTATTATTATATCAATAATTATATTAATACTTAACATATTAATAAATTATTTAATATATTAATAATTAATTATTATATTTTAAACCATTTTTATTGAAAATTTAAAAAAAAATTATTGAAATTATTTTTTAAATAAAAACTATATTAAAATGAATAATTTTTTCTTTTTTTTTTTCATACAGTGAAGAAAACTGTGTTTGCGTTTATATTTCTTAATTATATGAAAAGAGAGATATTTTAGTGTTGAATTAAGTTATCTTTTAACAGCAATAATTTATGCTGTCAAAATGTTTCTTTTCTCTTATTTTATGAAAAGCAGTTTAAACAATGTCGGTAACTTTGAAATTAAGATTGACTTATTGCTCGTCGCGGAGAAAATCTCTAAATGAGAAAGATTATTGCTAATTCTCATAATAATAATAATAAGTCTTATTGTTTTCAAGTTTTCACAATAAATTAAAATTAATTTCTATTCACTAAAATAAATTATTTATTTATTATTTGTTTAGAGATAAATGTAAAATTGTTTAAACATAAAAGTAATTTCATTTAAATAAATAATAAATAAAAATAAATTTAAAAAAAGTATTCATTAATTGATTTCATAAAGAATTTTTTTTTGAGATTAATAAACTACTTAAATTTTTATATGTAACGTTACATCACATTTCGACTTCATATTTTTTTTTTTAGGTCAAGAAACGATATGTTCTTTTATGTATATAGAAGCAAATCGTAAAGCAAAAGGTATAAATAATGCGAGATAGGATGATGTCTATG